AGGAGTTATTGGATGCAGTTATTGTCCGAGGTCCACTGGTGATCCCCGATTGATCCTAGGGAAGGGTTACAGGCACGTTGGCCTGGGGAGTTATGGGCGCACTCACCCGCTACACAAACAAGCCCTTTTATCCCAGTGGTTAGTGGCTGGGATTCTGACATGGCAATCGAACGAAGGTCTCGGGTTCGAATCCCAATGTGTGCACTTCGGGAATCGCAGTGCTGGGGGGGTGTCGGAGGTCCACTGGTGATCCCCGATTGATCAAAGGGAAGGGTTACATGCACGTTGGCCTGGGGGGTTATGGGCGCACTCACCTGCTACACCAACAAGTGTTGAAATATGAGCTTAACTTAGTAGGCTTAGTAGCCTAGGGTTTAGCTAGGACGAGAGAAGCAAAGGGAATGTCGAGGGTGATGACCAAAGGAGAAACGGGAATGGTGTTCATTATGAGAAAAGTTACAAGTTATAGCAAGCCAAAGGGTGCACCACCTAACAGGACAGCAATAGAACTACACTAGGTCTACACTACAAGCAGTTATAGCAATGTATACAGTTACATTCTGACAACAAGCCCTTTTATCCTAGTGCTTAGTGGCTGGGATTCTGACATGGTATCAGAGCGAAGGTCTCGGGTTCGAATCCCAATGTGTGCACTTCGGGCATCCCAATGCGGGGGTGGTGTCCGAGGTCCACTGGTGATCCCTGATTGATCCTAGGGAAGGGTTACAGGCACGTTGGCATGGGGGGTTATGGGCGCACTTACCCGCTACACAAACAAGCCATTATATCCCAGGGGTTAGTGGCTAGGATTATGATAGTTATTGCTTGCTACTCCACTATATCGTGCGTTATTATAGCCCCTGCCTTCTGGCCTTCCTCTTTCCTGATCTCCCTTCGTTCCACACCATCGTTGCGCACATGCGCTCGCTTCCGCGCTGCTTGCACGACTGAGGTCCTTGCTGTCAAGATAGCAACAGGAATGGAACAGCAGAAGATGGGTTTCACTAGCAAGCAATGGGATACATATAGCAAACTCTAGCAGGGCTGTACTCACTATAGAGTACCCCACTAAAGACTAGACAAATATAACATTCTGACACACCCCCATAGGCAAAGTGGGGTATAATCAGCACAGCAAGCAGTCGCATAATAAGTTCACAAGCACAAGTAAAGCTAGTGGCCGACATAGAGGGCTCACGAGGAGGAAGAGGGACTATGAGAGGCGAGGAGATTGGAGGCGGCTGCTGAAGCTGCTGGCACACGGGCGACTGGAGCAACTAGCGCACTGGCTACCGGAGCAAGGGCCCCGTACTACTGGAGTAACTGGCTCCGCGGCTAAGACGAACGGTTGGAGCAACGGACCCATGGGCGACTGGCGCAACGGGCTCGCTGGCTACCGGAGCAAAGACATCCGGACTACTGGCGCTGCTGGCTCCACAGCAGCTACCTTCGTTCAACCTCCCCCAATTGCCCCCAACCCCTTTCTCACATCCCCCCCGGATAGCGCCACTCCCCAACCTCACCCACTCCATCCCCCCCTCAGCGGCAGCTGCAGCAGTGGGAGAGAGAGGAGGAGGGGCAGCTGGTCACGCACTCCCACCACCCCCATACCCCCCCTTACCCCCGCCACCCCCATACCCTCCACACGGCTGCACGCGCAGCAGGAAGTCGAAGGAGGAGGGGGGAGGGCGGGCGGCGTCGCGACGTGCAGGGCGCGGGCGGGCTGTGGGGCACTCGCAACGGGCATGGCGCGGGCGGCAGGCGGGTCCAGGAGGGACGGCGCGCGGGTCCCCAGGGGCGGCGCACGGGTCCAGCGGAGCAGCGCGCGGGTCCAGCAAGGGCGGCGCGCGGGTCCCGCAGGGCGTCGCGCGGGTCCAGCGGGGCAGCGCGCGGGTCCAGCGGGGCAGCGCGCGAGCCCCGCAGGGCGTCGCTCGGGTCCAGCAGGGGCGGCGCGCGGGTCCCGCAGGGCGTCGCGCGGGTCCTGCGGGGGCGGCGCGCGGGTCCCACGAGGCGGGGTGCGGGTCAGGTGGGGCGACGCACCGAGCAGAAAACCGCCGCGCGCCCCACCACGCGCCCCGAACGCGTGGCGGGAAGAAAAAACGTCGCTCGCCACGGGGCGCGCGACAGACAGCACAGCAGCGGAAGCAGGTGGGCCCACAGGCCAGGAGCGTAGACGCTCTGATACCATGTCAAGATAGCAAGCAGGAATGGAACAACAGAAGAGGGGTTTCACTAGCAAGCAATGGGATACATATAGCAAACCCTAGCAGGGCTGTACTCACTATAGAGTACCCCACTGCAGACTAGACAAATATAACATTCTGACACTTGCTGAGCACCGCCTATCCCATGCATATCACACCGTACTTCCTCGCGACCCACCTCTCTGACCGTTTCGCAGCTGCCTGGGACGCCTTCCTCACTGTGCTCCCCACGAGCCTCTCTATTGACCTCTTAAAGACACGTCTCACTGAGATCGAGTCGCACCTCTGCGCTATAGCCTCCTCCTTTGGTTGTGTTCTTCTCCCATGTTTGAAGGGCGTGCCCCCGTCCTTGCTTGCCACCCCTCTTTGAACGTCAGAGTGACTTTCAAAAACCACTCTGATTGTTTAAAGGAACAGAGCAATATATTTCGATTAAAGAAGGCCTGTGTTACGATATGGAATAGTTGAATAAACATTCCTGAGGAACAAATCCTTAACGCGAAGATGACTGCAGCGAGGACGAAAGACCAAGCGACGAGACAGTTATCGAGACAGTTACAAGCAGGAAAAATTTGAAGTGCAAAGCGCGGGAAATGTTCAAACGGTTACCGGACCGCATACGGTTACCGAACCGCACGGTTGCAATGCTGCATCTAGATTAGCCCTAAGGGGAATGTACCCCCTCAGAATACATGGCTAGCTAAGACCTTACGTATTCTACTGTATTCCTATATAGACCCCTGTACCGCATTGTATTAGTCACTTCTGTCGAGATTCAAATCTCCTTCTACTGACAGAGTCCGTACCCGACATTACCTAGCAATCTTCCGCTGCTACACTCCGTGCGATCAACCTGAGACGATCCTATAAGACGGTTCAGATTGTATCAGCCTGGGCCGAACCCTTTTCACCTTCAGAATATATCGGTGTTGTAATACCCCTCTTCATCCGTGTATCGATGGATTATCCTTGCCAAGTGTGCCAGGCTGTTTGAAGAGCCAGTCAGTCAGATTCATGTTTGTTCAAAACCTTCATGCAACCGCTTCAGAAGTAAACATGTTACGGTACAAGGTCTGAGTGGGGAAAAAAAAGTACACACACACACTAAGCATGTGTAAGAAGAACAAAGGGTATACATCCAATACAGGCAGGCCTTTGTGGCCGGATTGCAAACATTCTACAACAGCTCACAATACACTTCATATCAGTTACGTCCAAGGATCACGGCGAGACATAACGCCAGAAGGCCAATCTGCAGGGCTGCCCGCAAAGAAAAAGTTTTCCTGAGTGCCTGCTAGTATTGGCCAGAGGTGCCGCCTCCGGCGAAAGAAGGCAGCAACGGGTTCCCCGTTGAATCGAGGTGTTGTCTGGGGTCGGGGGCGGGCCCAGACCGTGCGAGTGCGGTGCAGAGCGGTGAGGAGTTGGTCCTCATGGACCCCTGGCAGGTCGAGGAAGCGAGCGAGCTGAGATACGAAAGGGGGCTGGGGGGTTGAGAGGGGAGGGGAGGGGAAAGGGGAAGAGCGGAGGAGGCAAGAGGTGGACAAACGTGAATTATTTGCTGTTTCAACAGGAGAATGAGTGAGCTGGCCAGTACAAGAAGCCCATGCATGCCAGAACAGAAGTGTCAAAAGTGTGAGAAATAGAGAGATAGATAGATAGATCGAGAGAGAGAGAGAGAGAGAGAGAGAGAGAGAGAGAGAGAGAGAGAGAGAGAGAGAGAGAGAGAGAGGGAGGGAGGGGGGGGGGAAGGAGAAGGAGACTGACAGATGGAGAGGACATGAGGTGATCCAGGTTGGCGATGGCATAGGTCCCGCACGGTAGCTGGCGCAAAGAAGCATCGAGATACACCAGACTGTCCTCCACTAGGCGCACCTGCGCGACCAGGGGAGGGAGAAAGGTGGCATAGGATTGAGTCAGTTGTGAGATCCCTTGGAGCATTTTTTATACCAGAAGTACACGGTGAATCTGATGCAGCAGCATGGGCTGCGCCGCTGCGCTGCATGGTAGCTGGCGCAGCGCAGAGAAGCACCGAGGTACACCAGACCAGACTGTCCACCACAAGCCGCACCTGGGAGAGCAAGGGCGGGATGATGAGGAGAGTGCGCAGCAATCAGTGGAATGGGGGAGGAACGGGGGGTTGTGTGTGAGTTTGGGGGGTTGTGTGTGAGTTTGGGGGGTTGTGTGTGAGTTTGGGGGGTTGTGTGTGAGTTTGGGGGGTTGTGTGTGAGTTTGGGGGGTTGTGTGTGAGTTTGGGGGGTTGTGTGTGAGTTTGGGGGGTTGTGTGTGAGTTTGGGGGATTGTGTGTGAGTTTGGGGGGTTGTGTGTGAGTTTGGGGGGTTGTGTGTGAGTTTGGGGGGTTGTGTGTGAGTTTGGGGGGTTGTGTGTGAGTTTGGGGAGTTGTGTGTGAGTTTGGGGGGTTGTGTGTGAGTTTGGGGAGTTGTGTGTGAGTTGGGGGGGTTGTGTGTGAGTTTGGGGGGTTGTGGAGAGTAATGCAGATGCCAGGCACATTGGAATAGGAAAAAAAAGAAAAAAAAAAAGGAGGAGAGAGGGGGGCAAGGAAAGGTGTGATTTAATGGTGGGTGGTGTTGCTGAGAGGTTGAGATTATTTGTGGGGAGAGCGAGGAAAGAAAGGGAGCAAGAGAGTGCTGTAAGAATGAACAACGACTGTGGAGCTGCAAGGACTTTTTGAGAACTCTCAAAATCTCCCGGCAGCCAAACATGGACTAGGAGACAGTGAGAGTGGGGGCGGTACAGGAGAGTGAGAGTTGGAGCAGCACTTTATTGTGACAAGTTCAGTCAGGCATCGATAGAAGGAGGAAGAACAGAGGGAGAGAGGAGGGAGGGATGGAGGAGGGAGGGAGGAGGGAGGGAGGGAGGGAGGGAGGGAGGGAGGGAGGGAGGGAGGGAGGGAGGGAGGGAGGGAGGGAGGGAGGGAGGAGGGAGGGAGGAGGGAGGGACCTGCAAGCCGGTGTCATCCTTGTCATAGTGCGCTCTGATGGCTGATGCCATCACGTCTGAGATGTTCCGCACGCTCACTATCACCTGCAGTGACGGGCCGCAACAGGGAGCACGGGGGGGAGAGGGGGTGGGGAGAGGGTGGGGGAAGCAAGTGGGGCCAAAAGGGGGTAAGCAAGTGGGGGCAAAGTGGGATAGGCAAGTGAGGGGAGGGGGTGGAAAAGCAAGTGGGGGCAAGCAGGGGTAAGCAAGTGCGGGGAGGGGGCAGGGGAAGCAAGTGGGGGCAAGGGGGGGTAAGCAGGGAACTGAAGGCGATGGCATGCTGTCAAGAAGATTCTTCACACTCACGAACGCCTGTATTGCGGGGTGGGATGGGGGTGGAAGTCAAGACGACAGCAGTGGTTCAGGAATGCAGGCAGTGGGGAGTGTGGGGAGCGGGGAGTGGGGAACACGGAGTGGGGATAGGGGGGTTTGGGAAATGGTGGGAGTAGGGGATGGGGAGAGTGGTGAGAGGGGAGTGAGTGTGGGGAGTGGGGAGTGAGTGAGGGGAGTGCGCAGTGACAGACAGGGCTTGCAAGCCACTCTCATCCTTGTGCAAGTGTGTTCCGATTGCTCATGTCGTGAGACAAACAAGCACGTAGCTCTCAAACAATTGCTCTCATACCTAAGGCCCCACTGCCATGGCTCCATTCCGTGCCAACACACTCGATATGCGGGCAGCGCAGCACGCAGCAAGCAAGCAAGCAAGCAGAGGGCTTGTCTTGAGGCGATACAAGAGGCCGTGGTAGAGGCCCAGGGAGACGAGGTCAGGGCGGGCGAAAGTAGATTCGCATTGGGAGGCCCCAAAACAGAGTCACTGCCAACCAAGAGTCACCTTGAGGCGATACAAGAGGCCATGGTAGAGGCCCAGGGAGACGAGGTCCGGGCGGGCGAGGGGCGTGCGCAGGGAGGCGCCCATGGGGAAGGAGGAATTGGCTAGGAGCAGCACTGGCGCCCGCCTGCCCTGCCGCTGCCGCAGCCCCGCTGATGCCTGCACCTGGGGGGAGGAAAGAGGGGGAAGAGGGGAGGGGGAAGGGGGGAAAGGGGGAGGGGGAAGGAGAAGCAGAGAGGCGCCCATGGGGAAGGAGGAATTGGCTAGGAGCAGCACTGGCGCGCGCCTGCCCTGCCTCTGCCGCAGCCCTGCTGATGCCTGCACATGTGGGGAGGGGAGAGGGGAAGAAGGGGAGGGGCAGGAGCAGGAGGGGAATGCGGAAGAGAGAGGTGAGAGGAGGTGTAATAAGCACGAGAGGCAAGCCAGCGCTTTTCTTACTAAAATCCGCAACCTTTCTCCAGGCTCCAGTCCCCAAACCGCTCTGCCCTCCTCACTCTACCCTCCTCACTCTACCAACCCCCTTGCATCCACTCCCATCCCCTCCGCTCCTTCCACATCACCTCTCCTCTCCATCCCCTTTCCTCCTCACACCTCCCCTCTTTCCTACCCCAACCTCCTACCTACCTCGCCTCCCCCCTCTCCCCACCCACCCACCTGCAGCGGGGCGAGCTTGGAGGAGATGAGGGCAGCGAGGTCGGACGCCTGCCGCGAGTACTCGATCCTCGGGCACTCCGTGTAGATCTTCCTTCCCGGTAACGACATGTCCACGATCTGCGCCGCGCTGCGTGTGAGCAGCAGCTCCGTCTGGTTCCACTCGGCCTCTGGTTCCGCCATGTCGCCCGCGCTCTGCTGCTGCTGCCGCTGCTGCTGCAGCCCTTCGTATAGCTCGCTGTAGGTGAGGGGAATGGGAGGAGGAGGGGGTAGTCGGGGCGAGGGGAAGGGTAGAGGAAGGGGGAAGGGGGGGGGGAAGTGGAGGACTTTTGAGTTGACTCAGAGGGGACCTTGATCATCTCCCCCACAAGCAGCTGCTTCACCGCTTGATACAGCTAAACATAGCACCCAACCCCTTCCCAAATGAACAGTGCACTCAAACCTATCCCGGCGCCTCACCGCATTCCACACCATCCCACCGCATTCCACCCCGTCTCACCTGAACAGCGTGTAGAACACGCCCTGTCCCGCTGTCTCCAACCCCGCTATAAAATACAGCACGGGCAGGCTGTGTAATCGCGACTCGGCCTCCGGCTTTTCCAAATAATCCACCACGCGACACGCCGTCGGATGCGGCGCGTCGGCCTGCGGCACGAGCGTGACAGCGAGGAGCGAGCTAATGAGCGGCGCGAGAACGAGCGTCACGGCGAGGAGCAGAACGGCTTTCACCGTCGCGCCGAACGCGGGCGCGAGGAAGGAGGAGGCGGCGCGCAGCGACGCGCGGAGCGCGGGGGGGAACGGGGGGAAGCGGGAGAGCGCGGAAGCGGCGGAGGCGGAAGAGGACGAGGATGCGCGGTCGCTGCTGCTGCTACTGGGGGAGGATGACGTGGTACAGGAAGTGATGACGTCACGGATGACGGACCAATCGGCTTTGAGTAGCTTCTTCACGTGCGGGTGATGGTAGATTGCGGCGAAAACGGCGAGTAACCAGACGTAAGTCGCATGCAATCTCTGGCGAACGAAAGTTGTGGCGGTGTCTGTGGCAGCAACAGCGGTACTGGCGGCAGCTTTCGCGGTAGCGGACGCTTTCGATGCGGCTTTCGCGGCGGCTTTTGCGGCCGCTTGAGCTGTCAACGTTGCGGCGGCAGCGGCGGCGGCGGTGGCGGACGCTGTGGGTTTCGCTGCTGCATCGGGGGGAGCCATATTGTTGCCGATGGGGGGTGGTACGAGGGAACGGAGAGCTCGAAGCGCGCCAAAACGCGTGCGAAAGGAGGAAGAAAATCAGCGAGTAGGCTTAAGTCGGAGCCGCGAGAAGGCGAGCGCACAATGCGTGCAAGATTCTTGCGCGAAACGAGCACGATGCGCTGACAATGTTGCGGGTGGGACGTCAGACTGATTAGGCTTGAAATGCGGAGACTGAAACTAGGCGACTGAGGTTTCGGATTACGGGATAGGAATCCCGTCTTCTTCGTTCTCTCCTCATGGTCCGTCGGACGCTGGACGATGGGGACTCCTCCTTAGTCGAATTTCAGGCAACCTAAGAAGCCTTCTATAGGTATCGCACGAATTGCGCGAATGATGAGTACTATTCGGGGCGGGAACTCAAGAGAACCAAAGGTGAATCTTACTCCACCTGAAATGCAAAGGAAGCCCGTGTCGCGGATTAAGGTGGGAAACATACAAGAGCTGGGTTGATAAGGAGTGAGATAATGCCGTAACAAGTTGGTGGTTGATGGAGCTACTAGGGTGTGTCGTGATTTTAGGATCGTGAAGCCCCTTACACGATGCTTCGATAATCCCTAAAACACAAAATTCAGGGACTTTTGAGTGTGCATACGTAAGGGGTGCAAAAGGTTGATGCCCAACCAATCGAGTACAGGTTTGTGTGGTCTCGATCTTGTCACAGTCACAACCACCTTGATATTGCCACGTACCGCGCCCAGCCCAGTTCCCTGAGCCACACATGATGTTACCACCCCGTCTTCGCGAAAGGCAGATTCCTTTCGTTCGGGCTGAGTAACACCATCTTTCCCTGCTTCACCTGCTCGCAGATTCTATCTGCGAGCTTGGCCTGCTACTAGCTCGCAATTGCTCGACACGTTTCCTCTCGTGCGAGCGCGATTGTCGCGTGCCATGCGCGAAGCAAACGGGAGTAATGGTGGGTGTTCGCACCTTTGCACGAATGCACAATCGTCGGACCGTCTCAACGTCGCATAGTCCGCAGCGTCCAATCGCATTCTCGTACAATTGGCGATTACTTGCCTCCGCTCACCTTCCCTCCGCTCTTCCGCACTTCCCTCCCTCCCAACCCCCCCCTGCGCGCCCTTTCCCCCATCTTTCCCCCCGCATTCCCCCATTCCCACCCGGTCCCCTCTCCGCCAGGCTGCCCGCACCACCTTCTTCCCGTCCGCAGTCCAATTAGCTTCCGCCTACCGCCATCGCGCGCTGCTAAGCACAAGCAGGGGGATAGGCACTGCTGGCAGGACAAGGATAAGCACAGGGGTGGGGGTAACCAGTGGCTGTAGATCAACCAGAGACGGACGAATAGGAAGAGTAAGCACTGATGGGAGAATCAGCAATGGCGGAAGGGGCGACACGAGGAGGCGTATTAGAGAGTCACGGACAGTAGCTGCTGCAGCAGCAGGGGAGGAGGCTCCAGAGGGAGACGCTGTAAGGGGGGAAGAGGCGGGGGAGCGGAGGGGGGGAGGAGGGGATGCAGCGAGTGCGGTGAAAAGCGGTGCAATGGAGTTCCCGGTGTTCTGTGTGCAGTGGGCTGTGCTGCCAGGGGCCTCTGACTCCCTCCACATCTTCATGCCCCACTACGTCCTCAGTAATGATTCTTTCTTTCTACTCTCAACCCTGCCACCGTTTCCTTTCCTCCAGAGTAATGCGTCGCCCCCACCCCCGTTCCTAACGTCCCGCCATCCCTTGCATGTCCCCGACCTTCGTGTTACCAGATCCTCACCACGCTAACTAACAAACCCCTTGGCAATGCTCCATCATGGTACACCCCACCGTCTCCACTGCCTGTACCCCCCACCATTCTCCCTAACCCCCAACCTCCCCTCATTTGCCCCCCCATTCCCACCTTCCCCCTTCCGCCATATTTCGCTTCCCACGCGCCCCTCCATCACAGTGTTTGAAAAGCTCCTGGCGGGCCCACCACCCCACCTCTACGTGCATCTTCTCCTCCCATCCTCTCTTCGCCGCCCGCCACCCGCGCTGCCACTCTCCCGCAGCAGCAGCAGCAGCAGCAGCAGCAGCAGCAGCAGCAGCAGCAGCAGCAGCAGCAGCAGCAGCAGCAGCAGCAGCAGCAGCAGCAGCGGCGGCGGCGGCGGCAGCAGCAGCAGCAGCAGCAGCAGCAGCAAGAGCAACAGCGGCAGCAGCAGCAGCAGCAGCAGCAGCAGCAGCAGCAGCAGCAGCAGCAGCGGCGGCGGCAGCAGCAGCAGCAGCAGCAGCAGCAGCAAGAGCAACAGCGGCAGCAGCAGCAGCAGCAGCAGCAGCAGCAGCAGCAGCAGCAGCAAGAGCAACAGCGGCAGCGGTGGCAGCAGCGGCAGCGGTGGCATCAGCAGCAGCAACGACAGCAGCGGCAGCGGGATGGGGAGGGTGAATGAGCAGGGAGGTGTGCGGAGAGGGAGGGGCAAAACACGGAGGACATCCCTGACAGATGCTCTAACAGGCCGTGTTGGGACCCTCATGCAAGTGGATAAGGTGCGCTGAAGGAGGGGAATGCGGGGAAGGGTGGGCAAGAGGGAGTGGGGAACGGAAGGGGAGCCTAGGCTACTGATCAAGCCCCTTGATTGAGTAGATCTTCACAAGGCCGTGTTGGGTCTAGGGTCTGCATGTGGATACGGCTAACTGAAGGCAGTAAGGGAGAAATGGGTGTGGGGAGAGAGAGAGAGTAGAGAGAGAGGAAGAGGACGGGGAAGGAAGAAGGGTGTGGAGGAGAGGAGGTGGGCAACTCTGCCCATTGTGCATCACCCCTTGTTCGCACACATACCCACTTCCACACCCCCACCCCCAATCCCACCCCAACCCAACCCCCTTCCACCCTCACACGCACAGGTGAAGCGCTTTTCCGATGGGCGCATGCTCATTGACAGCACGGCCATCACCACCGTGCGAGTCACCCACCTGCTGCAGGTACAACACTTGCCTCCGCCAGGTACCTCCCAGTGTAGTGTGTCACCATTATCACCATTATCACCATTATCACCCACCCACCCACCTTAACATACCGGCCAGCTTCGCTGTTCTTGAGACATCTTAAAGACACTCGAAAACCTCCTGCTGGTGAACCCCATGAACCCCATCACCCCCATCACCCCCATCACTCCCATCACCCCCATCACCCCCATCACCCCCATCATCCCCATCACTCCCATCACCCCCATCACCCCCATCACCCCCATCACCCCCATCACCCCCATCACCCCCATCACCCCCATCACCCCCATCACCCCCATCACTCCCATCACCCCCATCACCCCCGTCACATCACATCACCCCCATCACCCCCATCACCCCCATCACCCCCATCACCCCCATCACCCCCATCACCCCCGTCACATCACATCACCCCCATCACCCCCATCACCCCCGTCACATCACATCACCCCCATCACCCCCATCACTCCCATCACCCCCATCACCCCCGTCACATCACATCACCCCCATCACCCCCATCACCCCCATCACCCCCATCACCCCCATCACCCCCATCACCCCCGTCACATCACATCACCCCCATCACCCCCATCACCCCCATCACCCCCGTCACTCCCATCAACCCCATCACCCCCATCACCCCCATCACCCCCATCACCCCCATCACTCCCATCACCCCCATCACCCCCATCACCCCCATCACCCCCATCACCCCCATCACATCACATCACCCCCATCACCCCCATCACATCACAACACCCCCATCACCCCCATCACCCCCATCACATCACATCACCCCCATCACCCCCATCACCCCCATCACCCCCATCACCCCCGTCACATCACATCAACCCCATCACTCCCATCACCCCCATCACCCCCATCACTCCCATCACCCCCATCACCCCCATCACCCCCGTCACATCACATCACCCCCATCACCCCCATCACCCCCATCACCCCCATCACTCCCATCACCCCCATCACCCCCATCACCCCCATCACCCCCGTCACATCACATCACCCCCATCACCCCCGTCACATCACATCACCCCCATCACCCCCATCACCCCCATCACCCCCATCACTCCCATCACCCCCATCACCCCCATCACCCCCATCACCCCCATCACCCCCGTCACATCACATCACCCCCATCACCCCCATCACATCACATCACCCCCATCACATCACAACACCCCCATCACCCCCATCACCCCCGTCACATCACATCACCCCCATCACCCCCATATCACATCACCCCCATCACCCCCATCACTCCCATCACCCCGATCACCCCCACAACCCTTCACCTCCCTCACCCTCTCACCCCTTCACCCCGTTCATCCCCTTCCATCCCCAATCGCTCCCCCTAAATATTCCCACGATCCAACTGCAACCGCTCCCTCCCATGCCTCTGCTGGCATTTCAGTGTCTTCCCCGCCCCCCTCACCCCCTCCTTCTCACACCCTCCCCTGCGAGGCTTCCCCTGCAGACCAACTCCTACTGCCAAGCGCAGGTGCAGGAGCAGCAGGTTACTGACGTGTTTTGAGACGTCTCAAAACAAGCGCAGGTGCAGGAGCAGGAGGTTACTGACGTGCCTCTGAATCCCTCCTTCCCGTCCCCTCTTGGCTTCCTCTGCAGACAATTCCATACTGCCAAGCGCTGGTGCAGGAGAAGCAGGTTTCTCAGGTGCCACACAAGCCCTCCCTCCTCTGCTGCGCCCTCCCCTTTTGATCCCCCCTGCAGACCATACCATACTGCCAAGCGCTGGTGCAGGAGCAGCAGGACCAAGAGGCGCTGCTGCTAAATGCCTTTATTGGAGGGCTGGAGTGGACCGAGGAGGAGGAGGGGGAGGAGGAGGGGAGAGGAGAGGAGAGGGGAGAGCAGGAGGGAGAGGAGGGAGAGGGAGTGGGAAGGGGAGAGGGACGGGAAAGGGATGGTGCAGGTGGCATGGCCGGGAGTGTGGATGGTATGGGGAGGGTGCTGCACAGGGGGCCCCCCAACAGCATCAACAGGCGTGCGCTGCAGCGGCTCTCCCTGCGCTTGCAGCGCGGAGAGGCTCGCCTCTGGGCTCTGCTGCAGCAGGTGCGGTGCGGAGCGGTGCGATGAGGTATGATTCGGTGCGATGCGGTTTGGTTTGTTTTGGTTTGGTGTGGTCTAGTGCGGTGCCGCTTTTGTGCCGCTTGCTGTGTTGTGTGCTACCTCACACAACCACACAGCACCCATCCTTCTCTCCCCCCTCTCTTCCCCTTATTTCCCCCTTTTCTCTCCCCATTCCCCCCCTGCCTGCCCCCCCACCAGACAAGAGACCTCTCCTCTCGCCTACGAATGGATGGCTCCTTCCCCCCGCTCCCCCCCGCACTGCTCCCCCTACTGCCCCCCCGCTCACACCATATAAACCCCTCTTTTTTGGGCGGAAGCATGCTGGAAGGGGCACAGGCGCAGCTAATGGCACTGGATGGGCGCGCATGGGGGACAGAGGGGGGGAAAGCAAAGGGTGGGGGAGAGGCGGAGGGGGAAAAGGGGAAGGGGGAGCAGCAGGGGGAGGAGGAGGTGGGAGAGAGCTGCAGGAATGAGGGGGGTGAGGGAAGAGAGGGTAGAGAGGAGGAGGGGGAATCGAAGGATGCAGCACAGGGCACGCAAGGAAACAGCAATGCACAAGGCGAGAAAGAAACACCAGTAGATTTACCCCAAGAAGAGGGCAGAAGGCAAGAGGAGGTTGCAAGGCAGGAGCAAGGGCGTGGCGGGAAAAGAGGGGAAGGCGCGAGGGAGGTGGGGGCAATGCGCAGAGAGGAGCCGTTGTTGCTGGTGCGGCGGGTGCAGCAGCTGTCGTTTGCTGCTGCTGCTGCTGTGCCGGGTGGCGTGGAGAGGAGTGAGGGGCGGCAGCAGCTGCTGGAAGCGAGGAGTATCACTCAACGCATTGGCATCCTCACAGGTGCGTGGGGAGGGCGACTGACTTGGCAGGGTGTGAGTGGGTGAGTGGGTGAGTTTGTGTATTGTTGTAATTATATGTCTGTGTGTGTGCTTGTTTGCGCGCGTGTGTGTGGAATGGGGAGAGTGGGAGAACCCTTGGTGGGGCAGGGTGTCTCCCATTCGAGGATTAAAAGAAAGTATGCATGCTCTCCCACGTTCGATAGAACGGCCTCACCAGCAGCTATGCACCAATGCTCGGGTCAAAGCATCCTGTATCAACTTACTGGTACATTAAACTTTGCAACAAGGTGTGTGGTAGCCTGAGACCAGGTAATTGCTGGGTGCCTTTGTGCTGCCTGTTAGACACTCTCCCCTCATTCACCTGTCCTCTCTTGTGTGTTTGATTGTCAATGCACCACATCACCACCAGCTCTATTCCTGCGGAGTCGCAGTGAACTTCTTGCTCGAGTAGCCATCAAACGATCATTCTCGGACTGAGCAACGCGCGTGCACGTGATGTGATGTGAGTCGTGACACTGATTATATGCAAATACTATACACTGTACCTGTTGCGTGCAATGGAATAATAGTTAGATGCTATGGATATTGAGAGCCTAGTGATTGGCTTCGATGCACTCAACTGGCAAGCAATGTTTGGTGGGACGACAAGTGTTGGTGATAGTATTTGGAATCTGCTAAAAATGACCAGCTGAATCTCAGCTCAGCTAGGAGCAGTTTGGCTTTTGTTATTCTGGGCTACTTTGTAGCGCATGGGCCCTTTACCATAGAATAGTCGTTTCGTTTACCGTTGGTCAATCGGTCCACTTGCACAACTGTGCATTTCCGCCCATGCAAGCTATAGTTGGTGTTGATGGAGCAAAAATGCAACATACCGGTACCTATAAGATGCTGCTGGGTAGTGTTTAACCGGCATTACAATGACATAGGGTAGGTGGGAGCTCAGGCGTGTTCCTGGTACGGTACTGCCGGTACTCAGAGAGACCACTGCAGAGAGTGTAAGTACGGTAGAAGAAATTAATGCTGAGAGTACCATATCTGGAAGAGACCATTACTGACAGTATGGCAAACGAGTAACTAGAAATCAGATTCAAATCGGATGCGGCGGGACCACAACACAGAGCAGCAGAACAAAGGTGATGTGACGCGGTGTGCATGCAGTGCCACACCCCTTCACCCCTCCTCTTTCCTCCTCCCTCAAGCTGTTGACAGCCTGCAGATTGCATGCCACACCATGACATGCCACACCATGGCATGCCACACCATGCCATGCCACACAATGCCATTTCACACCATGTCATGCCACATCGGAAATTATGCGAAGACATTTGTCAACATGTTAAAGAGCCTTCCACCCGACCCGACCAATACCCAATTACTCACCTCAGAAATAATCCCTTTCACTCACCTCAGATGTGATCCCTTTCACTCACCTCAGATGGAATCCCTTTCACTCACCTTACACCAGGAAGATTAGGAGGGGAGTGGAAAGGGAGGCGGTGGAACGGAGGGGAGGGGAAGGGCGGGGGGGGGAAGAGGGGGGGGGGGGTGTTGGGGGGGAAGGGAAAGATGGGCGGTTTCTCCTTTCGCAAGTCCTCTCCGTGCATTTTCCCTCTTCTCCCCTCCACTCCGCCCACCTTCGTCTTTCTTCTCCCCTCCGCTCACTCCCTCCGCTCCCGTTCTCCCTTTTTCCCGTCTTGCGTCCAGGCTGGGACCGTCGACGCGCACTCAAGTCCAGGCAGATGAGGGGAGCGCGGAAAGGGGAGAGAAAAGGCGGAAAAGGGAAGGGAAAAGCGGAAACGGGAGGGGAAGCCGGAAAGGGGAAGGGAAAAGCGGAATAGGGAGGCAAAAGGTGGAAAGGGAAAGGGAAAAGCGAAAAGGGGAGGAGAAAAGCGGAAAGGGGAGGGAAAAAGCGGAAAGGGGGGGGGAGGGGAAGCGGAAAGGGGAGGGGAAAAGCGGAAAGGGTAGGGGAAACGCGGAAAGGGGAGGGGAAAGCTGGTAAGGGGAGGAGGAAAGCTTAAGGGGAAATGGGCGCTTCCCCCTTTCTCCAGTCCTCTACGTCCATTTCCCCCTATTCTGCCCTCCACTCACCTCCACTCACCTCCCGTCCTCCTTTCCCGCGTCTCGCGACCAGAATACAGTCGACGATATGAAGCCACGAGGGGGAAAGCGTAAAGGGGAGGGGGAAGGGGCAATCCGTCACCTCCACTCACCTCCTTTTCCGCGTCTTGCGTTCAGGATACCGTCGACGAAACGCGCTGTCTAATCAACGAAACGCGAGTCGCTACTGATGCGTCGGAAATCGACGCTACTAATTCGTCCGCCACGAATGTTACTATTCCGTCCGCTAGTACACATGTGGAAAGATTACTATTCTGAAGCGCGCAACTTAGACTGTCTTACCGAGACTGCGATATCTATTCAGATCTGATACTGCTAGCATTCCAATAAAAGCGTTGATTAAAGATAAGCACGACCGAGAGCGTGAGCTACATGGAATAAATCGCTGTCAAGAAAATCTGTACTCAGATCTGTTGGAGGTGACGTGTTAGAAGCAAGGTGGTGGTGGGGCGATTGATATGCCCCCAACCCACCGAATGTGTTGCTTCCGAATGTGTTCATTGCAGGTTTCGTGAAGTTGCAGGTTGACTTCGGAAGAACCTGCACTTCTGTGCCACATGGCAGCACAAGAAGAATCGAGACTCAGGAAGAATTCGATTCGGTGAAATTCGAGAGCGAATTTCACCCCTTCGAAATGTTACTCGAACATTCGCGAGTGTAGCGGTTCGAGGTTACTTGTGCGACTCGATCTTGTTTGCATGCTATAAATCTGTTTTCTTTGTATTGCATGAAATCATACTCATCACATAGTGAAAGTCAGAGTTCTTTGTACAAGGTACATTCGAACACAAATTCCAGAGAGCTTCTATACTTGCATTCAAGCGCACCACCCAACACGTGAACGCCTATATCTCGGCGGATACTTAGGCGATCGACGTGTGTGACGGCTAAGTAGAGGAGAGTCCTTTACAACAAGATCGACTACCGCGCTGTGATCTGACTTCACGAAGAATAACCATCAAAACTAACGAGATGCGTGGCGAAACTACTACTAAATGCAAGTTAGTGTGAGCTAATGGAAGTCGATACATCTGGGATATGGCGGGTGAAGTGATGGTGGCAGGTTCGGAGTACCAGGTCCGGTACGAGGGGCGGTGGTTGTGCCAAGGTGTCAAAAACACCTTCATTCCATTGGTTCGCGTAATTTCTTTTCTCATCCATCCATTGTTATTACAGCTGCCCAAGCAGGTTCAGGAGGATGAGAGTGGGTCAACTGACTTTTCCTGAACCAAAGCCGTCCCGCACCTCACGCAAAACCCAAGCGGCTCAAAAAACTTACGGCCCAAACCAACTAACGATAGCGCCACGTCAACCACCTCCTAGAAAGCTCGAGCCTATCCTTGTTGTTGCACACCAGCGTGCTCAGGAAACATCCCGAACCACCAATCCTCGCCTTCGACAAACTCGTTTGCATCCAAACAAGTCAATCAGATTTGTGTAACCCCAATGTGCAAAATGAATGTGCTGCACTAAACGGGATGGACAAGGCGGGGGGCACAATTTCAGCCACCTCAAACTGTTCCTCACGCGCCGCTCTAGGAATGACCCCTGGTCCCCTGCCACAATCTCGGCGCCGCATTTTATTGGTCCATCACACAATCCACCACACCTTCCCACCGTTGCCGTCGACTGCACCACCACCATCCATCCATTCACATCACATTGTATTTTTTCGCATCGCGCACACAGCCTGGTGTCAGGATTCACGAATTCCCTCTCACACGGCGGCAGCACAGCATGGTGTTTGAAGCCGAGCTAAGACACACCGTCAGAGCCGCCGTTCAGCATGGCGAATTTGTATCCACCAATCAGCAGAAAGCTTATCCTTCTGCTTCAGCAGCTACCATTTTCTTGCATCTCCCTCGAGCATCTCATCGCTCCATATAATCTAGCGATGTTGCATTTGTGTAGTTTTTTTTCTCGAAGCTCCAAATCAATGAGCTCACCCGGATGGTACACGAGGAAGCCAAGGCATGAGGCGGCGTTGAGTTAGAAAGTCGGGTGTGGGGTGGGTGGGTAGAGAGTTGTGAGGAGCGAGCTGCTGAGTGCCTTGGCTGAACCGTGTACTGTACCGAGATTTCCGCGGCAACCTTTTCATCGCGAAATCTGGACCGCCATATCTACATGGCGCGACCATATCTGCAAGGTCTTCATTCAACGATCTTCACGCGACGAAGATATACGGCGATTTTTTCGCAGCGAGGTCTACGCTCCGAACTCGCCACGGAACGGACTTCGAGAGCTTCAAAGTGAAGCACGGCGCCTCCCTTGCTGATTCAAAATGCTGCTGGTGCGGCCTCTCCCGTCGTTGCGGCGATTCCAGCCTTCACCAACACAACGACGGGCCACCTGAAGACGGTCGTGTGGACAACCTGAAACCGATTGCTCTCAAGCTTCTCAAGCCCAACCTGAAGTCAAGATTGCCGATTGGCGATCACTCACCGTCCCCGCGAAAGGCGCTTTTTGTTAAAGTAAGTCATTCCCAGTCGCGATAATTGTCGCTGGTATTTTATTCAGTTCTTTTTACTAATCCTTTCTTTCCTTCTTCTTTTCAGACCTAAGCCATGCCGGATAGGAGCTTCCAACGTCGCTGTCGTCTTCATGACGGAAGCACTCAACCACTTACGATAACCGGAAGAACGCCTCCAATGGGTTTCAAGCCCGTCACCAACTGTTCGGCAAACGTCGCCAATGGCGGACTTCTGGACTCGGCTGACGTACGTAAACCGAGTTGGACTTTGGTTGAACTTCTACTTTTTTGTAGTTTTGTTTTTTGTTGATAGTACTAATGTGTTGCCTTTTTCCTTTTCAGACCTTGGCGACCTCATCGGCGACCGTCTCAAGCTCAAAATATGGCTAGAGGCGCTACAGAAGGTTTCAAGCCCTGGCGCAGCTGCGGATGCATTCAAGGTCGCCTCGCCGACCGTCGCCAATGGCCAACTTGTCTGCAATGGTACATCACTTCAAAGTTTTGTTTAACGTAACTTCGGTTTCTTTTTACAAGTACTAATATCTCGCCTTCTTCTTTTTTCAGACCTCGGCGACCTTCTTGGCGAACATCATGGCGACCGTCTTGGCGACCGAAGATGGCCGAGACACTAAAGCTCCGACAAGTACTAATATGTCACCGACGCCGTCGCCGTTGCTCCTGACGCCAAGTCCCGCTACCAATAATCGCCGTCGCCGTCGCCGTTGCCCCTGACGTCAAGTCCCGCTGTTCATAATCGCCGTCGCCGTCGCCATTGCTCCTGACGCCAAGTCCCGCTGCTCATAATCGCCGTCGCCGTCGCCGTTGCTCCTGACGCCAAGTCCCACTGCTCATAATCGCCGTCGCCGTCGCCGTTGCTCCCGACGCCAAGTTCCGCTGCTCATAATCGCCGTTGCTCCTGACGCCAAGTCCCGCTGCTCATAATCGCCGTCGCCGTCGCCATTGCTCCTGACGCCAAGTCCCGTTGACGGCCTTTTTCGTCGCTGCCCCTCGTCACTGGTAAGCACAGTCTTTGTTCCACTCGATTCTCTTTGGCCGTTTCGCCGTTACTCGCTTTCTTCCATTCTTAATGATTTCTAGTTGTACTAACCTGATGCCGTTTTCTTATGCAGACCTTTGGCGACCGAAGCTTCAAACGACGATCGGTGAAGGCGCCAACGCAACAGCGACGATCGGTGAAGGCGCCGACGCAGCAGCGACGATCGATGAAGGCGCCGACGCAGCAGCGACGATCGGTGAAGGCGCCGACGCAGCAGCAGCGAATTAGAGGTAACGTGACCTTCAGCAGCGCCTCTCACTTTGGTGATTTCATATTTTTCGCAGTTCTCTTCGCTTCGTATCTTTACTTTCTCTTTGACCTTTACGGATTCTTGACGGAATCTGACGAAATCTCTCTCTTTTTCTGCAGAAGCTGACCGTACGCCAGCGACGCGCGGCGACGCATGGGCGCAACTCACGGATGGCGGGCGGGGATGGCGGACGCATGACGTGACGACGTGGCGACGTCAAGTCTAACGTCGCACGGCGCATCGGAGGCGCTTGGCGACGCTTCGGTTCGCTACAAGCTGCGCCTCGCTGCGGTTAGGGTAACTCTACCAACTTTCGCTTCCTGCCGCCTTTCCCGCCGCCTTGAAGGTTTCGGTTCCTTTCGTTTAGTTTCTAACGTGGTTTGTTTCTTCCTGCAGAGGGCCTCACGGACGCACGGCGACGCTTCTCGCGGGCGGACGGTGCGTTTCGCGGTCGGAAGGCGCGTCTCCCGGACGGATGGCGCGTTTCGCGAGCGGAAGGCGCGTTTTGAGGGCAGAAGGCGCGTCTCCCGGACGGATGGCGCGTTTCCCGGGTCGGATGGCGCGTTTTCCCGGGCGGATGGCGCGTTTTCCCGGGCGTATAGCGCAGGAGCGGCGGGAGAGGGAGTCAACGGTGGAAGCGGGAGTTCAAGCGTCCACGGGGGACTCCCTCCCTCTCACTTTGTAAGTTTCAGTTCCAGTTTTCCTTGGTTTTCTTTTCCGGATACTAACTACTTTGTTGTGTGCTCCCTCTATTAGTGCAGGAGCGGCGAGAGCGGGAGTCAACGATGGAAGCGGGAGTTCAAGCGTCCACGAGGGACTCCCTCCCTCTCACTTTGTAAGTTTCAGTTCCAGTTCTCCTTGGTTTTCTTTTCCGGATACTAACTCCTTTGTTGTGTGCTCCCTCTATTAGTGCAGGAGCGGCGAGAGCGGGAGTCGACGATGGAAGCGGGAGTTCGAGCTACCACGGGGGACTCCCTCTCACTTTGTAAGTTTCAGTTCCAGTTTTCCTTGGTTTTCTTTTCCGGATACTAACTCCTTTGTTGTGTGCTCCCTCCATTAGTGCAGGAGCGGCGAGAGCGGGAGTCGACGATGGAAGCGGGAGTTCGAGCTACCACGGGGGACTCCCTCTCACTTTGTAAGTTTCAGTTCCAGTTTTCGTTGGTTTTCTTTTCCGGATACTAACTACTTGTTGTGTGCTCCCTCCATTAGTGCAGGAGCGGCGAGAGCGGGAGTCGATGATGGAAGCGGGAGTTCGAGCTACCACGGGAGACTCCCTCCCTCTCACTTAGTAAGTTTCAGTTCCAGTTTTCCTTAGTTTTCTTTTCCGGATAGTAACTACTTTGTTGTGTGCTCCCTCTATTAGTGCAGGGGAGCGGCGCTCTTCACGAATTTCCTCTCCTCCTTGCTTCCAGTCCAGCGTCCCGTGTCAGGTGGAGAGACAACCAGCCAGCATGGGGATCTGCTCCGACTCGTCTTCGACTATAGACTAGACTCGTTAGAGACGGACACTATACAGTCGCGTAGAACCGACCACGGAACAGACTGATAGGCTCGAAAAGCCCGGCACGGTATGCCGTGGTTGGTTGGTTTCGATCGGGCGTAGTACGATTCGATTAGCCGCGGTACTGTACGATGTGCCGCGGCGAAGTTAGCCTGGTGAGATGTTGTGCTGTACCAGGTATGGTGCAGATTGTCTGACATCAGCGCGACTCGAGGATTCCCACCTGACATCTGACAGCCGGACATCCGAGGCGGTTTTCTGCCCGTGGCAGTACAATTCATAATTTCCCCCCCAATAAGTTTTCATTATTTTCTTCCCTTCCTTGCTCCCGCCCCCCCACCCCCTTCCCCCGTAGATGTCCCGTGCGATAAACCCCCACCTCAACGCGGTGCACGGGTGAAACGCTAGAGGCTTTGCCTCTAGCGGCCAAGAGGGGTCACGACTCAAGCCTCAAGAACAAGTGGAGCAGCAGCAGAAGATCGGCTTGTTGTAATCTTTAGTGGAGATCGCTTCCTTGTATGTGTGTGCAATGTTTTATAATATATTTTTTCATCTTGACCTGTCACGGAATTCAGATCCAAGCACGATCGAACAAACAGAAAGCACCATTGAAATCGTTGACTAGCAATCTCTTCCTACGAAAGGGGATGATAACTCCCAAGTTCTCCATAGAATCTTCTGCAGTTAGCAAATAACGGCTTTCGTATCCATTGCGGCAGATGTAAGAAGGCAGCAGTAAGTATTATCCGTCGACGTTCGTATAATCATTACGTCTCGAAGAGATTATAATTTTGGCGGACGGCGGTAGCTCACTTGGTTGAGCGCATGCTCGAGCAGTCACGCAATTTTGTACTTCCGCTCTAAGCCCGATCATCGCAAATGACTTCCGCGTAAATAAGTCTCCGGATCTCGCCCGTTTACAGCTAACCCTAGAAACGACATGTCCGCGTGATGTGCGCTGCTTGCCGAGCGCTCTGATGACTCTATAAGGTCGCCGATTACGTGCTCTCATGGCGAGCTTGGGGAGGTAACTTGCGATAAATTGGAGCATATTAACAATCGCAGTTTCCTTAATAATCTTAATGGTATAGCGGAGCACGAATGCAAGTTCAGGCCCCGTTCCCCCCTTTCACTTCCCACCCGCTCCCATCTCCCTTCCCCCTCCCTTCGCCGTACGGACGTCGCTCCCTCCCTTGGCCGACTCTCCCTCCTTTCGCAACTGGTAGAAGCATTCCGCTAGGAACTCTATGTCCGTGTGACGCGCGCTGCGGCTGACGAGTATCTGAACGCGCCGCTCTGATGGCTCCAGTGACGTGCTCTAATGGCGAGCTTGGGGAGGTAAGGAGCGATGCTTTGGAGCATCTTAAATAATCAAAATCAGGCCCCGCCCCCTCCTTTCACTTCCCACCCGCTCCCATCCCCCTTCCCCCTCCCTTCGCCGTCACTCTCTCCTTTCGCGATTGGTAGAAAGCATTCTTGCCTCCTCTGTCCGTCGTGCCCTCATCCCTCCCGTGCGCTGATCCATTTTTCCCCCCTGCGCTCACCCCTCATCCCCCCTGCACTGATCCCTTCTCCTCCCTGCGCTCACCGCTCGTTCCCCCTGCGCTAATTCCTCTTCCCCCCTGCTCTAATACCTTTTCCGCCCTCGCCCCTCCTTGCCGCTCATCTCCACTGCACTTGTCCCGCATTCCCCATGCTCCCATCAATCCCCCCTCCCTGTGCTCCCTCCTTCTCCCCCTGCGCTCATCCGCTATTCCCCTTGTGTTCATCCCTCATTCCCTCTGCACTCCCTCATTCACCTGTACTCAACCTTTTCCCCTGCTCATCCCCCCCCCCTCCCCTCACCCTTCCCCCATGCCCTCATCCCTTCCCTATTCTCTCGTCCCTTCCCCTTTCCCTCATCCCTTCCCCCTGCGCTCATCCCTCCTTTGCCTTGTGCTAGTTTCTCATTCGCTCAGTGTTTATCCCTCCTTCCCTTTGTGCTCAGCTCACCCCTTCCCCCTGTGCTCGTCCCTCCTTCCCTTTGTGCTCATTCCACCCCCCTGCGCCCATGCCTCCTTTGCCTTGTGCTATCTCTTCATTCTCTCTGTGTTCACCCTCCTTCTCTTTACACTCATTCCATCCCATGCTTCTGCACTCATCCCCATCTCATTGACAACTGTACATCGGATACCTTGGAGACATCGGACCCGGTCGCGCAAGGTTTGAAGCGAGTTTTTCGCGCGTTCAGGCTTCACCATTTGGCAAGACATATACATCGTCCACTCAGAAGTATGTCAGCCTATCACATGGTCATTTGGTAGAGTTGTGTTGCTGAGGTTGCGTCTACTCGCTTCAGATAGGACTGTGGTCATCTGGCCTGGGTTAGTTGGATGAGGCCACTTCATTTGTTTGTACCGTACCATGTCTTACTGTACTCCCTCTCCCCCCACCGCACACCACCACCACACAACCCCAGTAGGACGGGTGCTCTGTTGGCCCTGTGTTGGTTAGGCTTCCACTCCTAGGGAATTCACTGCTATAGCTGTTTTATGATTAAAATTTGATTGCAATTTCAAACGGGCAGCACTACATAAATTCATCCATGGAAAAAAACTACTGAGAAGTGGACCAGACCAGAGCCATTGAACAAAAAGTGGTTGGGAACATTCTCACCACCACCAGCACCAGCGCCAAAGGTTCAATGTACAGTGGCTTTATGCCACAATTTATACATCACAGCATTCCGGTAGCTCACTGTACATGCATAGCACAGCACAGAAATGTCGTCTAGGCCCCCTTATAGCCCCTCTCCTCCACCCTCTCCCTTACCCACCGTACCCAACACCCCGATGCTGTAAAAGCATGTATCTGTACCACTAAAACCTTGACTAGTACGTGTTAACGTCCTGTTTTTCAATCAATTCTTTTGAATCCTCCTGCTGAACCTCCACCAGCAAACCTCCTGCTGAACCTTAGACTCCCGCTGCCGATTACCCTTCAATCTCATCCCCACTCGACTTCTCCGCTTCAAGAGGTTAAGGTCGGCACTAGCGACGTGCTGACGATGTGCACAATCAGCGATCTCCCGACATAGAAATTCGGCCAGAGAACCACCGACGGGATACCCAGGCGTCCCATCAGCACAACCATCGGCGAACCCTGCCCGAAAACTTTCGTCACGGTCTGGTCGGGCAGCTGAGTCTTGAATCTCGCCATCCACCCTGCGCTTTGCATGATATCGTACGGGTATAGGCCATCCAACATGTTGTAATTTGCAACGTCTGCTAGTTGTTGCCCGCTCAGCACTGTGAGTGCGCCGGCCCACACAAGTGCATCCATGGGGAAGAGCATTGTGGTCGCGCCTTTACAGCTGAACAACGCAAAGACTGCGGGCGGGAGTTTGGCAGTGGAGGAGGGAGGGCGGGACGGAAGGGGAAGGGAGGGGAAGGGATGGGAAGGACGAGGTGGAAGGGGAAGAGAGAAACACAGAGGGCACAGGTTAGATAAGGTAAGGTGCTTGGTCGGGTTGGGAGGAGCATAGGCCAACGCCTGTGGAACGTGGAAAGGTGAAACACATGCACGACACATGCAGAAGGACCAATGTGGAAATACACACCAGAGGGTCCCTCCCTCCCTTTCTCTCTTCCTCCCTCCCTCCCTCCCTCCCTCCCTCCGTGCCTCCCTGTCTCCCTCCCTCTTTTGCTTCCCCTCCCTCCCTCCCTCGTCGCACCAATCCCTGCGACCAAAAACACTCACAAAACGCCTCGAACGCGGCGCCAAGAAACGCGGTAATCTGGACGAACCCCGTGACGAACCCTTTCAGCGCGAGGATGATCCCCGTGATGCTGATGTCGATGCAGATCCACCCGTTGCACGACTCCGGCCACATGCAGAGGGCTCAATGTGCAAACACACACCAACGGACCCTCCCTCCCCTCCCTCCCTCCTTCCCTCCTTCCCTCCCCCCTCCCCCCTCCCTTCCCCCTCCCTCGCCCCTCCCTCCCCCCTCACTTTTAAAACTCACAAAAGGCCTCGAACGCGGCGGCAAGAAACGCGGCAATCTGGACGAACCCCGTGATGAAGCCCTGAAAGAAGCCCGAGATGAAGCCCTGAAAGAAGATCTGAAAGTTCTGAAAGAACACTTTCAGCGCGAGGATGATCCCCGTGATGCTGATGTCGATGCAGATCCACCCGTTGCACGGCTCCGGCGCCGCCGGCTTCGCCCGCCGAAGCGCGGTTCGGCTGCTGGAAGGGGAAGCCACTGCAGCCGTTGCTCTCAACTGATTCTTGCTGCTGCTATCGCTAGAACCAGAACCAGAATCAGAACCAGAGCTAGAATAATAATCAGAGCCAGTGTCGGAGCTAGAGTTAAAATCAAAGTCAGAGATAAAGCTAGAGTTAGAACCAGAGGCAGAGTTAGAAATAGAGCTAGAGCCCTTAACGGAAGCAAAGGCCTTGCTGGGAGATAGCATATCTAGAACCTCCTTTATCTCCTGTGCTTGTATCGCGCGGAAAGCCGCCATGTCCGCTGTCGCGTTGAGCTCGGACTTTTTCGGTTGCACCTCCGCGCCGCCTCGGAACAGCCCGGCCTTTTTAAGCACGTCCACTGCGGCCACTACGCGGCGCACGATGCTCGTCAGCGCCTTTTGCGGCTTCGTTATGTTCTTCCCCGTTCTCGACACAATCTCGTTGACGAGTTTCATCGCAGAGGCTTCGAGCGAGATTAGATTTGATTTTGCGTCTAGGATAGCCCGCGAGTCTTTGCCTAACCGCTTCATCGCGTCCCGGGCTCGCCTCGACGAGCTATCGACCGCGTTCTTGACGTCCTGCGAAAAGTCGTTACTCTGCCTCGCGAAAGAGGCACTGGCGAGGAGGGCGAGGAGGAGAAGGGCGAGGGCCCGTCGCATGGACTCGTGGGAGAGCCGTCTTTGCCGGTGAGTGAACGCCATGGGAGGTGGCTCGCCGCGCGAAAGGCGGGGAGGCAGACGAGGGCAGGCAGGCAGGCAGGCACACGAGGAAACGGAAGAGGAGAATAGAGTTTCGACGAGTGAAGGAAACTTCTAGCTGCGGTTGGACTGTCAGCTCGCGATTGCGTGGGATGGCTGGGAGGCTAGAGGTGAGACGACTCGAGTCGAGTCGGATGAAATAAAGGGTAAAGATGCTGTTAGCTGTTCATGGGAAGTGGTGATGGCACGAGCTGTGCTAGTCGCGTGTTCGGCCGGAGCTAACTGCAGGCTTTTTCCAACATGGAGTCGACCCAAGAAACCACTGCACACTTCTGGTTTTCTCGGCTGATGCGCTAGGGGAGTGGGTCCGGGAGCGTTTACTACAGTATCCACACGTACGGTTCTGTGGTAGAGAGCACTGACACGCTCTCTTTACATGAACGAGGAAATTAAGTGTGAAGGTTGCGGGGCTGTATGCTTGTGCTTAGAGCAGGCTGACAGGGAAATAGGAGACGAGAAAGCAACGGACTGGGTTCACGAATGGAAAAAGCGGCTGTGGTGAAGCAGCAGAGGTGTCACTGGGAGGAGGAAGTGGTCTCTTGCGCGCGACGGTGCTGTTGGGCCTGTAAATGGCGCTGAAGCAAGTAGGAATAGGGGCAACATGTTGGTGTAATGGCGTTTCGAAGTGGGACATCAGTAGGAGGGATAGACGAGGACAAACGACAGTGGCGAGGAGCAAAGTACGGTTCATTTTTATTTCTCAACGTTACAATAGATATGTACCACGGTTGATATGAATTTGTAACTGAGCGAAATCGAGCATTCCATTGCAAAAACGGACATCCCTCGCAGAGCCTTCTTCAAGCCCCTCGCCCCAACTCGCCTGCCGTGCGGGAGCTCCCCCTCCCCTCCACCATGGTGGAATTCCGCACGATTGTTGCACGGTGTTACGCTGCGCCGCCAGTACACCGTTTTCTTTTCCATCACCGCGATGTGGTGAGGGACTCGCATCTCAAGTGTCTCCCCTAGCTGCCCATCTTGAACGGGCAGCCCTGCTATACAGTAGAAGAAACGAGAAGAAACGAGAAGCAAGCTATCGGCGGTTGTCGGTTTCCCAACAGTGGAAGTCAGTTTCTGGAGGTGCTGCTTCATGGTGATTGGTTCGTGGTTGGCTACCGTGTGCGAAAATCTTGGAACGTGGGCCGGATAGACGAAGTCCCAAATAAGCTAGCACTGCGAAACTGATTTGGTTACTCGTCTGTTTGCGAAGCGTGTCCCCAAACCCCCACCGACAGATCTCGCAGCGCAGCTTTTTTCAAGCCCGCCGAGATCCAGGGTGATGGGGGTAGGGCAGTTCTTCCCCACAGTTCTTTCAAGCCGTCCGAAATCTCCCACAGTTCTTCCCCCTTCGAGATCACGCATACACCTGACTCATTTACAGCTCAAGACAGCACTTGTGGTATAATTTCCATTCCTTACTAGGTTTCCACACAATACATTCAGAACAACAGACAGACTCACCCGAATTCCTATTTGGCGCCTTGTGACAAAGCTCAACCAATCTGTGCCAGACCTAAATTATAGGTCCTTGTCTAGCTGGAGTACTTAACCTCCATTCATATGAGAGGTTTTGTCTGTGGTAACATATTTGACGGTATTTGTTACCGTTTTCCTTTTTATTAGAGATTATAACGTCGTGCCTAAATTTGTCATGTGCCCTTCCAACTGACCAGAGCCAGATGAGCACAGTGCTCTCTGAAGCCAGTAAATGCAATCTCAGCGACACAAAACACTACCAAATGACTTCATGTGATAGGCTGACTTGAGTGGACAATGTACATATTTTTGCCAGATGGTGAAGCAACTTGTACAGTTGTCATTGAGATGAGGATGAGTGCAGGAGGAGGGATGAGCGTAAACGGGTAAGGGGTGAGGTGAGGGAAGGAAGGATAAGCACAGAGCGAATGAGGAACTAGTACAAGGCAAAGGAGGGATGAGCGCAGGGGGAAGGGATGAGGGCATGGGGGAAGGGTGAGGGGAGGGGGGAGGGATGAGGGCATGGGGAAGGGTGAGGGGAGGGGGGAGGGATGAGGGCATGGGGAAGGGTGAGGGGAGGGGGGAGAGATAAGCAAGGGGAAAGGTTGAGTGCAGTGGAATGAGGGAGCGCAGAGGGAATGAGGGATGAACACAAGGGGAATAGCGGATGAGCGTTGTGGGGGAGAAGTCGGGAGCACAGGTGGGGCTGATGGGAGCAAGGGGAATGCGGGATAAGTGCAAGGGGGATGAGCGGCAAGGATGGACGAGGGATGAACGGTGGGGGAATAAGAGGTGAGCGCAGGGCAGAAAAGGGATCAGCGCGGGGGGGAAAAGAGAACAACGCAGGGAGAATGAGGGGTGAGCGCAGGGGAGGGATGCGCGCAAGGGAGGGATGAGCGCAGGGGGGACGGCATGCTATCGATATTTTCAATGGGGTGAGGAGCGAGCAACGGGGAGACGAGGGATGAGCGGGGGCAAGACAGAGTGGGGAGGCAAGAATGCCTCTACCAATAGCGAAAGAAGGGAGAGTCGGCCAAAGGAGGGAGCGACGGCGGGGGAGGGGCAAGGGGGATGGGAGCGGGTGGGAAGTGAAAGGGGGGAACGGGGCCTGAACTTACATTCGTGCTCCGCTATACCATTTCACGATAATTTTGATGATTAAGATGATCCAAAGCGTCGCTAGTTACTATCCCAAGCTCGTCATCAGAGCAGGCGACCTATGGAGTCATCAGAGCGCGCGGCAGGCAGCGCGCATCACACGGACATGTCGTTTCTAGGGTTAGCTGTAAAACGGGCGAGATCCTGAGACCTATTTACGCGGAAATCGGGCTTAGAGCGGAAGTACAGAATTGCGTGACCGCTCGAGCTTGCGCTCAACAAGTGAGCTACCGCCGTCCGTCAAAATTATACTCCCTTCGCGACGTAATGAGTATACGAAAGTCGACGGATAGTTCTTATTGCTTTCTTCGTACAATGGGTATGAAAGCCTTTATTTGCTAATTGCGGAAGATTCCATGATGCTCGCTTCTGGCAAATAAAGGCCAAAAGATGACACTAATGGCTAGGAGAACTGTACATATAAAAATCCGTCCTAACCAGTAATTTGTCCTAACTGAAAGTCGCAGACGTTTATGTTCTCCGCAGAAGACATGATTTTTGACTCTGACCAGGAACACGGCCTGGTGGACACCATGTGCCCCTGCTGGTGTGTCATCATCAAGCCTGTGACTGCGTGATGCCTGCCAATGACAAACATGTACCACCCGAGTCGTTCAGTTCCGATGGCATAACCGACCTTTTTCAGCTGTGCAGCTGCAGTAACCGATGTCTTTCACATCCTGCCCGCTGTTGCGTACAGTTCAACTTTCCACGTGATTCATCGTTCTTGTCGAAAGAAACACAATACCCCACCAAACAAATGGCATTTTACTTTTTACTTGCAGCACATTCTTGTTGCTCTTTCGAGATGTGGTGTGCTCAGGAAATTATATAGTAACGGGCAGCGTTGTGGAATCATTTCCAGGGCAGCGAAAGCCAGTGTCTGTTCAGCTTTCTGGATTCGGTGCTTGGATTTCTACCCTCCCAACCCATCTCCAACCGTCCAGATCCCTTTCAAACAACATGTTGTCCAAGCTTCCAAGTTCCAACACAAGATTCATCCACACTTGCAAGCATGGGATGGGATTTCAAGCGTGTACAGTAATTACTCAAGTGTTTTTCGAGTAACGCAAGCCTCCATACTACGCAACCATCGATCTTATGATGTGATCTAGGGACTACACCCAATTCTCTAGTCCATATAAATAAGTTTTATTAAATAAAACCGTTTTATTAAATTCAGCACCATCGTGTTTTATTACATTCAATGAACCCAACGTCTGTTTCTTTAGCTAACAAGGGACCCAAGAAGTTCCTATCACATGCGTTATGGTGACAATTTGAGCTGAGGCGTTTAGTCGATATTTGATACGTTCTAGAGTGGTACACGTGTTGTCAAAGCGGTTGAGACAGTTTTTCAGAATTAACGGCATCATACGGCCCAATTCTTGTTTCGTCGCCTCGTGCGACGTTGCCCGCAACCGAGTTATTGCACCAGCCCGCTACGTCCAAGCGAGCCGAATGACTCCTGCACCTGACGAAAGTGCACATCCAATGACCAAATGGTCCAGTTTCTCGCTCCCAAATCTCTGCTGTGGGCACAACAATTTGTTAGCTAAAGAAGCACCTTTTAGCTCATGTGCTTCTTTTCAGATTTAAAACCTGATAGAAATTCCTTACAGTGTGTTTCGGTGTAGAGGGCCGAACCGACCAGCGTTGAGCAGACCAATCTGCTCTTTCCTTCCCCAGCAAAGCAAAGCAGCTCTAGCAGCCCCACTCCCAGGCACTGAGCAGTACCAGACCAGCAGACAGCCAGGCCAGGAAGAAACCGGGGTAGGTGTACAGTTCATCAACCCCGCCACCTCACATCGCCCCACAGCAAAACCACCCATGACACATCGCGGGGTAGAATTCGACAGCAGCAGCTTCCTTTTGGGCCATGTGTAGTCAACTCCTCTCCTTCCCTCTCTCGTCCCCACCCTTATCTTTCTCCCTGCTTCCCATGCTCCACACCACTGCACAACACCATGCCGATTTGTCTTCCCCCCTGAACTGCACAACCGCTTCAACATCATCCGCAATCTAGGTAATCCCAGTGCACTAGACAGGGCTGCTTAACTTCGGAGCGCGTGCGATTATCGTGACGATCCTTTAGATCACGACGCGGCGCGCTGAGAGCGGCCGGCATCCCGGCCAAGCGACGCTGCAGAGCTCCTCCGTTCGCGCCGCAAAACTCAAAAAGTCAGCCCGCACTTAGTGGTTCGCTGCCAGCGGCTCGGCAATCCGTCCACGGTCAGGCAGTGCCGGTCTGTACGTCTCGCCTGTAGATATAACGAGCCTATTTTTAAATTAGTAATTTCCCTAATCACTCTCCGTCTCTCGACTCTAAAAGGATGAAGAATCGTCAGCCATATTTAGGCAAAAAAAGCAGGCACAAGTGCTATTCAAATCCAGGGGCACGCGAATAAGCTCCTAGTCGCATGCCGCTTTCGTCAAATCCACTTCGTCAATCCTACTTCGTCCCCCGCATCCCGCGCCAACTTACGTTCCTTTCTGCACCGACGCGCTCATGCAAAAGCCCCGCCAACTTCCGGCCGCCCCCGGCGCCCTCGGCAATGGCGGGCGGACGGGGGGAAGCGGCGGAGGGCTGGAGCGCACGCGCAGCGGAACCTGGATGGGCGCAGCGGCGCTTAACCCGCAAAAAGAAAAGCTTTCCGCGCTCCGCTCTCCCGGTAGCGCCCCGCCGGCGGCGGAGGACAAGAGCGGCGGGGGAAAAGGGCGCGCTGGAGGGGGAGGGCCCCGCCCAGGATCAGCCGGAAGCGGGAGGGACACGTCCAAGGCGGGGGAAAAGGGGAGATTCGGCGAGGGGAAATGGCGGTTCGGCTTTACGTCGCGTCAGGATGCACGAGCCACGTCGTCGCCGCGCGTCGGGCCGTCGTCTGGGCTGATGGGGCTGTCTTTAGGCGGCGGCGGCGGTGGCGGCGGCGGGGACGGCCCGTTAAAGCGCATGGCGCGCAGGATGTTTCCGCCTGTCCCCGCCCCGGGCAGCAGCAAGAGCAGCTCCCTCTCGCTAGTGGCGGGCTTTGGCGGCTACCGCGCCCTTCGCGGCGGAAGCGGCGCCGCCGCCGCGTCAGGCGCGGCAGCGGGCAGCGGCGTCGCGGGAGGAGGCGCAACTGCTAGCAGTAGTGGCGGCGCGGCGACGGGCGCGCAAGCCGCCGGCGGAGCCGTGAAAACCGAAATGCTGGCGTTCGAAATCGGGTGCATCATGCGGCGCCTCTTAGAAATCGACGACTCGACGAGCGAGCGCTCTCTGGCCGCGCTTCGAGCTAACCTCCAGGCGCCCGGCGTGGTAACCCTAATCTCCCCCGACCTGCAGCTCCTGTGGAGCCTGGCCGGCGCGGAAAAGGCGGAGGAATTGCAGAGCGTGGCGCTACGAGTGGCCGTGCTGGGCCGCAAGTGCCGGCATCCTAGGCTGCACTCGTTAGGCGATATGCTTGACCGGCTTACCGCTCCCGCTTCTCCCGCGGCGCGCGCGGTTTCCGCTGCCGCCCCCGCTGGCGGCGTAGCTGGCGGAGGCGGCGCAGGCGGCGCGGGCGGCGCGGGCGGTTCTAGCAGTGCGTCGAGTTCTGGGGGGTTAGGGCGGTTCGCATGGGCGGGGGGATTCGCGGGCGCGCGCAGCGGGGCCGCTGCTGCGGGGGCGCCAAGGGGAGCGGGCGGCGGCGCAGAAGCCGCGGAGTTGGACTTGGCGCAGTTCACCGCGTCGGCAACGGAAGCCGAGGCGCTGATGAGGTGAGCGCGACGCGTCTCGACGTTGGCGCACGTGTTACATCTTTGTACAGGATTGTGACTTATGTCTCCCATGCCTATGTTGATTGAAGACTCATGCGATTCTCCATTTCTTTGCCTGCCGCCATGTCTATGTGCGTGTGCCTGTGCGTGGACGTGTGCGTGTACGTGTGCCTGCGCGTGCCTGTGCGCGTGCGTGTGAGCGTGCGTTGGAGCGTGCGGCGCGTGTGCGCGTGTGCGCGTGCCTTTGCTCGTGTGCGTGCTGCCATCACGTGTGCGTGTGTGCCCATCAGGTTCATGAAAGAGCAGGCGGAGGCGACGGAGCGACTGCGCGCGGAGATGGAATCCATTCAGCAGCTGCACCGCCGGTAAGCTCGCTCACACACACACGCCATGCGCGGTCATGAGCGGTAATGGGCGGTGATGGGCAGTGGTACGCGGTGATCAGGTTTTCCTCCCTTGTGCTTTGCTCATCCTGACCGCCTTTCGTTCTCTCTCCCGTGGCATCTCCTCTCCCGTGGCATCTCCTCTCCCGTGGCATCTCCTCTCCCGTGGCATCTCCTCTCCCGTGGCATCTCCTCTCCCGTGGCATCTCCTCTCCCGTGACATCTCCTCTCCCGTGAGAAGCCCCCTGCTTCTCCCTTCCCTCATTCTCCCCCAACCCTACTCGCACCCCACCTTCCCTTCCCCCCCCCCCCTGCCTTCTTTCCCCCCCAACCAAATCAGCATCCAGGCATACGGCGAGTGGAACAAGCTCCAGGACATGGTAGCGCAGGGAAAGGCCATCGAGAGGCTGCAGTCGCACTGCCTGTGGTCGCTCGACCTCGACTTCCCCGTTCAGCTCCTCGTCGCCGCGCTCTGCCTGCTGCGCGCGCGCATCCTTGCTGCCTTCGGCCCCGCGCCTGCTGCCCCCCCGCCGCTGTGCGGAGTGTCGCTGGGCGTGTGGGGCCTGGCGCTGCACTATGCGAACGTGGTGGTGGTGGTGGAGAGGATTATTCAACAGCCGGATGCGGTCATGGGCAAGACCAGGTGGGCTTGCGTTGCTTGCGTTGCTTGCTGCTGTAAACTGCTGCTCCTTGTGTGTTGTGTTGTGTGCTGTATAGCTCTGCCTGGTCTTGAAGGGCGGTGTGATGAGTGGTAAGTGTGTGTGGGGGGGGGCTGCCGCTGTGCGGAGTGTCGCTGGGCGTGTGGGGCCTGGCGCTGCACTATGCGAATGTGGTAGTGGTGGTGGTGGAGAGAATCATTCAACAGCCGGATGCGGTTATGGGCAAGACCAGGTGGGTTCGGTTCGGTTTAGGTAGTGCTGTGCTCTGTGTGTGGAGGCCTGGCGCTGCACTACGCGAATGCAGTCATGGGCAAGACCAGGTGGGTTCGCATAGTGCTGCGCTAAATGTGTGTGGTGTGTGCGTTGGGGGGGGGGGGGGGGGGGGGGGGGGGGGAGGGAGGGGGGGGGGCTGGCGCTGCACTATGCAAACGTGGTGGTGGTGGTGGAGACGATTATTCAACAGCCAGACGACCTCCCCAGGGAGCGCAGGGAATAATCCTCCCCACCCCAGGGACGAGGTGATGGAGAGGGCGACCTCCCCAGGGGGTGGGGCGCAGCATGCTGCTGTGTGCTTGCTTGCTTGCTCAGGGACGAGCTCTATGACATGCCACCCACCCACCCACACCGCGCAGCATACAGCAACACTGCATGCTGTGACTTTTGAGTCGACTCAAAAGTCACTTCCTCAGGGACGAGCTTTAAGACATGCTACCGAGCAGCGTACATCGCTGCGTGCTGTGTCGTAGCACATTCCCAACCCACCATTCTCCCTTCAACTTCCCCTCCCAACAACCCTCCTCTCTTTCCCCCTCAGGGACGAGCTTTACGACATGCTACCGTAGCCTCTTGCTACCGTGCAGCATACAGCACTTACTGCGCTGCTGCTGCTGCTGCTGCTGCTGCTGCTGCTGCTGCTGCGTCGTCTCACCACGGTTCCATTTCAACCCGTCGCTCTCCCCTCCTCTCCCCCCTCCCCTCTCCCCTTCCTCCTTCCCCAGGGACGAGCTATACGACATGCTCCCGCGCAGCATACAGCATTCCCTGCGCCGCCAGCTGCAGAACCCGGGGAACTTCCTGCCGGACGGGAGAGTGGAGGCGAACCTCAAGCGCGGGCTGCTGCTGCTGCCCACCATGGCGCACAACACCATCTTCTGGCAGTCGCTGCACACGCCGGGGACCAACATGGGGACGGATGAAGTCGTCTTTCAAGTGCAGGTGAGAGGGGATGGGAGGGGGAGGAAGGGGGGTGTAGGTGGGTGGGGAGTGTGGGTGGATGGGATGGTGTGGCTGGGGAGAGCGTGGATGCGGCGCGGCTCTGGTGGACGTGCTTCTGGGCTCTTTCTCCCTCCCCTCTTTTGAGTCGACTCAAAAGTCACCTCGTTACTATGGCACACGACATTGCTTCTGGGCTCTTTCTCCCTCCCCTCTTTTGAGTCGACTCAAAAGTCACCTCGTTACTATGGCACACGACATTGCTTCTGGGCTCTTTCTTCCTCCCCTCTTTTGAGTCGACTCAAAAGTCACCTCGTTACTATGGCACACGACATTGCTTCTGGGCTCTTTCTCCCTCCCCTCTTTTGAGTCGACTCAAAAGTCACCTCGTTACTATGGCACACGACATTGCTTCTGGGCTCTTTCTCCCTCCCCTCTTTTGAGTCGACTCAAAAGTCACCTCGTTACTATGGCACACGACATTGCTTCTGGGCTCTTTGTCCCTCCCCTCTTCGACCCCTTGTACTTCCAACCCATCCCAACCCAGCTCAAATCCATCCTTCCCCCCCCCCAATTCCCTGCGGACGTTCTACTATGCGAATCGGGAGAGCGCGGATGCGGCGTCGGTGGACGTGCTGCTGGGCCCCTCTCCTCCTGCAACCCGCTGCTTCCAACCCATGCCATGTCGTTCCCCCCCCGCCCCCCCCCCCTCAACAGACGTTCTACTATGCGAATCGGGAGAGCGCGGATGCGGCGCCGGTGGACGTGCTGCTGGGGCTGTCTCCTCTTTGATCCCCTGCACTTTCAACATATTCCAACCCAACCCAACCCAACCCTCTGTTACTCCTCCCCACAGACGTTCTACTATGCGAATCGCGAGAGTGTGGATGCGGCGCTGGTGGACGTGCTGCTGGGGCTGTGCCGCATATGCGGAGTAGAGGAGCCCGTTCTCGGCCCTCTCGCTGCTGCTGCCCTCACCACCACCACCGGCACCCCCAGCACCACCACCACCACCACCACCACTGAAGCAGACGTCAGCAGCAGCAGCAGCAGCAGTACCGCTGCTGCCACCGTCAGCAGTGCCAGTACCAGCAGCAGCAGCGGCAAGGGCAGCAGAAGTGCCCGCGCGTGCTTCCCTGCTGATGAAATGGAGACCTGTGTATCCACCACCACCACCACCACCACTGGAAGCTCCTCTGCTGCCGCTGCTGCTTCTTCTCCTTCCTCTTCCTCTTCCTCTTCCTCATCCTCACCAGCAGCATCAGCATCCCTGTCATCACCATTATCATCATCATTTCTCTCCTCAGCAGCAGCACCAGCAGCAACTGCTCCGGCTCCGACAGCAGCGGCGGCGGCGGCAGCAGCAGTGCTGGCGCGGGGGGACCCGTTCCTAAGCGACGCGCAGTTCTTAGCTAAGTATGGGCCGAACGAGGGGCAGCAGAGGGGGCGGAACTGGTGGGGTGGGGCGGTGGTGCATGTATTGGAGGATAACAGCGGAGCTAGGGAATGGAGGGAGAAACAGAGGGAGAGACAGAGGGAGAGGGAGCAACAGGGGCAACAGGTTGCTAGGACGGAGAGTGAGAGTGGAGGAGGAGAGAGTGGGAGGGGGGGAGAGAGAGGAGGGAGAGCAGGACGAGAAGCGAGGGAGCGGGGTCGTTCTGCTTCCCAAGGGACAAGCCAAGATCATTCTGTTGCAGCAGAAGGAGAGGTGGGGGATCGAGCGGGTGAGGGAGGGGGACGGGAAGGCGGCAGATTGCAGAATTGGCACGGTAAGGCGGAGGAGGGAAAGGAGGGGGAGGAAAAGGCGGAGGAAAAGGAGGGGGAGGAAGAAGAAGGGAAGGATGGGGAGGCCGCTCCTGAGGATCTCCCTCCTGAGGCGGTCCGAAGCCACTCTTTGCGACGAACAACTAGCAGTCGATTCGGAGTGGCAGCAGCAACGCCGCTGCGTCTCATGTCTGCTGCGCTGACGCACGCAGCAGCGGCTTTCGAAGGCGGCCCTCAGAGGTCGGCTGTTTCAACGCACGCCACCACCGCTGCAGGAGCAGCAGGTGCAGCAGGAACAGGAGCCGCAGCAGCAGCGGCAATGAGAGGGGGCTCGGGGAGAAGCAGTGGCAGGCACAGAAGGTCTTCCAGCCGAGGGATGCTGTGGCTGGTGGGCGAAGGGAAGGGGAAGGATTTCGGCGAGGAGGTGCAAGAGGAGGGGTGTGTGGGGGAAGCAGGGGTGGAACGCGGGGATGGGGATGTGGATGTGGATGGGTGTCAGGAGGGCGGAGGCGGGAAGAGAGGAGGATTTGGTGGTGGTGGTGGTGGTGTCTGTGGTGGTGTGGATGGTGACGGGGAGTGTGGTGCGGTTCAGAGCGGTGCAGAGGGTGATTCGGTGAGTGGGCTTGGCAGTGAGTCATGCAGCAGGAGCAGCAGTCTGAGCAGCATCACTACAGCATCCATGCTCTCGCTCACCTCCCTCGCCTCCTCCTCCTCCTCTTATGCTTCCTCTGCTGCTACCGCCACTACCACTGGCCGAAGCAGCTGGAGCAGCAGCAACAGCAGGAGCATCAGCGGCAACAGGCCTCAACCTAGGAGCAGCGATGCCGCCACTGGCCGGAACCCGCGCAGAAACAGCACCAGCAGCACCAACGACAACAGCAGCAGCAGCATCAGCGGTAACAAGAGCAGCAACAGCAACAACAGCAGCAGCGGCGGCAACAACAGCAGCAGCAGTGGCAACAAGAGCACCAACAACAGCAGCAGCAGCAAGAACAGCAAGGGCAGGAGCAGTGCAGGCCATACCATCGAGGCTCCACCTTTCATCCCGGTCATCCCAGTCATCCCGCGTTCGGAGTCCTGTCACGAAGCCCCCACGTACATCAAGGCCCTCTCACACACCACCACCACCCACACCACCTTCGCCCCCAACATGGGCACAGGCAGAGGCTCAGACATGGCTGTGAGCATGGGCATGGGAATGGATATGGATGCGAGTATGGCAGCAGCGATGGCGATGAGTGCAGCAGGGCAGCAGTACATCCCTCGCAGCGCCAGCATGAGCTGTGCCGTACCACCAGCACCACCGTCATCGTCGTCGTCGTCCCTACACCGCACCTCCTCCTGCTCTACCAATGCCACGAGCCTCAGTGCTTCCTCCAGCCCGGCCGAGTCTCTTTCTCTCCCCCACACCGCCCGCGCGACTTTTGAGGCGTCTCAAAAGTCCCAAAAGTCGGTGCCGTTGTCGCCCCTGCATCGCACCACCTCCTGTTCTACTTCTGCCGTGAGCCTCAGTGCTTCCTCCAGCCCGGCCGAGTCTCTTTCTCTCCCCCACGCCGCCCGCTCGCCCTTCTCCCCGCACTCCCCCTTCTCCTCACACTCCCCCCACGTGCTCCACTCCCCCGGCTCGTCGCATTCGCCGTCTGGCGTGCAGGGCCGACTAGCCCGCTGCTCTCCCTCCCCCTCCCGCACTGCCCTTGGGAGCAAGCCTGTGGGAGCGGCGAGTAGTGAGACGTCTAGGAGATTGTCTCCCTCCTCCTCCTCCTCCTCCTCCCCCTCCCGCACTGCCCTTGGGAGCAGGCCTGTGGGAGCGGCGGGTAGTGAGACGTCTAGAAGATTGTCTCCCTCCTCCTCCTCCCCCTCCTTGCGCACTCCGCTCGGGAGCAGGCCAGTGGGAGGGGTGGGTACGATAGCAGTGAAGGTGATCCCAGTGCAAGGGGCAGGGGCAGGAGCAGTGGCAGGGGCAGGAGCAGTGGCAGGAGCAGGAGCAGGAGCAGGAGCAGGAGCAGGAGCAGGAGCAGGAGCAGGAGCAGGAGCAGGAGCAGGAGCAGGAGCAGGAGCAGTAGAAGGAGGAGGAGCTGGGGGTCTGGAGCTAAAGGGTGTGGGGAAAGGGGAGGAAGAGGAGGGAGATGACTCGGTTTGGGGGTCTAAACTTGGGGGTGGCAGGCGTACTTGTGTTGGTGCTGCTCCCAGCAGCAATGGCAGCGGTGTTACCTGCGCGACCAGCAGTCCCCGTAGCAGTAACGCTATCTTAAGTAGCAATGATGGTGCGTGTGGGAGCAGCGCTGAGAGGGGCAAGCACAGACGAATCCCTTGGATAATTGATGGCGGGAAAGAACCCTGTGGATGATTTGCTGCTGCCTTGGAATGGATGGTAAGTGTATGTATGCTTAAATCAATGGATTTTTATTGTAATATATGCTTTGTCCAACATGTGGGTGCTGCAGTCAAGCACTTGGTTCTTGTAAATTCTTAGTTTGATCATTTCACGTCGTAGTTGCTTAATTCGGAAACTCAGCTCTTGTACACCTCACCCCACCCTTAGAAAGCGTCTCTCTGCGTGGGTGGTACAAACAAGAGACATAAGCACAAAGGCCAATCAAATGCGAGTTTGCAGATTTTCTGTGCTTGTCTTGCTCGATCTCTGACGTGGTTTTACTTGTGCTGAGGCTCACCTTTTCCGACGTGGCACACACGATTTGTATTGACGTGGGAGATGCCAAACTCCAGCTGTTTCGAATCGATGCCGAGTGGTTCACATTATTCGCCAGAGCAGTTCGGACAGCACTGTGGACTTGGCGCGCAAAGGCCACGACAACACTGTACACTAGATACACGCTTCTGACGGGTTTCCAGCACATTCTGGCTACACGTGTGTCAGCCCATTCAACTCCTACAGTAATGGTACATGGGGGTTGAACGACGTTTGCCATTCGATACGCCGATATCTTGCAGTCGAATGAGGTCTGCGAGCGCTGCCGTCGGGGGAAGCACGGAACAGGTGGCGCATGCTTTCCACACCCCATCCCTCTCCCCTCTCTCCTTCCCCAGGTGCGGGAACGAAATAATCGTCGTCGTAACACAAGTATGTGTGCCATTTCCGCCTCGCAAAGCCTCTTTAGCGTGAGTGAACGAATCTTGCCAGGGAAACCTGACGAAATTCGCAACTGCGTCTGCTCCGCGCCAGCCGCCATCCACCAAGTCCTTTCAAAGAGAACGCACAGAACCGTATTGAAACGCAGAAATACGCACATAAATCCCGGAAAAAAAATAGCAACCATGTCACAAATCCATCCGAAACCGGACCATTCGAACAGCTTGAACTTTCCGCGGAACCCTTCCCCTTCCCCTGCTTCACCACATGTTACAACGACGCCTATCTTGCTTCCAGATTCGCTTGCTCCCCATTCACGAGTGATATGACACCTTCGGTGCACTTCTTGTACATACAATCGAACCGGCTTGCGCCTTTCACCTTGTGCTGTGCGATTTGCGGCTTGCATTTCAAGAGAGCTAAGGTCGAAGTGGCATAGGGGATTTGGACACAGACAGCGCTGCTATATCTACTCAGCGGCTGCTGCGGCCGTGCTCAGTGGGTTTTCCGCTTACAGACTACGTAAGAGTGTAGCGGCACCGCTTTGCTTTGAAGCTTCTTCGAGCCGCCATTCCCTGTCAGTCGAGGACAAACCCGCTTCGGAAATTACCACGTGCTCACGGAGATTTCGGGCTTCCTACTGACACGGACTCACGAACCGCCTCCTGTTCGTGCACTCTGCCTTCTCCAGAGTCTAATCCCGCAACGCCTAAATCCCGCAGAGCCTTAATCCCGCAACGCCTAAATCCCGCAGAGCCTAAATCCCGCAACGCCTAAATCCCGCAACGCATAAATCTCTTCCATGGACTTTCCTAACGCTGCGACCACCGCGGCGATCTGCCTCCTCTGCGACTGCGACGCCACCGAGAGCTGCATGTGCGATGGCCCCTCGCTCTCGTTAAAAGAACACCCGCAACTATTCTCTGGTTACGGCATTGCCTCCGATGAAATAACTACCAGCGGGCGGCGAAGCGCATGCGCACCCGCGGCGGAAGCGGCGGCCGCGCCCGCGCCCGCGCCCGCGTCTGCCTCCGCCGCGCATCCCGGTCATACTAGGCGCAGGGGATTCAAATACTCACATCTTAGAAACTTCGTAAGGCGGTATCGAGTTCCCCGCTTGCTCACCATCTCTCTCCTCGTTCTTCTCGCGTGGCCAGTAACCTGGTTGCACCACCACTTCACGATCATGCGAAGCGGCGAGTCGCCGCACATGCGCGTGGAGTTCTCGCTAATCGTCGCCGTGTCGTCGCTGCTGTACCTGGCCGTCGCATACGCCTTCTGGATCAATGCGTGTCCGGTTCTCGCGGCGGTTTTCACGCTCGTGACGATCAGCAGCCTCTTCACGGACAGTCTACACACGTCATCGCGCTTCTGGCCGCGCGTCGACCGCTTTCTCGCAACCTGCGCCAGTGAGTCTATGAGTCAATGCGCCAAAGTCTTCGAGGCGTGAAGACTCGTAACGCGCTCGTTACTGAACATCACGCTGCCCGCGCTGTCCATGCACGATGTCAACATCCAAGAGTACCACTTCCTATACCTCCCTTCTTCTCTTCGTATCACTTACCTTCTTACTCTCCCCGTGCCCCTCTGCCCGCCTTCCCTTCCTCCGCCTTCCCCCGTCCGCCTCCCCCTTTCCGCCTTTCCCGTTTCCGCCTTTCCCCTTCCGCTTTCCCCCCTCCGCCTTTCCCGCTCCGCCAGCGCTGCTAGGCCCTATCCGCGCCATGGCGTTCTACTGCGCGTCGGCGGTGCAGCGCCGTGATTCACTCCCCGCCTTCCCTCCCTCCGCCTCCCCCCCTCCCCTTTCCCCTTTCCGTCCCCCCCCCCTCTCCGCCAGCGCTGATAGGCTTCGCTTTTGAGACGATTCGAAAGCAGACCCTCCTCTTCCCCCCCCCCCTTTCCCCCTCCGCCTTTCCCCCCCGCCAGCGCTGCTAGGCCCCATCCGCGCCATGGCGTTTTACTGCGCGCGCTTTCTATACGCTGCATAGACATCCCTCCGTGTTCCCATGTGTCCCCCCTCCACCATTGTTCCCCCCCCAGCGCTGCTAGGCCCAATCCGCGCCATGGCGTTCTACTGCGCGTCGGCGGCGCAGCGCGCGGAGGTCGCAGCGCTGTCGCTGCTGTCGCTCTCGTGCCTCGCGTGGAGCCGCAAATCGCGCTGCCAGTGGGATTTCGTGGTGCGCCACTCCACATGGCACCTCGTCAGCGCAGTCAGCCTGCTGTACCTCGCGAATTCCGTTGAGTTTTCTTAGCTAAGTGCTGCCTGGGTTCGTTGAGCGTTTCATGAGTGCAAGGGAGCTGTTGTTTGGCGCTTACATCTAATTACCCTAGCAGCAGCAACAGAGCAGCAGCAGCAGCAGCAGCAGCAGCCGAAGCGGCAGCAGCAGCGGCAAGAGCTGGGTGTGGAAATAAGAGTGCCTTCATTCACAGGTTGAACAGTCAACTTGCAAGCTTGTTGACTTTCGGCCTTTCTTTGCAGTTTTTGCAGTGTAACACAGCAACTGCGGTTGCCCATGGTATGTTCACAGCCACGTCCATCTTCAATCACCCTCAGGGTATGCCCTCCCCTGATGGGCCCAGGAGCTAAGCTTTTGCCAGAACGTCAGTTATGTTTTTAGAGAGGCTCTAAGCTTGATCACGAGAGTGCGCAGTTTTGTTAGTTTCTGTATCTATATACATAGAACTTTCTTGTGTCTGATCGCGCCGTGCATTGAAGCTGTTCACTTGCTAGGATCAAAACAGAATGACGCATCTACAGGAAGAAAAAGATGACTTCCATGCTGCCATACTAAAACCAACCATACTTCCCTTATGCCTATCGAAACTGCTCCTAACTCTGCAAGATTACTACCAGTACTACGGTACCAGCTGCCTAGCTGGCACTCCTTTGCTATTCCCAGGCCTGGAAGCACCCATAGCCCAGACGCAGCAAACGCCGACATTTCAGACGTGCAAGCACCATGCAGTGCCTCTATCAAACTCCTGCCTTCACACACCAAACGCCCCAACACAACAAACAACCGGACCTGGATGCACACACCAAGCCCCTTCCCTTCGCCCTGACTGGTAGCACCCTTCACAGCACTCCTCCCGGGTCCTCCTTCCAAATCGCCCTCTGCTCGATTCCTCCCCGCTCTAAGTCCTGACCGGGAACCACCCGGCACTGGTGGCGGATCGGAACGCCGTGTGCGAGTGCCGGTTCTCCTCCCCTCTCACCACCCCCAAACAGCGCTGTCCCTTTGATTCGATACTGCGCCAGAAGCAACCCCCCACACCAGGCGCCCTCTCGAGTTCTCCTCTCAACTCAACCCCTCTCCCAACTGCCTCCCTTTCAGTCCTGACTTGGGATCGAGTCACCACATGTGGTACTGCCAGCGTGCCCTCTCCGTCCCTCTGCTCAACTCCTCCCCGCTTTAAGTCCTGACCTGGAAGCACCCGGCAACGGTGGCGGATCGGAACGCCGTGTGCGGGCGGCGATTCTCCTCCCCTCTCACCACCACCGACTCTATCCGCACGCCCGACAGCGCCGCCCCCATGATTCTGAACTGTGTCAGCAGTCCCGCACCAGAGGCCCTCTCGAGCTCTCCCCTCAACTCCTGCTCGCTCAACTCCTGCTCTCTCTATTCCAGCCCCTTTGAAGCCCTGAATTGGGATCGAATCACCGCCTGTGGCCCTGTCTATGGTACTCCCCCTCTCCTCCCTCTCCTCAAGTCCTGACCTGGAAGCACCCGGCAACGGTGGCGGATCGGAACGCCGTGTGTGGCCGCCGGTTCTCCTCCCCTCTCACCACCACAGACTCGATCCGCACCCCTGACAGCGCCGCCCCCATGATTCTGAACTGCGCCAGCAGCACCGGGTGCACGTGCGGGCGGGGGAGCGGGGAGGAGAGGCGGAGCCCGCCAGAGAGACAGGGGTTCTTGTCTCGGGGCATCCGACCGATCGACCACGTGCAGAGCTGGTGGGGCGAGAGGCAGGGAAAGGGGGGAGGGGGGGGGGGAAGAAACAGCAGGAAGGGGCCGGACGTGGGGGGGGGCAGGGGAGGAGGATGCGGGGAGGAGTTACGGGAATGCGGCTGTCGGCTCTCTCGGAACTGAAGTCCCCATGAATCTGAACTGCGCCAGCAACACTGGGTGCACGTGCGGGCGAGGGAGCGGGGAGGAGAGGCGGAGCCCGCTTTGAGTACCCGCTTTGGTCTGGAGTGCAAGGCACTCACCTTGGTGACTGTGTCAAACGCCACAGTCCCCACGTTGGCCTGCAGGTCACAGGAGGCGACTTGCTTTCACTCAGGGCAAACGTTTGACTCCCACGCTGTCTACAACTCCACTCACCTTGGTGACTGTGTCAAACGCCACGGTCCCCACATTGGCCTGCAGATCGCAGGAAGCGACTTGCATGGGCAGCGGCAGCAGCAGCACTAGCCCCTCCACAGGCTTGCCCGGGTCGTGCTTCACCCCCACCATCACGTTCACCCGCCCACTGTCCTGCACGAATGCTATCTGCGGCTTGACGTAGACAGGTACACACGGTATGCTGCGAACCCTGTGGGGATAGTGGGGATAGGGGGGATGGGGGGGGGATGGGGGTACGGGGGAATGGTGACGACAGGAGAGGAGGGAGGAGAACGGTGGGGGAATGTGAGCGTGGATGGTGAGGCAGCAGTTCTTTCATCCACACCATCCGCACTTCATCACAGACGGAGTGTTCCGGGTCGGAAACTAAACAACACTCCACAGGCTTGCCCGGGTCGTGCTTCACCCCCACCATCACGTTCGCCCGCGCCCGCCCGCTGTCCCCCACGAATGCGTTTGAGTCGACTCAAAAATATCTGCAACTTGATGTACACGGGCACACACGGTATGCTGCACGCTCTGAGGCGACTTTTGAGTCGACTCACAAGTCACCTGATGTACACGGGCACACACAATATGGACACGAGGTCGCTCGATCTAGACACGAGCAACCTCAGTTGGCTTGCTGCGATCGAATCCGCCCTTGACCAGTCACCTGATGTACACGGGCACACACCGTATGCTGCACGCTCTGTGGGGAGTGGAGGAGGGGGGTGATGGGGGGTGATGGAAGGAAGGGGAGACATGCTATTTGCGGCTTTATGTAGACGGGTACGCATGGTATGCTGCGAACGGAGAGGAGGAGAGGGGGGGTTATGTGAGCTCTCAGTACAAGCTTTCTTTCACATTTCCCCCATCACATTCACCCGCCCACTGTTCCTGCACGAATGCTATTTGCAGCTTTATGTAGATGGGAACACATGGTATGCTGAGAACCCTGTGGAGAGGGGGGGATAGAGGGATGGGGGGTGATGGAAGGAAGGGGAGACAAGCCATTTGCGGCTTTATGTACACGGTAGACGGGAACACATGGTATGCTGAGAACCCTGTGGAGAGGGGGGAGGGGAGGGGAGGATGGGGGAATGGCGACGACGGGGGTGGAGAGAGGAGGACGGTGGGGAGATGAGATGTGAACCTGGATGGCGTTGCACGCGGAGTGAACCTGATGTGATTCTTTCTTCCGCACCATCATGGTGTTTCTTTGGTCGCAACGCAACTCAGCAACACTCCTTTTTCTGAGGCGTCTCAAAATTGCGGGATAAGAGACGACTTTTGAGGCGCCTCAAAAGCCTTCCGCACCAGCACAGTGTTTTTTTATGGCCGCAACTCAACAACACTCCACAGGCTTTCGCGGGTCATGCTTCACCCCCAAAATCACATTCACACGCCCACTGTGGAGGGAGGAGGACGGTGGGGAGATGTGAGCCTGGATTGTGTAACATAATGTCTTTCTTCCCCACCATCACAGAGTGTTTTGGGTCAACTCACAACACTCTCCACAGGGATGGAAGGCGATTGGTGGCTATAGGCACGAGAGGAGAGGAGAGGAGAGGAGAGGAGAGGAGAGGAGAGGAGAGGAGAGGAGAGGAGAGGAGAGGAGAGGAGAAGAGAAGAGAAGAGAGGAGAGGAGAGGAGAGGAGAGGAGAGGAGAGGAGAGGAGAGGAGAAGAGAAGAGAGGAGAGGAGAGGAGAGGAGAGGAGAAGAGAGGGGAGAAGCTGCTTACCTGTAGGAGAGGAGCTTGAAGTGGTTATCGGGTGGTGTGAGGGCCACGACACGGTCTGAGTCCCATTCCAGCGCAAGCTGGGATGGAAGGCAATTGCGCTGGGATGGAAGGCAATGTCTGAAAATGATATCTGAGTCGACTCAAATTCGAATTACCTGTAAGAGAGGAGCTTGAAGTTTCCATCAGGAGGGGTGAGGGCCACGACACGGTCTGAATCCCACTCCCGGTAGCGCACACTGGGATGGAAGGCAATGTCTGAGAACACACGCGCGTCGACGAATGACAGCGCGACATCTGGCATCCCCGACATGCGACACGTGGCGTGCGCCTCCCCGTACACATCGCACCGCTCCACCAATCCCGATCTGCCAGCCGTGCAGATGGGGGTGATGGGGGTGATGGGGGACAGGGAATGTCAGGCACTAACAAGGAATGACAGGGAGTGACAGGGAAAAGGAAGGAAAAGACGTTATAAGTTGACTCAAAACACCACTGGAAAACACGCACCACAGTCACAGCAAAAAAAGGACGCACCTGACTTTTGAGTCGACTCAAAACACCACAGTCACAGCAAAAGACGGACACACCTCAAGCCTAAACCTCCAGGGACGCACGGTGTCACAGTGACACCCAGCTGCTCTCGCAGCTCTATCGCGGTTCTGCAGAGTTTGAGACATTCCAAACTCTTGAGACACGTTCTGAGACGCCTCAACACTGCACATGCAAACACTCACGGTGCGACAGTGACGTCCAGCTGCTCCCGAAGCTCTATTTGCAGTTCGTTCTGCAAGTACTTGAGACGGTGACATCCAGCCACTCCAACCAATCCCTTGAGACTGTACTGTTCGGAGGCGTGACAACACTGCTGCACATGCGGTCGGTCACTCACGGTGCGGCGGTGACACCTAGCCTGCTCCCGTAGCTCTATCTGCAGCTCGTCTGCAGGTACTTGACACGGTCCAAACTCCTGAAACACGTTCTGAGACGCCTCAACACTGCACATACAAACACTCACGGTGCCACAGTGACGTCCAGCTGCTCCCGAAGCTCTATTTGCAGTTCGTTCTGCAGGTACTTGAGTCCCAATGGTCGCCAGGGCAATGCAGCACCGGAAGCAGCACCCGTGGCACCAGCACTACCAGCACCGGCAGCAGCAGCAGCAGCAGCTGCTGCACCAGCACTACCAGCACCGGCCATACCGCCCATACCAGAGGGACCTGCCCCCCCTCCGCCTCCCCTTCCGCCGATCCCTCCGCCTCCCCCTCCCCCGCCCCCTCCCCTGCCTCCTCCCCAGCTGCCTTCCCCCCCCGGGCGACCGGTGAAGGACTGGGCAACTGAGTTGGCAACAGCAGCGCCAGCAGCGCCAAAGAAGCGGCCTAGCTGGGCTGGCATGTTGGCTGCTGCTGTGGCAGCGGTGGCTGTGGCTGATGCTCCCCCCACGCCCCCGGTAATTGTGTCTACCACCTTGGTGAGCAGAGAGGGCGGCGGGACTAGCTCCTGAGAGGGGTGAAGGGACGAGGATGGGGAGAAGAGGTGAAACAAGTGTGACGGGAGTCTGCTTTTGTGGCTGAAGCTCCCCCCACGCCCCCGGTTATCGTGTCTACCACCTTGGTGAGCAGTGAGGGCGGCGGGACTAGCTCCTGGGGAAGAGGATGGGGAGAGGGACAAGGAAGGGGATGGGATGTGAGGTGAAACAAGGGCGATGGGAGTCTGCTTTTGTGGCTGAAGCTCCCCCCACGCCCCCGGTTATCGTGTCTACCACCTTGGTGAGCAGCGAGGGCGGCAGGACTAGCTCCTGGGAAGCGGTGAGTGGTACATGTAAAGTAGAACGTGATAAGTGATAAGTGGAAAGTGTTAAATGGTAAGTCATAAGTTATGAGGGATAAGCAACCAGTAATAAGGGGCAAGTGTAGTGTTTGTACCTTGAGAATTGCAGGCTCTGAAGTTAAAGGCATCCCCCCTATAAACGCCTCGTCCAGGAGAGCGTACACTGTAACGAAATGGTCCTTTAACGAGTCGTCGCACACCCGACCGAGATACGTGGTGAGGAGAGAGATGAGCGACGATAGTAGCTGCCGGGGAGATAAGGGAAACAGGGGTTCGGGAAAGAGGGGGGGAGGGAGAGGGAGGGGCGCAGGAGGCAGGGGGGTGGGTGGGGGGGGGGGGGCATGCGGTAAGAGAGCAGGGGGAAAGTGACTTTTGAGTCGACTCAAAAGTCAGCTTGGTAAGAGAGCAGGGGGAAAGAGAAAGGGGATGGGGATCACGGGGTGGAGGGATGGGATGAGTGACGAAAGCAGCTGCGGGGGAGACAAGGGAGAAGGGTCTGGGCAGGAAGAAAAGTGTCCACTCACTCACACGACCCACTCACACGACTCACTCACATCGAGAGCCATAATTGGCGGCATCTCCTGTGTGGTGGTGAGAAGCAGAAACACGTCCTCATGCCGCTGCTGTACCACATAGCACTGCGGCGCCACCAGCACCGGCGGCAGCACCACCCCGCAAGCACCACCAGCAGCGCCACCAGCAGCAGCACTAGCACCAGCCGCACCAGCAGCAGCAGCGGCAGAAGCAGCACTGCCGGCAGCACCGGCGGTGCCGGCAGCAGCAGCGGCAGCGGCAGTGGTAGTAGCAGTAGTGGTGCTAGCGTCTACAAGTACCGACCAGAACCACGTGCAGATGCGCCTGTCTCCCGCCCTGCCGCCCCACTGCTTCTCCAGAATCACCTCGCTGATAGGGCGGAGGAGGGAAGGGGGACCGGGGGAACCGGGAGAACGGGGAAGGGGGGACGGGGAATGGGAACGGTGTGAAGGGGGTCAGAGAACGGGGAACGGGGAAAAAGGGGACGGGGATAGAGGGAAGAGTGGGGAGTGGGGTTGTCAAACAAGAGACGATGCTGCTCTGCTGGCCCACTGTTGGTCCAGGATCACCATTCGTTTCTTGAGAACTCTTGAGTTACAGGGGAATGCGTTTCTTGAGAATTCTTGAGTTACAGGGGAATGCGTTTTTTGAGAATTCTTAGAAACGCATCCAGGATCACCTTCCGGGACGTCAGGGAGAGGGGAGGGACGGAGGGACGTGCGGGAAGGAGGAAACGGGGGTGTGGGGAGGTGGGCACGGGGGCGCGTCGCATATTTAAGTGCGCCAAGGAGCTTGTCATGGCGCTCGGCTGCTCGTGAGCAATGCAAGGAGACGACCAAAAGGAGTAAAGGAATCTGAGATTGCGAAACAGTAGCTTTCGCTGCTCATAGCGCGCAATGATCTGGCTCGGCTATCGTAGACTTGCATAGACAAGCTGACTTTTAAGTCGACTCAAAAGTCAGCCTGGTTGGGGCTCCCTTGGGCTTTCGCTGGTCATAGCGCGCAATGATCTGGCTCGGCAATATTATACTTGCATAGACAGGCGCAATCTTGACTGAGCAAGTACCGAGTGCGGTCGGTGCGGTGCGGTTCTGAAACGGCTACTAGCCTCACCCGTTATCGGCGAGAATAAAGAGGCTCTCAAACATGGCGCGTGTGGATAGCAACAGGCCAGCGCGATTGCAGGCGACGCGAAACTTCTCGTGACAGAGATACTCGCAACAAGGATAATCTCCTCCCGAAGCCTTGGAAAAACTGGAGAATTTGCTCTGTATAAACAATTCCTTGAATCATCAATCCAGCGGCGCAGAGGAGCGGGAAGAAAAGGCTCGTTCGACTGTCATCTTGTCGAAATAAGAGCTTTACAGTTGAAGCATGATTGGGTGCTGACCGTCGCGGATCGTCGATCAAGACGCACTCCTGGCTAGGTAGGCAGCCGATGCCTTTACGCATAGATTCTTTTGCTAGAGTAGATGTGATGATGGGCTAGGCTGAGCGTTGTGATTCTGAAACGGTACCGTAGATTTGTGTCTGGCGAACTCTGGTCAAAGCACCAGCCGAACAGATTCAATTGAGCGAGTCATGCGAGGGGTGAAATAACATCCTCCTTACAAGAACACTCGACAAGAACTCCACATCGTTAGATGGAAAACAAAGGGTAGCTTGTGTTTCATTCTTGCGCTACATATGTTGGATCTTCATGAAACACTACAAACAAAACATGTTCAGCTGAAGTGTTTTCCTTTTCTTCTTAACAGTACAAACGTATTTAATGCCAACTAAAGATCTAACCACTTGATATTTTTCTCTAATCAGAGCAACCGTTCATCGTTCCAAGGATAGTCAGGGTCTTCCATGACACGGATGTCATCCCTCACAGTGAATCTGTTCACATATCCTGCCAATCAGAAAAGAACACCAACATAAGTGTTGGTAAGAGGGATTAGGGATCAGACACCAAAACTTAACGATTACCCCTGGAGTAGCAAAAGATACGTGATTTTGCAGTGCACAAGAACGGCACAACGGGCGTACCTATTCCGTGGCACGTGATGCACTTCCCCGAAAAGTCCTTCCCCTTCTTTCTTCGAAATGTAACAAAGCCTGCTCCATTGCACCGACTGCATTTGCCCGTCCACTGGAACACCACCTCTTTGCAATTCTGCAGTTTGCAAGGAAGGCCATGGGACAAACTGTAAGCATGAGCTATCCGGCACACTCCTATAAACTACCGGAAAACATATTCAAGCACATTCCGAGCTGCATGCAATAGTCGGCGGATGGGAGAAACGTGGCAGGGGCTGCATTTGGCCCATTGCAAGTGCCCCCTTCCTCTCGCCTCTCCTCCCCCTCCCCCTTCCCCTTCCCCTTCCCCCTCCCCTTCCCCCTCCCCCTCCCCTTCAACTTCCCCCTTCCCCTCTCGCACCCAACAATCCGTCCCATTCCTTCAATTTGTGCTTCCAAGCTCACCTGGGTTTCGGGGTCGCAGCGAACCATGTCTTCCACGGTCTCTAGCGAAAGCGGCTTCGAGTCTGGATACGTCATGGGCAACGGAAGCGCGCGACTAGGGTCCAGATCCGTATCCCCCCCGCTCTTAGACCTGGGTCGTATACCCGCCGAGGACTTGACGGCTGAACCGGAAAATGAGGAATCTCCGGTTGCGATTGACGGTGAGGATGAACTAGCCGTTGAAGAAGTGGGTGCGGAAGATGGTTGAGCGGGTTTCGTTTGACGAGGCAAGGGAATACTCGACGCGATCTTTCTGAACAGGCTTCCAGCGGAGGGAAGGCGCATGGAACCTTCCCCTCCGGACTCCGGCGTCGGCTCGGAGGTCACCGCTGCGCGCCGAGTCACTGAGCCGCGTCTATGATTGGCTGAATTCTGGTGCGCCGTGCGGTCTGAGGAACGGTTACCCGAACAAACGAGCAATTGTTGACGTCGAACAGGCGGACCTGGCAGCGGCAGCCCATCCTGTCGCCACGTCTGAGTGAACGTACTTTTTAGAGGACTGCACGTCCTAGCACAGCTTGAAATGTAGACAGGCGAAGTTGTCGAATCATGCCGATGGAGTTTCACTGTGCGCACACCGAGTTGGCTGACTGGATAGGACATACATGTTTGCATCTTGGTTGAGGTTGAAGATTTCGCTTCCACCCAAGAACCAGAAGCGAGCTCCGCCAGGCACGAACGTCTTCCACACTTAACAGCACATCACCTTGCACTCGGGTCGTGCACGCAGCTTAGAAACGCCTTCTGCTGCAGCCTGGACAGCAGGCGTAGAAACTGGCAGGCACGCGGCAAGAAGGCGCAAAAAAACACAAGCGTATTACGCTTGAGAATCACGACAAGCTCTTATGATCCAGCCAACAGGAAATAGCCAGTCTGATTTACAAGACTAGGAAGCACATCGCTCTTCAGGAAGAGACGCTACCATAATCCCAATATCCCACATTCTTACACCTGGCTCTTTCTGATCTGGTGATGTGGTCCCTAGAAAGCGATGAAAGCGAGACAATCTCGAGGAGGTGGGTCGAGTATTCCCTGGGTTCTTGCTTGAGCTGCACTTTACCTCTTTCGACCATAGCCTGCCCGCCACGTGAACAATATCTGCCATGCCTCGTGGCACTGACACCAGAGCGCTGATCTGGAAAGGCCCTGCGAAAGCAACTGTGGTTGCTCCTACCCAATGGGCTGTCAGGCGACCAACCAGCCAGCCGCGCTGAAGCAGCAACTTTCAGTACACGCGGACGCACGTGATTTTCCGAAAAATGCCTCCGTGGACGGCATCGTCTTCCAACGCGCACGCGCCACCTGGCTAGTTCACCGATACTATCGGAAAACCTTGGAGCCATTTTGTGAATACTCCTCTAAAGTGCACCACTCACGTACGCATTAGTCCATAACTTGGAATTCGTCAATACTAGGTTCCCCAAGCGACGTTACAGCTGGAATTGAAGAAATACGAGGCCCAGTTTCGACTTGTACCCGAAAGTGCAACATTTCAGTAGATGGGTTCACGAAATAAAGCAGCCTCGTTGCGGCAAGTTACTTCCGGAGCGCTGTTGCAGTGAGGGACGAGAAGTCGTAGCTTGCACCGGTGTCAGGAGCTGGAGCCGCTGGTTGAGAAGCTACAGCAGCAGGCATCACCCCGGCCAAGCCAGCGAAGCCCTGGGGCATACCAAAACCAGCATCAGCACCAGCTCCAGGCACTTGACCAGGGAAGAGCTGGGGCGTCATTCCTGGGATGAACTGCGGGTAACCTCCAGGCATTGCCTGCCCTGGAAATACCCTGCATTCACAACACAAGTGAGATGATGAATGAACTTCCCAGGCTGGAGACATTAATGATGACTAAAAGAATGATACAACCACTTATGAGTTCCAACATCAAGAAGCGGACGGCCAAAGAAACAAGGAACAAAATAACATTGGAAAGTTTTGGATGGTGGAGCAAGGGAAAATACCCGGCAGCAGGGAATGTTGGTACAGCTCCGGGCACAAAACCAGGCATTGCAAACATGGCACCACCAGCCTGCCGTAGAGAAAGGTGGGACGCAGAAGGTGTCGTCGTTATAGAAACATAAAGCTGGGAAATGAATAATAAACGCACTCGCAAATACAGGGAACTAGATGGCAAAACCGCTTCAACTGGTGTGTCCCTGCTTACCCCGGCTGCAGGTGCTCCACCAACAGCAGCGCCTGGAACAGCACCAGGGACAGCAGCAAGACCAGGTATTCCCCCTGCCGGCATGTTGACTGCTGCACCCCCTGCAGCAGGTGCAGCATTGGTACCAGCAGCAGCTGCAGCAGCTGCAGCCATGTACTGCTGCTGGGCGAACATAGCAGCTGCCATCTGCTGCTGTGCCAGGAACGGACTGCTGGCAGGTGCCTGGTGGCAGGAAGGGAGAGGAAGAACGAGGGAGAACAGCTCAACAAAGCAACCATGCAAAACAAGGCTCAAGCAACCATGCAAAACAAGGCTCAAGCAACCATGCAAAACAAGGCTCATACAGGCTCTTGAAATAGCAGGACAATGAAGCCAAATGCACACACCAAATTGATGGAGATAGGAACCGAATGAAGTCCAATCGAACCCCATTTAGAGGCCATGATTCAATACGTGGCAGCAAGTTATTTGAGTATGACACCAGAGTAGGTGAAATGTTGGTTTTGCGTAGGAGCACGCTTGTGTAAAATTGATGGTAACCGGTTTCGGTGTTGAACGCCTTCTTCAGACCAAATGCACACACATAATTACTGGAGATAGGAACCGAATGATAAACACACCTGCTCAAAGAGGCTCAGGATATCAGACTTGACGTTCTTGGGTGCTGTTGCAGCAGCAGCAGGTGCAGCAGGTGCAGCAGCTGGAGCAGCTGCCGGCGCTGCAGCAAACAAGTCGGCAAGGGGATTTGCTGCTGTGGCGGCTTGAGCAGGGGCGCTGGCAGCTGGAGCAGCAGCAGCAGCAGCCTCTGTAGAAGTAACCATGATACACCGAAAAAAAAAAATGGAAAAAGAACCGGTTGACAAGGATGAGATGGAGACACAACACAGGGAGTAAGAGAGGGAAGAGGCGGGATAACGGAAGGAGCTCGGAAGAAGGGCGACTTACGCACAGAACCATAACTACATGTGAAGAGTGAACGGGGAGCGGTGACATGCATAGTGAATTCATGAGCGGACGGGGAAGAGGGGGAAGAAGTGGGGCCACAGGGGTCAAAGAAACAAGTGAACGGAATTACTGCCTAATACCCCAACTTAGCTTCCTTGACCAGAAATCATGCATATAGATTGTGTGTGTCCTTACCAGGGAAAGCTGCCCACGCTCCTGCTGCAGCAGGAGCTGCTTGTTGAGTGGCAGCAGGAGCAGCAGCTGCAGGTGATGCAGCGGTTGCACCAGGAGCCGCAGCAGCCGGTTCACTGATCGAGAGAAGATCAAAGAGATCGGCAGTCTGAGCAGGCTGCGATGCAGCAGCGGCAGCAGGGGCTGCAGCAGCAGCCGCTGGAGCAGGCGCAGCAGCAGGAGCAGCAGGAGCAGCAGGAGCTTGCACAGGGGGGAGTTGAGTGAAGCCAGGGCCAGGCAGGGGGCGAACAGGAGTTGCTGCTGCTCCTGCTGCTGGCTGACCGCTTGACATGGTCACCTATGGCACGATACAAGAGAAGCAGAGCAGAAGAAAAACAACGGACGAAAGATGGAACGAAACCCACCGTTAAGCTTCCCAGTTCAAAGCAGGAGAAAAAACTAGAGATACACACATGAGCAGCTTCTTTCTGGAAGACAGAATCGCAAGCGGAAAGGGAGAGGAAAAGAAGAGCGGAGGGATGGGGGAGAGACAAAGGAGACTAGTACCTTCACAGGCGTGGTGCTAGGTGCCTTGCTTTCCGGACGCGAGCGAGGCTCCGGTTCATTCCGGTTACGCCCATAGTCCCTGTCTCGGGAGTTTTGCCCTCCCCCACGGTCCCTGTCGTACCCACCACGCGGATCACGATCATACCCCCCGCCACCACCACCGCCGCCACCTCCCCGTGGATCCCTATCGTACCCTCCATGAGAATCGTACCTACCACCACCACCGCCCCTGTCCCTGTCCCCAGAACCGCTGTAACGATCATACTTGTTGTCGTATGAATCGTACGAGCCTATTCTGCTCCCCCCACCCCCACCCCCACCACCGCCGCCACCGCCACCGCCGCCACCGGCGCCGCGGTTGTAAGTGGCATGGGCGCCGTGGCTCCAGTCTCTGTCATAATCAGAATCGTGGTACCGGCGGGGCCGTTCCCCCCGGTCCCGGTCCCGGTCGCGTTCCCTGCTGCGATCCTCGTCCCGTGCGCTCTGCCGCATGCGAGCACGCTCCTCGTCGTTCAGCCGGACCCAGCGCCTCTGCTCGTACCTGAATTGGGGGGAGATGGTTCACCATCTTTCGGGTCCCAACGCGACTACTCAACGCACCCCGGGCGCCGAGGCCCCCGGGGCGGTCCGTGGTGCGGGCAGCACGAGGCCGCCTTCTCACGGGTCGCTTTCACTGTCGCCATTGTGGTTTTCAACCCATTGGCTCGCAGCCGCGTTGGCCTCCTTGGTCCGTGTTTCAAGACGGGTCGCATCAGCCCGTTTCGCCAGCGCCGACCCGTGAGGGCCATCCTCGGTCTCCGCCGCGGTGGGAGCGAGCTCCTTTTCCCGCGGCATCGACCGGCGCTGCGTACCTCCCGTTGGGCATCCAGAACAAATCAAACAGCAACCAGCAACCAGCAACCAGCAAGTGGCAAGTAGAAAGCAGCAAAAGGCAACAAACAACAACCAGCAACCAGCAATCAGCTATCAGCATCAGCAACTAGCAACCAACAACCAACAACCAACGGAGCTAGACAACCCATGGAGCCCCTGTCCACGTGCTCTTGTATACAAGATTCTGTTATTGGCACAGTAACCACGTGGGGGTGGATGTGAAGAGGATTTCTGTGTTGTTGCAGACTTACTTGGCACGGATGAATCCCTCCAAGGCTCCCTTGTCAGCCTCTGCCGGGCGGCGGAAATGTGGTGGCAGCTCCGCTTCCCAATAAGCATTGGCTTTGGCATTGCCCATAGCTGGGAGAAGAGTAGACCGAAATTGAAAAAACAAATGGAGTGAAGGAAAACAGGATAGGAAACAGGAGGCACGAAACAGTGGATTTGGAACCGAATCAGCAGCAGTGCATGCATGGCGTATGGCACATGGCAAATGGCACATGGCACAAGGCGCATGGCAAATGGCACATGGCGCATGGCACATGGCGCACGGCGCAGGTCACCTACACTGCATGAATTCCACTTGCTCGGGCAGCCATGTGTCAAGCGTCGCTGATCGAACCTGCGCATCACGAAGACATGACATCTTCGTTAAGGCAAGCTAAACGGAATATCGCCAGGACCAGGTCTTAAACCACTGAAATTGAAGTGACGACAGGTCACAGATGCAATTCAAACTTCCATTAAGATGGCGCGACGCGTTTGAGACAAACAACAGAGAACGTAGCTGGGAGGACAGACTCACCTTCGAGATGTGCACTCCCAGGCTACGATGAATGCCGGAACACTGGATGCACAGGAAAACTCCTAGGTTGACGCTCGCCCAGCGAGGCCCTCTGTCCATCACAGCGAAATTACAGATTTGTCAAACTCACAAAATTAAAATCTCGGCTTCGCTTCGTCAGCACAGCCATACAGATGACAAGCAGCAAAATAACGTGCTTACTTGCAGCCACAGTCAGCACATTCTCGGTTCTCGGGAAGCTTCAAAAGACCGTCCAGAATCTGAAGGAGAGGAAACAGGAGGTGGAAATACTTCACCAGCGCGAGGTGAGAAAGGACAAGCGAATCAGGAAAGTCGAGTAAACGCATTCGCGAGATCGTGGAGATTCGGGATAAATTGATCGAGTGGATGTAGATCCATTGATAAACTGACGGCCAATACGCCGAATTGACAACGGGTCACACATCTATCATTGAAATCAACTGTCGTAATGATATGAAGCCACAAAATTCGGTGCAATCCTTGCTTTACAAGAGCGAAATCTGACATGAGAAGCAGTAGAACGGAAAATAAGTGCACGACCGGAAGAATAACTATAAAAATCTGTCGACTAATCTACCTAGCTAATGAACCTAAGATGAAACTAGACGACAGGCATCGAAGAGAGATCCTTGCCTTTCTATGGCGGTCATTCTGCTCCTTAGTCACCGTCGCCTTCTCGTTAGACGACATGGTGCACCGCTTCACAGAAATTCGCGATGCTCTCGATGCTCTCCCGATCAGCACACGGATCAGCTGGTCTGAGCAAGTTCTGTTTGTGCAAATCAGAAAAGCAGGTACAAGCAGGTGAGGGGAGGTGAAGGGTGTTGTGTTTCCTCCTCCTAGTATCCCTTCACTGTCCCTCCCTGATGACTTGTGATTCGTGTGAGTGAACTGGGAGGTACTGTACAGTACCTCCCTCTTTTCTCCCTCTCTCTTCCAAAAAAAATTCTGGAATCTCTCCGAACCGAATTTCAGAATCTCAAATCTCTCGGTGTTCAGTGTGGTTTGGTACGTGTCTGTGTGTTATGACGTGGTTCTCAGAGACTGTTCCCTGCAACACTTTCCGGTTGAGCGACCGTCGACGACGAAGTTTGCACGGTTGGTGCGACTGGACGTTGGGCAAACCATGGTGCAATCCCGCCTTGCAGCAGAACAAACTAGACCGTTGGAGGTGGTCGACCGACAGACTCCTCTATAAGTGCGAATCCGTTAGTCGTGACAATACATACAACTTTGGATTTACTTGTAAGGATATACCAGTACAGGCACATTCAAGGACACCTCTCCCTTTAAAGCCCGGGTACAGCATGGTATTTTTCAAGTTCAAGATTCTTGAACTTGAAGTCGCAAAAAACAGGGTAACCCTCTCTGGCTTGAAAAACAACTCGCGACTCGGCGAAAACCTATTGCGACCCTCACTCCTGATTGGTTTCCGTGCCCAGTCGCACAACACCTCCGACCATCGCCCACAATATTGCCGTGAGCACACCTCACATATCTTGAAGACCAAGTAGTACTAGTCTGCTAGAATAGGGACAGTACTAGGAAACGCGCGGCAGGGCGATAGAAGCTAGCTCAAGTAAAGGCGACTTTCTCCTTGCAACACGAGTCACTCACGCTGTCTGACCAATCGCTGACCAGCACAACTTCAAGCCATGCGCTCACCGTACCTCTTTCGCATGCCAGGGACGCTACCCGTGCTAGCGCACGACACGAGCAATGCTCGTAAATGGCATGAGTTGCCACACTCAAGGGATTTAGTATGACGAGAGCGCGTTACCCTCGTGAGACTGGCGGAAAAGCGACACCCGCACTTCTTCTCGTCGCCCACACTTGCTCGGGTCACGATATCTCCCACTCGTCTCTCTCGCTTTCCTTCGTCGCCCGCGATTCCCACCGTCCCGCGCTTCCCACCGTCCTGCGCTTCTACCCGTCGCCTGCGCGCGCACCCTGAACCGTCGCCCTCGCGCGCTTCTGCTCGTCGCCCGCGCGCGCTTTTCCTCGTCGCCCGCGCGCGCTTTTTCTCGTCGCCCGCGCGCGCTTCTCTTCGTCGCCCGCGCGCGCTTCTCCTCGTCGCCCGCGCGCGCTTCTTCTCGTCGCCCCCGCCTCTTCATTTCGCCCAAGCTTCCTCCCTCCATCCCTCCTTCTCCCCTCTCGTCCTCTCCCTCCGTCCCTCCCTACCTTGCTCTCGACCTTCATTCCTCTGTCCCTCTCTCCCTCTCCCTCTCTTCCTTTTCTCTCTCTCTTGCCTTTCTCTCTCTCTTCCCTCTCTCCCTCCCTTTTTCGCTAAGGACAGAGGGGGAGAGACACGGGGGGAAGGACACAGGTGGAGAGACAGAGGGTGAAGGGCAGACGGGGAGAGACAGAAGGGGAAGGACGGAGGGGGAGGAATAGAGGGGGAGGGGCAGAGAGTGAGAGACAGAAGGTGAAGGGCAGAGGTGGAGAGACAGCAGGGGAAGGACGGAGGGGGGGGAACAGGGGGGGGGGTGTCCAAGAGAGTGAGAGACAGAGGGTGAGAGCGGGTACTCCCCTCACTCCCTCTCCCTGTCGATCTCACTTCCCCCTAATTGTTTACACCCCTTTTTTTATTACCAACCTCCCTCACTCCCACCAGCTCCGTTTACCCCCCAATATATTCTCCTTTGCCTCACCTGCTTCCCCCCATCCCCTTCCCTGCTTCCCCCCATCCCCTTCCCTGCTTCCCCCCATCCCCATCCCTGCTTCCCCCCATCCCCTTCCCTGCTTCTCCCCATCCCCTTCCCTGCTTCCCCCCATCCCCATCCCTGCTTCCCCCCATCCCCTTCCCTGCTTCTCCCCATCCCCTTCCCTGCTTCCCCCCATCCCCCTCCCTGCTTCCCCCCATCCCCCTCCCTGCTTCCCCCCATCCCCTTCCCTGCTTCTCCCCATCCCTTCCCTGCTTCCCCCCATCCCGCTCCCTGCTCCCCCCCATCCCCCTCCCTGCTTCTCCCCATCCCCCTCCCTGCTTCCCCCCATCCCCTTCCCTGCTTCTCCCCATCCCCTTCCCTGCTTCCCCCCATCCCGCTCCCTGCTTCCCCCCACCCCCTTCCCTGCTTCCCCCCATCCCGCTCCCTGCTTCTCCCCATCCCCTTCCCTGCTTCCCCCCATCCCCTGCTTCTCCCCATCCCCTTCCCTGCTTCCCCCCATCCCCTTCCCTGCTTCCCCCCATCCCGCTCCCTGCTTCTCCCCATCCCCTTCCCTGCCTCCCCCCATCCCCTTCCCTGCTTCTCCCCATCCCCTTCCCTGCTTCCCCCCACCCCCTTCCCTGCTTCCCCCCATCCCGCTCCCTGCTTCCCCCCATCCCGCTCCCTGCTTCCCCCCATCCCGCTCCCTGCTTCCCCCCATCCCCTTCCCTGCTTCCCCCCATCCCCTTCCTTTCTCTACACGGTGCATAGCAACACGCACGCGCATGCAGAAGTTCTTCGATGACTGGATCCCTTGGCACAAGTGATGAGCGTCACTCTCTCCCCACTCCCTCCCCCTCTGCTCCCCCTCTTCCTCGTGGCAGGCCACCGAAGCACCGCATCCAGCAGATCTTCGAGTGAATATGCCCTGAGGCTTGCTGGCGGAGCTGTGAGGCAGCCTCCTCCCGAAACTGCCTTCAGCCTCCCCTGCTGCCCAGCAGGATGCCGCGGAGCATTGATGCGGGAGGGGGCAGACCATGCTGGCAGAAAATGATGGCGGCAGCGCACGTCAGGTCTGCGCTGCTGTGGGCCGGGGGAGTGCAGAGTGTTGCAGGGACCAGCACGGCATGTCGATATGTGGCCGGCTGAGATCCTTATGAGTTGAGGGATCTGAGCTTGAGAGAGTGCGTTTCCGAAATGTATTGGTAATGCGTTTCTTGATATTTCAATTTTCTTATTCACAATTTGCTTGCAATGCTTTTCTGCACTGGTATTCAGCACTTGAAATTTTGTGTTTTTCTGAAGTGAAGTCTCAAAAGCATCCAGACATTTTAGTAAATTAGAAATTGTAAAAATAGTGTTCAGTGTACTGCCTTACTCTCACTCGCGTGAGTTTCGCGTTGCCCACCATTTCAACCCCAAGAGAAGCGCCAGCAGCAGTGGTGGGGCTGGAGCAGTGCTCTGTCACACACAGAGTCGTTCGGCCCTCCCATATCCTTGGAAACAGCCGTCGCATAGTATCGTGGCGAAGGTTGTTTTACCCGCCTCCTGAATTCGCTTTCGCCCCACACACATTTTCGAAATACACGATATTATTATTTTCGCCAGACTGTTTCAACCCCACATAACTTGAAAATTTACCATGCTGACCTCGGGCTTTAAGCTGGTGCATGCCAAAAAGCAGCTGTGGGTGGCCTTTCTGAAACTTTAGTCTGATTTTGTTTTTGAATCTTGCCTGGTTCAAAATCTATTCGTGTTTGATTGATGCACGACGTCGTGCATGGAAAGATGATACAACAATAAAACAATGAAACTATTCAAGGTTCAAGTACATTTGAGGAATCGAAATGCATTCCAACATAATCAGCATCTATTGCATACGAGTGTCGGTTGGCAAGTGGGTGCACACCGTGTGAGCTGCCAAGCTGGACACACAGAGATGCACTTTTGGGGTATGTCTATGTTTGGACATCCCAGGAAGGCGATCTAAGACACGCAATGGCGTCAGCTTAGAGTCGTCCGAACCGCAACCTCCACTGGGTGCAGACATGCGGAATATAGAATGAGTTAATGAAAACTTGTATAGTTGAAGGCACAAGAACAGGTGTGCATGTTTAAGTCCATCTGACTCAGATACCAGATTTCATTGAAACGAGAACCAATTGTGCTGGATCCGTGCGCAACTGAAAATGAAAAATGCGCTGGCACCCCGGAAGGCGCGCGTGTGCGGTGCTACGACATGGTTGGGGTTCCGCCATGGTTCATCATGATCCCACCCATGGCCTAGAGTCCACAGCTCGACCAATCTCATTGACCAATCGCAGGCCACGGAGCAGTGTGTGTAGCATCGTATGGTCCGCCTGCCACCCATCAAAGTCAGGCCTTCCCTCCCCCCCTCCCTTCCGCCCTTCAGCTTCCCCTACACCCTTTCCCGCCGCTTTTCTCCACGCCAGCCTCTTTCCGCCAACCAATCGCCACAGCAAGCCCGTCGCCGTCTTTTTTGTAACTACCCCCTTCTATCCGCATTCCTGTTCGCCTGACTCCACCACTACAAACCGCACAAATTGCCATATTTCTTTGTTCAATACATCCGATTTCCACAAATTCCCTTTCCTCCGAACTTCCTCCCTCGACATCTCCGCCCTCCGCCCTCCGCGCACGTCTTATGTGTACGTATGGCCCGTCTCCCCTTCTTCCCCTTCCCCCTCCATCCGCGCCAGTGACTGCGGTTACAGTACAGTATTTCCCTTCCTTTCCGCCCTTACCTTCATCAATAGCAACAACTCTTCCCTTACAGTCACACCACCATCCTCACCCTCCCCTCCCCACCCCACCACCCCCGTTCAAATATTTCTGAACCTAGACAGGTTCCAAGCTCGAGGCTATTTCGCTAGTGCTTGGTTCTCGTCACTCAGCCCAGCATCATACGTTATCAACGCCTTTCCAGCCCACGAGAGACGGTCACGTGCGCTTGACAAGGCACGGACAGGGGCCACGGCTCATTGCATCGGCCGTAGTTAGGTTCAAAAGCTGCGTGTGCATTCGCGCGTCCGATCGCATTACGCGAGTGAATGAGCGTGGATCGATAGATCATAGCACAACTTAATAGTGCATTTCCGTTAGCTGAAAGGTGCAGATGCTATCTAAGCAGGTGTTTGCTTTCGTCGATTGGATCGATTTTATCCAACCCTAATACGTCAATAGCTTTCATAGTCAGCCTCATCTTATTATCGCGACCAGACATTAGGGCTTCTACAGAAACATTTCCTCCGCACGTGATTTCTCGGTGTCACGAACCCTAATATTCATGAGTTAACATTTCCCGCTGATCCTTATCGCCCCCTGAAGCACATTCAAGCACTTGGATACCGCATCGCCAACAATCCTGTCATTGGCGAAGAAACAGCGACCCCATCGTCAACATTTCTGTCATTGGCGAAGAAACAGCGTGCATACGAGAAGGCAACGCAGCTTTCGAAGCAGCAGCTTGCCTGTCGAAGTGCCTTGCGAGACGCGAGCAGCAGCACGCGCTGAAAACCAAAGAGCGACCGCAGAGGATCGCACAGCGAGCCGTGATTTGCGCCGCCCGTGGAGGGTATTGCAACGACGAAATCTTCTGTCAGTGGCGATATCGGCAGGCCTGCATGGTGCCGTGGCCGTGTGACCAATTCCTCGGCTGCCTCTCCCCCCATGGGCTCTACCGCCATCTCGGTACGTCGTATTAGCAGCTACGTCGTATTAATCGGTACGGTAGTGGATCGGTACGTCAGTAAGCGCTCTCGGTACGTCCTCGTCCTCTTAATGTTCTCTCCCTCTCAAACCCCCTCTCGTTCTTCCCCACGGGAATCCGTGAGCTCGTTTCACCTGGCAATTTGAAAATGGGGGAAAAAAAAATGCCGTCTCGGCGATCGTCGCCCTTTTGCCTTGCCCTTCCCTGCGTGTCCGTCCCGCGTCATGTGTCAGGACAATCTGAAATCCGATCACCAACATCTACCAGAGCAAGGATCTGAATCCCAAACACCTCCGATAGGCCCGACAAGCCCTACAGGCCTTCCTGGTGGCCTGCCCGTCGATAGGGACCATCTACCGTTCCCGCCGTTCCCGCCTTTCCCGCCGTTTCCATAAATCTACGTCGATTTCGGAGTTTTTTCAAGCCCGGGGCGCGGTGATAAGATAACTCGCGGACCGGATTTATCCAGTAACGCCGTTTTTCGCTGGTGGCCTTGCCGGGATCGGCACGCGAGAGAAGGGCGGCGACGACGAGAGAGTTACTTTCGCGAAAAGGGGCGGAGATATTTTTATTATTAGCAGGGGGTATATTTCTGAGGCGCCTGAAAAAGGAGGTCCAGGAGATTGAAGCGGTATGGAAGCGAAACTTCGCGCGTTGCAGGGGCAGGGGAGCGTGGCGACGTGTCCTTCCCCGTCGCACGGCACTAACCGCATTGCACCGTTTTCTTTTTTGGGTGGGTGGAGCGGGGTGAAATCGGATAGGAGGGTGGCACGCGTCAGAAAGTCGCTCGAGATACAGTCGCACGATAGATTCGCATGAGATAGAGTCGCGCGAAGCAGGGCGTCGCACGCGGCAGAGGCATGTGAGCAGCGCTGCATAGCCCAACCAGGGCAGGGCAGGGTCTAAGGAGTGGGTTGCATGGGGCACACGTATGGGGCGCGGATGGTTGGAAACGGGCCTTGGATTGAGAATGCGAGGATGAGAGGACGAGAGGATGGGAACGTAAGGATGGGAGGTAGACCGGGATATACACGCTAGTAGCTGCTTGGGTCAAAAGCACCTGCAGATCCCCTTTTCCACGGCTGAGCTGCCCTTTGCCGCATGGCCTTTCGTGCCATAGTAGAGTTCTCTCTCTCTCTCTCTCTCTCTCTCTCTCTCTCTCTCTCTCTCTCTCTCTCTCTCTCTCTCTCTCTCTCTCTCTCTCTCTCTCTCTCTCTCTCTGTAATCATGCAGCGTAATTCTCTTTCTGCATGTCGTTGTGTGGATGTCTCACGGACCGCATGATGAGATGGCTATCAGTGCGTGCACCGGCCTGAACCTCTCAACCTCTCGGCCGCTCAGCCTCTCAGCCTCTCAACCTCTCAGCCTCTCAGCCTCTCAACCTCTCAGCCTCTCAGCCTCTCAGCCTCTCAACCTCTCAGCCTCTGAGCGCCGGAATCTCTCTCCCCACGGCTTGTTGTGCTTGGCATAACGTGCCATGCAATCTGCCAGTTTATCATGCTCACGCTGCGCACGTCTGTGTGGTGGTGTGTGGCGGTGCCTGGCATGGCAGTGTGTGGTGGTGTCTGGGAATGTGTGCTGGTGTGTGTGCTGGTTTGTGCCGGTGTGTACGGTGCATGGTGGCGGTTTATCAACGAGTCTGCTGGTGCAATGTCTTCCCTTCCCCTCCCCCCCCCCCCTCCCCCTCCCCCTCGCCCTCCCCATCCCCCTCTCCCTCCCCCTCCTCCTCCTCTCCTGCAGGTGGGTTCAAGGGGAGGCCGTCGCGAGGGCAGGACAGCGATAGCGACAGTGCGTTGCAGCAGCGGCTGGTCACAGGATACGATGACGACGGCATGATATGGAACTGCCCCATAGCCTCGCACCCTTCAGGTATGTGTCAGCAGCAGGGTGATTTGCTTAGTCGCGAGGACAGGGGCAGGGGGGGACGGGAGGGCCGGGGCGGGGGCAGGAGGGGGGGCAGGGGCGGGGGCAGGAGGGGGGGCAGGGGCGGGGGCAGGATGGAGGGCAGGGGCGGGGGCAGGACAGCGACCGCCCCCGGGCTGTCAATGGCGGCGGTGGAGGGCAAACGTGGCATGCGAGGCCGTGAGTCATCGGATTCCCTTCTCCCCACTTCCCCTTCTTCCCCCCCGCCCCTTTCTCTCCCCCACGTTCACCAGGCGAGCTGTCAATGGCGGCGGTAGAAGGCAACGTGGCGTGTGAGAACGTGGCGAGGGTGGACGCGAACGCGCTGCTCCCGCTTATCCTCGTCTCCCCTGACCATCCCCTCACTCAACTTCCCCCCTCTGCTCCCCTCTGCGCTTCCTCCACCTCTCTGCTCCCTTTTTTCTCCCGCTGCCCCCGCCTTCTCCCCCCTGCTGCTCCCCACTCCCCCGCCTCTTTCTCCCCCGCCTCTTTCTCCCCCGCCTCTTTCTCCCCTGCCTCTTTCTCCCCCGCCACTTTCTCCCCCGCCTCTTTCTCCCCTGCCTCTTTCTCCCCCGCCTCTTTCTCCCCGCCTCTTTCTCCCCCGCCTCTTTCTCCCCCGCCTCTTTCTCCCCTGCCTCTTTCTCCCCTGCCTCTTTCTCCCCCGCCTCTTTCTCCCCTGCCTCTTTCTCCCCCGCCTCTTTCTCCCCTGCCTCTTTCTCCCCCGCCTCTTTCTCCCCGCCTCTTTCTCCCCTGCCTCTTTCTCCCCCGCCTCTTTCTCCCCGCCTCTTTCTCCCCCGCGTGCTGTCGTTCACCAGGCGAGCTGTCAATGGCGGCGGTAGAAGGCAACGTGGCGTGCGAGGACGTGGCAAGGGTGGACGCGAACGCGCTGGGAACGTTCGTGGGGATATTTGACGGGCATGGGGGCGCGCAGTCCGCTCGGTTCAGCGGGGACCACCTGCTGCCCGACCTGCAAGGTGCGCTGGTGTGAGGGGAGGACCCGGGGAAAGGGGAAGGGGAAAGGGGAAAGGGGGAAGGTTGAGTTAGGGCGAGTAGACGGGCATGGGGGCGCGCAGTCCGCTCGGTTCAGCGCGGACCACCTGCTGCCCGACCTGCAAGGTGCGCTGGGGGAAAGGAAGCAAAGGGGAGGGGGAGGGGGAAGAGTGGCGGTACGGGGGGGAAAGGAAGCAAAGGGGAGGGGGGAGGGGAAGGGTGGCGGTACGGGTGATTGGGAGGGGAAGAGCTGGGGGGAGGGGGAGGGGTTTGAGAAGTGGGAAGAGGGTAGGGTTGGTAGAGGTTTGAGCTGGGGGGAGAGGAAGGGGAAGAGGGGGTAAGGGGAGGGGGAGGTGGAAGGGAAGGGAAGGGAAGGGGAGGGGAAGGGGTGTGCTTGGGCAGGTTTGCGTATGGGGGTTGATGGGGTTAAGGCTGAAATGAATGGATAGGGTGGGTGAGGGAGTGCTGGTGGTGAATGAGTGTTGTGGCAGGGCGACTGACAGCACATGTGCTGCCAGCGCCGCGTGAGCCTTCTCCTCTGCTCATCTCACCTTCCCCTTTCCTCACTTCCCCTTTCTCCGCCGCCCCTGCCTCCCCCTTTCTCCTTCCTTTCTCCCTTGAGCCTGCTTCTCGCCTTGCGTCTTCCTTCTTCCCCATGCCTCCCCCCATCCCTCCCCCCATCCCTCCCCCCATCCCTCCCCCCATTCCTTCCCCCCATTCCTTCCCCCCATTCCTCCCTGCATCCCTCCCTCCGCTCACCTCTCCCCCCATCCTTCCACCCAAGCGCGTTGGTGGACGAGTGCTGTGGCAGGGCGGTGGACACCACATGTGCGGCCAGCATGCTCTCCTCTTTGCCTATCACCTCACCCCTCCCCCCATCCCTCTGTCCAGGCGCGTTGGTGGACGAGTAGTGCCATTGACACCACATGTGCGGCCAGCACTCACTCGTCTCTCTCTCTCACCCTTCCTCACTTTCCCTTTCTCCCCTGTCCCCCGTTCTTCCATCCAGGCGCGTTGGTGGACGAGTGCTGTGGCAGGGCGGCAGACAGCACATGTGCTGCCACCACCGCTAGAGCCCTCTCCTCTGCTGCTGCTGCCGCTGCTGCCGCTCATGCACATGCATCCCCCACCGCTGCTGGTGGTGGTGGGGGCGATGGTGCTGGGGGGACTGGTGGAGGAGGAGGAGAGAGTGGGAAGAGTGGAGATGCGAAGGGGGAAACGGGAGGAGGAGGGGGAGGGGGAGGGGAGGGTGTAGAAGGGAAGCAACAGCAACAGCAGCAGCAAAGCTTGGGCCAAAGCAGACCGGATAAGCTTCTCCATGTGCCTCTACACGCGCCCTCCCGCCTCCCCCACCTCTCCCAAGACCAGCTCATCTCAGCCGTCCATCACAGCTTCAACCAGATCGAAGCCAATTTCCTGGAGATCGTGCGGTGCAAGTGGCGCCAGGTGCCGCAATACGCAGCAGTAGGCACATGCGCGCTAGTAGCATTCGCCCCCCCACAGGGATCGGTTCTAGTGGTGGCGTCGCTAGGGGATTCGCGAGCGGTGGTGGGTGTGAGGAGGGGGGTGATGGGGGCAGTACGGCCGCTGGTGGTTTCCACGGAACACAATGCGAATTCGGCGGAGGAGAGAGCAGCGGTGCAGCGGTTGCATCCTGAAGATAAGGGAATTGTGGTGCAGAGGAGTGGAGTGTGGCGCGTGAAAGGGATTATCCAGGTATGTGGGAAAGGGAGGGGGGAAGGGGAGGGAGAAAACGGGTGGGAGGGTGGGGGGAATGGATGCGTGTCAGGGTGGACGGGTGGGGGAAGGAAGGAATGAAGGAACGGGGGATAGATAAGGAGGAATGGAGGGAATGATGTGGGGGATACTTGCATTTTTCGGTCTACTATGGCCTGAATCCTTGCTTCTATCACCTTTCGTAATTCTCAATAGCACTTTTTTCGTAGTTCTCAATAGCATTTTTTCGTTATTCTCAACACAACGAGCCCATGCACCCATGCACCCATGCACCCATGCACCCATGCGCCCATGCACCGCCCATGCACTCATGCACCCATGCACCCATGCGCCCATGCACCCATGCACCCATACACCCATGCACCCATGCACCCATGCGCCCATGCACCGCCCATGCACTCATACACCCATGCGCCCATGCGCCCATGCACCCATGCACCCATGCGCCCATGCACCCATGCACCCATGCACTTATACACCCATGCACCCATGCACCCATGCACCCATGCGCCCATGCACCGCCCATGCACTCATGCACCCATGCACCCATGCGCTCATGCACCCATGCACCCATGCGCTCATGCACCCATGCACCCATGCACCCATGCACTCATGCACCCATGCACCCATGCGCTCATGCACCCATGCACCCATGCGCCCATGCGCCCATGCACCCATGCACCCATGCGCTCATGCACCCATGCACCCATGCGCTCATCCCCCGTGCACTCATGCACCCATGCACCCATGCGACCATGCACCCATGCACCCATGCACCCATGCGCCCATGCGCCCATGCACCCATGCACCCATGCGCCCATGCACCGCCCATGCACTCATGCACCCATGCACCCATGCGCCCATGCACCCATGCACCCATACACCCATGCACCCATGCACCCATGCGCCCATGCACCGCCCATGCACTCATACACCCATGCGCCCATGCGCCCATGCACCCATGCACCCATGCGCCCATGCACCCATGCACCCATGCACTTATACACCCATGCACCCATGCACCCATGCACCCATGCGCCCATGCACCGCCCATGCACTCATGCACCCATGCACCCATGCGCTCATGCACCCATGCACCCATGCGCTCATGCACCCATGCACCCATGCACCCATGCACTCATGCACCCATGCACCCATGCGCTCATGCACCCATGCACCCATGCGCCCATGCACCCATGCACCCATGCACCCATGCGCTCATGCACCCATGCACCCATGCACCCATCCCCCGTGCACTCATGCACCCATGCACCCATGCGACCATGCACCCATGCACCCATGCACCCATGCGCCCATGCGCCCATGCACCCATGCACCCATGCGCTCATGCACCCATGCACCCATCCCCCCATGCACACATCCCCCCATGCACCCTTGCACCCATCCCCCCATGCACCCATGCACCCATGCGCCCATCCCGCCATGCACCCATGCACCCATGCACTCATGGGACTCGCCCCCTGGGCGATTTCTATCTCAAGCACAACAAGTTCCAGCACGATCCTCTCTACACCCATCACCCAATCAAACCACTCCCAGTCTTTTCCTCCCTCCCCTCCACCCCTTCCGTCCCATTCATAGGTCACTCGCTCCCTGGGAGACTTTTATTTGAAGCACAACGAGTTTCAGCGCGACCCTCTCAGCACCCGTCCACACCCACCCAAACCACTTTCGCATCCAACCTTCTTCTTCCCCCCCTTCCTCCCCCCCCCCCCCCCAGGTGACTCGCTCCCTGGGAGACTTTTATCTGAAGCACAACGAGTTTCAGCGCGACCCTCTCTACGCGCGCTTCCGCCTCGACCGCCCGCTGCGCCGCCCAGCTCTGCTGGCAGAGCCGGCAGTGGAGGTGCTGCAGCTGGCGCCGGCCCACCGCTTCCTCGTGATGGCCACAGACGGACTGTGGGAGCACGTCAGTGACTCTGAGGCTGTCAAGCTCGTTCACTCCAAGCCCCGATCGGTGAGTTGGGGAATGAAAGAGGGGAGCCGGCAGTGGAGGTGCTGCAGCTGGCGCCAGCCCACCGCTTCCTCGTGATGGCCACATATGGGCTGTGGGAGCATGTGAGCGACTCTGAGGCTGTCAAGCTCGTTCACTCCAAGCCCCGATCGGTGAGTCTGAGTGGTGGGGAGGAGTGAGGAGGGGTGGTTGGGAGCAGCAGGGATGGGAGTGGGAGTGGGGAACGGGAAGGGTTGAGGTGTGTGCGCTGCACTACCAGTCTTCATTGCTGGCAGAGCTGGCAGTGGAGGTGCTGCAGCTGGCGCCGGCACACCGCTTCCTCGTGATGGCCACTGATGGGCTGGCGCCGGCTGCAGCACCTCCATAAGCCACTGATGGGCTGTGGGAGCATGTGAGCGATAGCGAGGCGGTGAAGCCGGTGCACTGCAAGCCGAGATCGGTGCGTGGGGGAGAGGAGAGGGGAGCGGTGGGGAGTTTTTGAGAATTCTCAAAAACTCGGTGCGTGGGGGAGAGGAGAGGGGAGCGGTGGGGAGTTTTTGAGAATTCTCAAAAACTCGGTGCGTGGGGGAGAGGAGAGGGGAGCGGTGGGGAGTTTTTGAGAATTCTCAAAAACTCGGTGCGTGGGGGAGAGGAGAGGGGAGCGGTGGGATGCGCTGGGGAGCGTCGTGACCGCAGGGGGGGGAGTGGGAGTGAGAGCTGGAGTGAGGATTGGTTGCGGTTGAAGGGATATTTTGTAGGTGTTTAACTAGTCCCCCACCCACCTCTCCACCTTCCACCTCTCCACCCCCCAACGCTCCATCCCCCTCCTCTCCACACCCCATCCTCCTCTCCATTCCCACCCCTCTCTGCCCCCGTGACCGCCCGCTCTGCTCACTCCCTACCCTACCACCGCGAGGCGAGTCATTTCTTCGGCAGCGACAACCCCTACTCACCATATTGGCAGCGACAGACAGCAATGCAGTTGTTTTTCCTACTCCAACCCCTCCTTCCTCTGTCCCTTACACTGCCCTCTCTGCTCACTCCCCTCTACCCTCTCTGCTCACTCCCCTCTACCCTCTCTGCTCCCTTCCTGCTGCCCTCTCTGCTCCCTCCCCACTGCTCTCTCTGCTCCCTCTCTGCTCACTTGCCCACCAGGGAGTAGCACGGCAGCTGGTGCGGCTGGCATCACACTCGCAGCGCGCAAGCTCGGCCTCTCTCTCCCAGAGCTCAAGATGCTGGATTCCAAGCAGCACCGCATGGTGCATGCATGATGATAATACTGCTGTCGTTTGAGTCGACTCTAAACTTTTGAGTCGACTCAAAAGTCCAAGCAGCACCGCATGATGCATGCATGATGATAGTACTGTTGTCATGCTCCTCCCTTCCTCTCCCCCCCCTTGTCCCACCCCACCAGGGAGTAGCACGGCAGCTGGTGCGGCTGGCAATCACGAGGGCAGCGCGCAAGCTCGGCCTCTCTCTCCCAGAGCTCAAAATGCTCGACCCCAAGCAGCGCCGCATGGTGCATGATGACATCACCGTTGTCGTCCTCTTCCTCGATGCTCACCGGCGGGCGGATGGGGGAAAGCCGGCGGGAGAGAGAGGTGGGGGAGGGGGAGCGGGGGCGGGAGGTGGGGAGCCGGGAGCTTGTGGGTTGGTAGGGGGGGGGAGGAGGCTGAGTGAGAATGGGGAGGCGAGTGGGAGTGGGAATGTGGGGGGTGGGGCTGGTGGTGGTGCAGCCGGTGCTGCTGGTGGCGCTGCTGCTGCTGGTGGCGCTGCTGCTGCTGGTGGTGCTGGCGGTGGTGGTTCGAGTGATGGGAGTGGGGGGTTCTTGGGAGTGGCAGGGGGGATGACTCTTCGCAGCTATGAAGATGTTGACGTGCCCACGTTCTCTCAACCAGGCCTTGAGAAGGATTAAAAGCGTGTGGTGTGCCTTGCCAAGCCCGCATGTGAGCGAGCGGATGTGAGTGGGTGTTAGTGGGTGATGCGGCATGAACAGTGCTTGTCGGGTTGGGTGGGAGTGCATGTGGTGGTGAGGAAAGGAGGAAAAAGAAGAGGCAGCAGATGCTGCATGGAGTATAATTGCTGGTGATGTATGTAGATGGCTCGAGCGAGTCGTGTTGCTGCCAAGCTGAGACGAGGCAAGGATTTTCCGTAGCGCTGGAGTCCAAGACTTTTGTAGAAGTATGCAATTCTGCAGCTGTCGGTCAGTGACCCATGTGGCCAGTGTGAGACCCTTGTTAAGACACTATGCGGAATATTACCTCAGGTTGCTGTAGAGGTGTAGTTGATTCTGTTACGGTAGTAATGGTAATCTATTCTATTGTCTGCATACCTGATTATACCAGGGAAGGAGAACCAAAGGAGCAAAGGAGTGGAGGTGGTGGTGGTTGGAGTGGTTCAGGCAGGAAGCGGATTCTGAAGCTCATGCGGAGGGACAAGGATGTAGTGCAGTACATCCCAATCCAATTTACCGATATGCTATGCAAATTAGGAAGCCCTTACCATTCTAATTGAAGGATGCATCCCCTCCCTCAATTGATTCTGCGTAGGATCAATCCTGAGCTCGGTCTAAGGAGGTTCAAAAAGTCAAAATCGGAAAAGGCAGGATTTTAGTGTGGTGGAGGATTGATCGAGGGAGGGTACATATCCTAAGTGCTCAACAACACTCCACCATCAACCATCTGGGCAAGTGATTTGGGCGGGTCAAACTTTGCACGTATTCGCAGAAAACCCTACCGAACCATATATTGTTTAAAATAGATCTCTCTGGATCAAGCCTAGACCTTTTTGAACCGCATTCGGACGTACTCTCTTGACCAACACTTACCAAGGCTTTTAGGTCTGTCCAGTAATGGTACCGTATATCGTAATTGATGTTGCTGCCACTATCTACTGTGGAGTGCATAACTTGGATTATAAAATGTCTGTGTCATGGAAATCAGTATATCCTACCACAGAGAACTTCCACTCACTGATTCTCATTCCACATAACTACCTTCAGCATGGAATAAGCATATGCCGACTCTCCGTATCAAAACAGAAAACGTGTTCATGGTATGTCCCAATTACATACACGCGTCAAATAATTTTCGCAGACGCTTTGCAAAATTTAGTGTAGATAAGCTTCTAGAGCTGGCCGCAGTCAGCAATGACCACGGGCTTCTTGGTTGCCCCCTGGTAGCATAGGAAAAGCAATCCATGTGGGCAAGGAGGGCAAACAGAGGGCAGCGAGTGAGCCGAGAACGGGGAACAAATGAGCTCAAACGGAGCAAGGACGTTACATTTGCCGTGACGAAAAAAATCAACCGTACACAGTTTTTGAGACGTCAAGGCTGGAATGCGAAAGCGACATAGATAGGCAATGAGGAAACGCTGGTTGCAGAACAAGACTTGAGTGGTAGGGGAGAGGCCTCACCGACTGGGAGCCAACGGCCTCGATCTTCTTCACTACATCCATGCCCTGCACGACTTGTCCGAACACCACGTGCTTGCCGTCCAGCCACGCCGTCTTCTCAGTGCACAGGAAGAACTGCCAAGAAACGATAGGGAAGAAAATTGAGGTTACCCGGAATAAGAGCACACAGAACCCCCGCAAAGGGTCAATGTGAAAGCTTGAGGAATACCTGAGATCCGTTAGTGTTGGGCCCGGCATTAGCCATGGAGAGGACGCCAGGGCCGGAGTGCTTTTTGATAAAGTTCTCATCCGCAAACTTCTCTCCGTAGATGCTCTCACCACCAGTACCGTTTCCGCGAGTGAAGTCGCCACCCTAAAAAAGGAAAAGAGTGGACAACCCTCTTAATGAACTGGATCAAGAAAGGACTGAAAAAAGGAAGATCGCACATATCGAGTTTCTCTAGATAACTACCATGTGTGCGTACCTGGCACATGAACTGGGGAATCACTCGGTGGAAAGACGACCCCTTGAAGTGAAGGGGCTTACCGGACCTGCCCGTACCCTTCTCACCTGTACAGCAACAATTACAAGTGTTCATACATCAATGAGCTTAGCGAATGACTTACTTCGTATCAGTAACATGACTACTAACCGGCACATACCAGTGCAGAGACAGCGGAAGTTCTCAGCAGTCTTGGGTGTGACGTCAGCAAAGAGCTGCAGAACCATTACGACAATGAAATTAGTTAAGTCACAGTGCGGCAAGCAGCTAGATGAGCCATGCAAACAGCGGCGCTGGTTCTTACCTCCATCTCGATGCGACCAGTTGGCACCCCGCCAACGGTGATATCGAAAAACACTTTGGGGTTAGGCATGATTGATACAAGCTGGTGGATCTGCAAGAGTCGACATCAGGTAGGACACCGAAATTTTTTACCAACGAGGCAAATCCAGTATAGATATACGTGCAAAAGGCAACCAACAAAATTCTTAGACCAAGAATGTGCTGCAGAAGCTTACACAGAAGGGAAGTGAAGAAGCGGCGAAGGTGTTGTGGAGGTGCAGAGAGAGAAAATGACGGCACGATTGAAATGCAAGGCACAATCAGAAATATGTCTTTCCTGCTTTGGAGGCTGTTGGGGGTTCAGAACTTCCGAGTCCAGACGCCGCCTTCTTGGAGCAGGAAGATTTCCCCTCGGAGGAAGTGGTGATGACGTGGCAATCTCCAGCTCATTTGGAGGGTATCGGAAGGACGTGGCGTCAAGCGAGGGGGAAGGAGCTGGGAGTGGCGCGCCAGCGTTGCATGCGGTTTTCAGGGAAAATCAGCATCTACAAGATCTGCGTCTCCGTTTCAAGGAACCACAGCCTACTACAATGTTGCAGAATCTTATGGAAGGAGTGAAGGTTACTCTACATGTAGTATATTTCGCTATTAAAATAATTACATGTTCCGTAGCTTAATGCTACCGTTCTAATTTTTGGCACTTCACATATCTGCCCACACAAGTGCTGGTTGTTCATATAAGATGCGCAGGACAAACCCAGGACAAACTTTGAAAACCCAGTTCTACTTAAGATACGCATATTAACAACCTCACATAATTTGGCTGAAAATAAAATAATATTAAAAAAGAATAGGCCTTACACACCTACGACGTGTGTGCTAAGCCCGACACCACATGGCACTATGGAATGACTGGGTGAGCCAAGGCATCTTCTTGGGGTAGAAAAAAAAAAAGAGGAATGTACAACCCATAAACCTTTCTATTTCCCTTCATCATCTGCACGCCACCCATTTTAGCAGGTTTTATGGGGGCGGAAATTCAATGGCTTTGCTTGCGCAACCCTCCAAAAAGGCTCCTCCAGATTCCACCGTTTTTCCCGCGCGAACTAAGTTCCGCACGCAAGCGCGCCCACTACACTTCCAGGGTGCCGTTCCTTTAGCCCGCTCTCGCTGCACAGATCCGACCTGTGCGAGCTGCGGCCGAATGCCGCAACAGCCGCGGACGCGTCGGCAAGGACGCGCCTGGTCGCCGACTTCGGCAACCTGCGTCTGCTGGTCGACGCAGCGTCAGCACCGTTCGCACTCGGACTGGCACCAGCGCTAGTAAGCCCAGCACTAGTAGCAAGCATCCGGGAGCTCTCCGACAGGACGACGGCAGCGGCGGCGTCGGTCATGGTCGTCGCAGCGGGAGCGGAGGTAGCGCACGGCGAGCCCCGCCGTAGTTGGCGAGAGAGCGACGAGCGGCGGGTGCTCTTCGGAGCAGGGCCTTTCGAAAGCGAGTATCCTGACGGAGAGCCGTCGACGAGTGGGCTGTGCGAGCAGCTTTGCGAGCCGCGGGTTATCTCGAGCGAGCGGCGCGGGTGCAGCCGCTGCCGTTGACTGGGCGATCCACCCTGCGGGTGGGACGGCGAGGCGAGGGGAGAGTCGAGACCCCATAGGAGTAGGGACAAGTCGAACGATTCCCGGCTTGTACCTCTCGCGTCGCCACCAGCTATGGCTGCCAATGCTGCGTCCGCAGTGTAAACCCCGGCAGAATCTGAACGAGGAGCGGAAGAAGAAATGTTGAAACCATCGGAATCAGATGTCCAAACGTTAGTATGAGGCGGGTATCTTTGTTGGTGCTGCCAGGGGCAGGTGACAGTGGACGCGCTGCGGGGCACGCGGGGGGGCGGGTTCGCCGTTGCCACGACCGCGGGGGTCGCGGTCGCGGCCGGCACTGGCGCGTCCGCCGCCGCGCCCGGGGTGATGAAATACGTGTGGCCCGGGTGCAAGGGCGTTTCGGCGGGGAGAGACGTCAGGCATTCCTCTAACACGCCGAGCGTGCAGCCAGGGTAGTCCGTGAGAACCGCGTCTGCTAGGACTGGCTGGTTGCCGGGTCCCGTGGCGGAGTAGAGGCGCACGGCGCCGTCAGGAAGCATGACGAGTACCGAGTCGTCCATAACGCGTACGGTGCAGCAGGCGCAGCTGCGTTTACGGAGCGAAAGAGGGAGCAACGGGTAAATGCTACGGGACTCTTACAGAGGGTCCAGCCGAGGTTGTAGTACTACTAGAGGCGGGGTTAACTTCTTACTAGCACGTGAATAGAAAGCAGGGTGGGAGGGATTAAATCAGTAGAGGTGTATGACGGAATGTCTGCGTGCAATGCTCAGTCGCCGGAGTCTCCGCCTTCTTTACAGTACCAGTGACGGTTTGGGTTGGGGGCGGTGGGCAGAGAGTGTGCGAGGCAGGAGGAGCGAGATTGATGCGGAAGGAGTGTGGTGGGTCCATGTATACACTAGCGCGCCGGCACGAACTTGGATTCTTTCTTCTCGTAGTGAGTGGGGAGATTTCAGCAGTAGGTGGTGGTCATAGTGGAGCAGCTTTTGCGCGCCACGGGCGTGGGCGGTTTTCCAGCCATCACCATTGTCCGTGGTGTCGCAAGCGATGTCCAGACATGAAGGTTCGGTGACATGCGTTCATATTGCCACCTGTCAGAGTATTGACACTCGCAGCGCAATATGGAAAATGTGGAACGCTTGTCTTACGAAAGGTCGAGTTTTGCTCACCCTTCTGGTGTTGCTGGACTAAGTTATGAGTGCGTGTCTGTCAACCATTGGTCGACTCGAGCATGGGAACGTTTGCTCAAGCTGTCGAGATGCTGCTCTGAGTGTCCTGGCAGCTTATATTATCCAATGCGAAGATTTGTAAAACTGCCGAATATTTGACTGCACGGCAGAAAGGGCAGTCCTCGCTAATCAGCAACTAAGTGCGAATCATAATTGGCGAACAATGGAATGGAAACATGCCTGTCGCTACTGGCGAAATAGAAAAATCAGGACAGGAAAGCGGACGATGCTGCTCTGCTCTACTATACAGTGCACACAGAACGACAAGTAAGCAGCCAAAGCTGGTGAACCACTGGGAGTGAGGAGGAAGAGGGAAGGCGCCAGTGCTTTTGTATCAGATTTTTACTTGGGAAAAGATCAACGAAGGGCCGAACAGTGCCAGAGGGGTGATCGACCAGGGGCCGAGAGGCCCGGAACTTCCCAAACCGCTGCGCGTAGAGGGATTAACATAGGGTCTTCCTTTATTGCACGTAATTATGTTATTAGTGGCATGTACCGGCTCGCATTTTCGCTCGCGTGTCGTTTAGCGAGCCGACTCTACTGGAAACTCTTAGGGCAGCCAAAAAAACCACAACTCTTAGGGAACCTGGATGCATTTTCGGGATGGGTCAACCCTAAAACGGATAACTTCCTGGTATTTAGGGTTGATGCCTCCCGAGTCGCACCTGTTTCCGAATGGGTAATATATTTTTTTCCAGTGCGTCTACGATTGGGTAGGTGATATTTATCACCCAGAATATAATATGTTATACGTACTCACGATTTGATCCGCTGAACTTTACTTCCAGAAGAAGGCGACGCGCGCGCTGTAGTAGACGGAGGTCAAAACCCTCAATAAAAAACATGAATACACAATTTGGTTCTTCTAGCAAATATCGTTTACTTCCGGTTCGGCTTGTTCGCCAAGTCGGTTGGGCAGCTCTGGGCTGAAATCCTACGGTCGAGATTTATCGGCCCTACTTTGAACACTCCTCTGGCAATGTTTGGCCCCTGGTTGGTCTTTTCCCTTTTTACTTCTGCTCCACGTGCCTTCAGAAACAGAACACCTTTCAGTGTAGGTCCCACCAGTGTGTCCTTTCATGAGCTGCTTGCTGTTGCTGCCCAACAAGAGCGGCGAAAATCTGTTCGTGAAAAAGAACCATTTGGTGAAACTTCAAGAGGCGGTCGAATTACGTCACGTCACGTGGCGGAGGGGCTTACCTGTTGTGGAAGTGAGTGCCAAGTGGCCTTGACTGCAACGGCAGGATGACGCTGACCTGGCCAATCGACCATGTGACCAGAATTGTGGCATGATATTTTGTGGCAAGAATCTGCCTTGACTTGGGTTGCCCGTATTACTGAAAACTGTACTCCAAAACTCCTCCGCACGTCTAGCAAGCACGGATCCAGAATGTGGAACATAGATAGCAAGCCTAGAAAGAACTATGCGGAACTCGCAACATTCACCGATTTTGTAGTATTAGCATTGCCAATGTGTTCCCTGGACGATATATTTTCCACTCATTTTAATTCAAGTTATATGTGTATAGAAGAAAAATAGACACACATTTACTAACCGCTTTGGATTGAAATGTGACCATACCGTATTGTGTAGCACATTCTTGGGTCTGTTGGGGTTCTAAAAACCGTCTTGAATATTACAGAAGATGTCAGTCTAGCGAAGAGGGTGTAAACCCATGATTAGACATTTGGCTGGAATCAGATATTTTGGTCTTGCTCAAACACCACCAGCGAAACTCAAATTGACAACATTTGCCCCTTCGCATTAACTTGGGCAACGGTCCAGCTTGACCGATTTCGATACAGTGCAGCTACACCGCTTACCCAGACACAACAATTTTAGTCTGCACGAACCAGGTTTCCGAATAATGATGCAGACAGCTGTAGTGATCAAATTTATTAAGAACCCTATTAAGAATAAATTTAAATAACACACCATAATCCACTCAGTAATAACTAGTCCGTCTTAACGCTTGGAATCTTAGCTCTGGAAGTCTGTATTTGCATATCTTCTCTGAAGATGAGGCCTAAGTGTAACTCATGCTTTTGCCTGTTTTACACTAGTAGCGAGTTCCTCTACTATCGCGCCGGTCGCACTGATTCGCAACTCGCGAAACCACCCTGGTTCGCGCGCCACTCACGTCCCTTGCCCCAACCAAGCTTCCTAAGTTTGGAACTCTTGGAACTCGGGTTTTAACTTTCGCGCCTCGTGCTCTCCGCGTATCATTTTGCCTCGACGAGGAGGCCGGAGATCACAACTGTGCAGTCTCGTGAAAACTACTTGTCACGTTTCTAGCTCTAACCCAAGCATTTTTTCTTCTTCTTCTTATACATACCTTCGGCATGCACGGAACATCTGCTATCGGCATGATTCTGGCCGGACCGGCAGGATTTGGTAAGTAGAACGTCAAGTCGTACAGCACTGACGCCTCGTCGCACAGCACTGACGCCTTGTCGCACAGCACTGACCCTCGCCTTGGTCGTTCCTTGGTCGAGTTCGTGGTTCCGTCGCAAACTCTCTCTCACTCACTCAACTTCGCATGGCCGCTTTTTCCCGCGTCCCTCCTGACGTTCCTCCCCACTTCCCCCTTCTCCCTCCCCACTTCCCGCTTCTCCCTCCCCACTTCCCCCTTCCCCCTCCCCACTTACCCCTTCCCCCTCCCCACTTACCCCTTCCCCCTCCCCACTTACCCCTTCCCCCTCCCGACTTCCCCGTTCCCCCCATTCTCCCCAGACGGAGCCCCCGTGACTTGCGCCATCGTCCTCCTCTCCGCGCTCTCCTCCCTCGTCCTCCCCCTCGGCCCGCGCGCCGCGCTCGCCGCCCTCTCCTACCCCGCGCTCTTCATTCACCACCGCCTCTGGCGCGTGCTGCTTGCGCCGCTGCCCTTCCCCGCGCTGCCCGCGCTTCTGCTGGGCTGCGCGCTGCTCTTCCTTCTCCGCGTGCACGAGCGCCAGATGGGCCCCTGCAAGTTCACCGTGCGTTGGGAGGGGGTTAGGGGGGGCCTTCTTAGTTGTGGTTGTGGTCTATCCCCATGCAGTGATTTTCAAGGGTTGCTCTTCCTGCTGCGCGTGCACGAGCGCCAGATGGGCCCCTGCAAGTTCACCGTGCGTTGCTAGGGGTTCCCGGAGGGGAAGGGGAAGGGAGATTTCCTAGGGGAGGCTTTCCATGGGGTATTTTCCAGAGGAGATTTTTCAGGGGGTATTTTTGAGAGGAGATTTCCCAGGGGGTTTATTCAGGGGCGGTGATTTCCTAGGGTTGCTCTTCCTCCTCCGCGTGCATGAGCATTAGATGGGCCCCTGCAAGTTCACTGGTTGGTGGGGGGATTCGAAGGGGAGAAAGGGGAGAAAGGGGAGAATCGGGAGGGGATGGGGCGGGGGAACGGTGGTGGGTGGTAGGGGGTGAGTGGAGGAGGGTGGGCGTGATTGGGAAGGGGTCGTGTGTGGGCAAGGAGGTTTACCTGTGAGTTTCTCCTCTGTCCTGCACGACTCCCTGCACGACTCCCTGCACGACTCCCTGTCTGGGCCCATCTGGACCAGATGGGTTCCTGCAAGTGCATCACCCCGCTCTCTCCCTCTCACCTTCCTTCCCCCCCTCCCTCATCCTCCCTACCCCGAGCAGGTGTTTTGCCTCTTCTCCTTCCTCGTCTCCTCCCTACTGCAACTCCTTTTCCTGCTGCTCACAGGTAGTTGTCACCTCTCCTAACCCTTCAAATGTTCCTTCAGCTTCACCTACTCACTCATGAAATAAAAATGTTATCATTAACTGAAAGAACCATACCTCGTCTGCTGCTGGCCGGTAGTAGCATGGAGTTGATTTTCCACTCTAGAGTTGACTTAAACAGCCACCCCATAGTGTGTTGTGTAGACCGTTACCCTTTCTTCCACCCATTCTTCTCCTGTATTTGATAATCTTTTCGCTTTCTTCCACCCATTCATTTTGGGCCGCTCGACCACATGCCACATGCCACATGCACAGCACGTACACACACACACACACACACACACACACACACACACACACATACACACACACACACATACACACACACACACACACACATATACACACCCAGACACGCACACCCACATGCATGCTCTTATTCAGCTAGCTGGCATGATCTCTCCCCATCCCACCTCCCAATTCCATTCTCGCTCTCTCCTTCTCATTCCCTTTCCTCCTCCAACCCACCCCTCTACCCGTCCCCCCATTCCTCCTCTTCTTATCCCCCCCATCAGGCCCAACAACTTCTCCGCCCTCCTCCTCCTCCCGCTTCTCACCCCCCTCCTCCTCCCCTCTCTCCGCGCCTCCCTTTGCACTCACACTCTCCCCTGGTCCCTACGCACTCATCTCCGCCCTCCTCCTCCTCTCATACGCGGACGTACCTCCCTCCACTCGCTTCCTCCTCTTCTCCCGAATCCCTTTCACTGATAAGACCCTGCTTCTGCTCGCAGGCTTGCAGGTGCGTGTGTGGGCACGGTGGGAATGTGGGAGTGTGGCAGGGTGGTTGGGAGGGAGGCAAGGTGACAAGGCTTGGTATGAGCAGAATCCTAGAACAATCGCAGAAGTTACTGTTTTGATACATCACCTCCCTCCCACCCACTTTTCTCCTACCTCCTTCCCACCCACCTTTCTCCCACCTCCCTCACACCTCCCTCCTATATGAGGGAGGGAGGTGGCCGCTCATGAGTTCGTTTCTAAGAAGTCTCAAAAACCATTCTTCTAGATATTCTCTTTAACCACCACCTCTCGTCCCAACCCTGACTCCCTCTTTCCTTCTCCTTTCCCCCCACCATCTCCTCCTTGTCGCCTTGTTTTTGAGAAGTCTCAAAAACCATTCGTCCAGATATTCTCATCAACCACCAACACCTGGTCATACATCAACCATTCGCCCGAGTCCGTTTTCTTTTCTCTGCCCCTCTCCTCCTACACGCCTTGTTCCTCCCTTCTCCCTGCGCTGGTTCCCCCCGCCCATCGCAGCAGCTGCAGCTGGTGTTGTCAGACGGTTTCCCATCGCTCCTACCGGGCTGCACAGGGCTCGTTGCTGTTCCTCCCTTCTCCCTGGTTTCCCCCCGCCCTTTGCAGCTTTTGCTGTCAGACGGCCTCTCGTCGCTCCTACCAGGCTGCACAGGGCTCGTTGCTGCTGCACTATACCGCGGCAATCCACCTAGTTGGCCTTCTCAGTCAACTCAAAGGTCAAATCAACATTGCGCCGTGCTCCCTCTTTCCCTTCCCGCCCACCACCACCAGCTGGTGCTGTCAGACGGCCTCTCCTCCCTCCTACCGGGCTGCACAAGGCTCGTTGCTGCTGTGCTCTACCGCTGCACTCCACCTAGTTGGCTTTTTCAGTCGACTCAACAGTCGACTCAAAGGTCAAATCAACATTGCGCCGTGCTCCCTCTTTCCCTTCCCGCCCGCCACCAGCTGGTGCTGTCGGACGGCCTCTCGTCGCTCCTACCGGGCTGCACAGGGCTCGTTGCTGCTGCGCTCTACCGCGGCAACGCCCTGGGGATACGTAAGCTCGCGGTAATCATAGCAGAGTTGCTTCTCAGAGACTCTGATATCACCACCTCTCATGCCGAGCACAAGTTCCTCTCCCTTTAGCTGCAACGCCCTGGGGATACGTAAGCTCGCGGTAATCACAGTAGGTTTGCTTCTTGGATTCTCTGATATCACCACCTCTCATCCCAAGTCCCAAGTGCCTCTCCCTTTCGCTGCAAGTCCCTGTGGATACGTAAGCGCGCGGATCTGCATCAGAGTCGCTTTTGAGTCCCGGTAATCACTGTTAAGTTGCAGAACTTGTCAGTAGCGGACAGATGGGCTGCGGAGGCCCTACTTCCATTCCATCAAGTACAGTTGCATGGAAGTCGTGTAAAAAATGGCCACTTTGGAGGCCGCTTCATGGTTGTTAGTTATGCTTACACGTGTGCAAGCCCTGGGATGCATAGGCTCACGGTAGTCTTTGTACCTTCCTTCCTTCCTTCCTTCCTTGAGTTCCTTGAGGATGGGTCGTTCGTTCGTTCCTTCCCTCCTTTCTTCCTTCCTTCCTTCCTTCCTTCCTTCCTTTCTTCCTTCCTTCCTTCCTTTCTTCCTTCCTTCCTTCCTTCCTTCCTTCCTTCCTTCCTTCCTTCCTTCCTTCCTTCCTTCCTACCTGAGCCAGTGGCAGAGCAAGTGTCCAACTGTCCTACCACTGTCGGCACGTACATACTTTTATGGCGCCTCAAAAGCCGTCCGTCCATCCTTCCCGTCGTCCTTCCTTCGATCCACCCATGCATGCATGCAGATACCTGAGCCAGTGGCAGAGCAAGTGTCCAACCGGCTTTCCACTGCTGGCACTTACATAAGTGCCGCCTTCGCTCGTGCTCTCGGCTTGCTTACTCAGTTCTTGCAACGACTGATGCAGCAGCTGCAGCATAGATTGCAGCTTTGGCTGCAGCAGCAGCAGCAGCGACGACAGCAGCAGCAGCAGCAGCAGCAAGAGCGTGAGAGGCTTGAACACGAGCAATCGCCGTTCCTGCAACAATCAAGATTGGAACAGCAGCAGCAGCAGCAGCAGCAGCAGCAGCAGCAGCAGCAGCAGCAGCAGCAGCAGCAACGGCAGCAACAACAGCAACGGCAGCTGCAACAGTGGCAGCAGCTGCAGCAGCAGCAGCAGCAGCAGCAGCAGCATCGAGCAGAGCAAGTAACAGAACAGAGTCCTCTGCTAGGACCATACCCTGTATGCCGTGTTATCCCTCATGGTGTGCTGTGTGTTGGTGGCATGTTGAGTTGTCTCAAAAGTCTGAGTCGTCTCAGAACAAGTAACGGAACAGACTCCTCTGCTATAAACATACCCTGTATGGATGCCATGCACGCGTGCTCTGTGGTGTGCTGTGTTGCTGGCATGTGCATGCTAGGTTGTGTGCTGATGCCACCCGGCCGGTTGGTCATGAGTCATGACCATTGTGCCTCTGTGTCCCTGTGTGCCTATGCTTTCGAGGTGACTGTTGAGTCGACTCAAAAGTCACCTCATGACCATTGTGCCTCTGTGTCCCTGTGTGCCCCTATGCTTTCTGTGAGATCTGCCATCTGTTGACCCACTCTCCAACCTTTCCCATTGAACTCACCTGCCCTCACATTGCTGTTCCACTCCTCCCCACCACCACCCGTCTCTTCCCCACCCCACTTTCCCTCTGCCCCCTGTCCCCCTCCCAGCTACCCACCTATCTGCACGTGCCCTTTGCCTCGTTCCCACCGGAGCCATCCATTAGTGCACTCGTTGCCATGGGCTTCGACCGCAGTGGCAGCAGTGGCAGCAGGGGCAGCAGTGGCAGCGCTGCTCTTGATGCACCTCTTGATTACTCCTCCTCTCAGGCCGCATTACTCCCCGCTCTCTTCCCCGCTTTCCCCCTCCCTCCCTCCTTCCACTTCCCCTCTCCACCTCCACGTTCCTCCTCTCTCCCCACAATCCCCCTCTGCCCCTTCCCCCGTCTCCCTCCCAGCTGCCCACCTATCTGCACGCGCCCTTTGCCTCGTTCTCACCGGAGCCATCCATTAGTGCACTCGTTGCCATGGGCTTCGACCGCAGTGGCAGCAGTGGCAGCAGTGGCAGCACGGCGCTGCTCTTGATGCACCTCTTGATTACTCCTCCTCTCAGGCCGCATTACTCCCCGCTCTCTTCCCCGCTTTCCCCCTCCCTCCCTCCTTCCACTTCCCCTCTCCACCTCCACGTTCCTCCTCTCTCCCCACAATCCCCCTCTGCCCCTTCCCCCGTCTCCCTCCCAGCTGCCCACCTATCTGCACGCGCCCTTTGCCTCATTCCCACCGGAGCCATCCATTAGTGCACTCGTTGCCATGGGCTTCGACCGCAGTGGCAGCAGTGGCAGCAGTGGCAGCACGGCGCTGCTCTTGATGCACCTCTTGATTACTCCTCCTCTCAGGCCGCATTACTCCCCGCTCTCTTCCCCGCTTTCCCCCTCCCTCCCTCCTTCCACTTCCCCTCTCCACCTCCACGTTCCTCCTCTCTCCCCACAATCCCCCTCTGCCCCTTCCCCCGTCTCCCTCCCAGCTGCCCACCTATCTGCACGCGCCCTTTGCCTCGTTCCCACCGGAGCCATCCATCAGTGCACTCGTCGCCATGGGCTTCGACCGCAGTGCAGCAGTGGCAGCGATGCTGCAGTGCCACCACGACCTCACACTCGCTACCAACCTGCTCGTGGAGTCACAGCAGCAGCAGCAACAGCAGCAGCACCAATAGCTGCTGCAGCAGCAACAATAGCTGCAGCAGCAGCAACAATAGCTGCAGCAGCAGCAACAATAGCTGCAGCAGCAGTTGCAGCGTGCACAGGGGATGTGTGCGTGAGAGAGACAGCACAGGAAGGGCATGCGAGCGAGCATGAAGCCACAGCAGTGGCAGCGCTGCTGCAGTGCTACCTTTGTGGAGTCTCAAAAGTGACCTCCTCCGCACCGCACCCTCTCTACCAACCTGCTCGTGGAATCACAGCAGTTGATGGACGTAAGGCCTCCGACCCCAGGAAGGGCATGCGTTCGACAACCCCTCACTACCAACCTGCTCGTGTCGTGGAATCACAGCAGTTGATGGACGTAAGGCCTCCGCAGCCCACCTGTCTGCGTTCGACAACCCCTCTCTACCAACCTGCTCGTGGAATCACCACAGCGGCAGCATTTGTAGCAGCAGCAACGATAGCTGTAGCTGCAGCAGTAGCAGTGTTAGCAGCAGTAGCAGCAGTAGCAGTAACATCCGCAGGAGCTGTAGCATACGTGGCATATCTCTCTCACTGCTTGTCAAAAGTACGGTGCTAGCATGGAATGATGGAATGAGAGAGACCATGCTGTTGGTGGGCATGAATACGGAACAAGTGCCCCAGTCAGTGGATGCATACCGTAAGTAACTAAGAACATACAGTCACCACCACGCCACACCACACCACACCACAGCAGTGTAAAGCCCACTATTAGATTCCGGTGGATGTGGTGTGCTGTGAGCACTTGTGGGGGGGGTGCTACCGTGTATCAAATTCGTCAAGCTGTTTTCCACCGAGTTTCCGGGTGCGTGGTGTGGTGTGGTGTGGTGTGGTGTGGCGTGGTGTGGTGTGGTGTGGTGTGGCGTGGTGTGGTGTGGTGTGGTGTGGTGTGGCGTGGTGTGGTGTGGTGTGGTGTGGTGTGGTGTGGCGTGGTGTGGTGTGGTGTGCATTGAGAGATTGAGCCTGCCAGGCCGCCACGCAGACTTCTTCCTCCATTGGTCGTGCAACTGCCCGGGCCTGTTGCTGGTTTGCAACTTTTGAGTCCAAATCAGAAACGAAACACTACTGAGCTGATGCCGTACTCGTATGGTAGGTACATTCAAGACTGACTTACAGTACGTTACGGTACGGTACCGGTATGGGAGCACACACGCACCACATGGCAGGTCTTGCCAAGCTAGTATGTATAATGTAACCCACAAAAGAGCCAAGCTAGTATGTATAATGTAACCCACAAAAGAGCTCTTTACAAAACGCGAGTTGGTTCGTAACACACAGTTGCTACAGAGAGTGTAACAAGCAGGACGTTACATCGCTCCCATGAAGGGGGTAGGCTCATAACTGGCAGTTGTTACAGAGAGTGTAACATGGAGCCTGTTATATTGCCCCCGTAGAGGAGGGTAGGACAGTAGGACCATAAGCAGCAGGCAGTTGTTACAGAGAATGTAACAAGCAGCCTGTTACATGGCCCGTACGGGACGTACCCGCGCCTCTTTCTTCCCTTTCTCTTCCCATTCCCTTCCCATTGCCTTCCCATTCCCTTCCCATTCCCTCCCCTTTCCCCTAACAACAAGTCCCGATCGTCCTACACAACTGGTCCTTCAATCCCCCAGAAAGCACCCCACACATGCCGCCTCCTCCCCCCTCCCCACCCCCAATCCGAATCACGCACTTCTGCTTCGTCCTATCCCAATTCTGCTGCACCAGGAACCGCATCCCTCCCGCTCCAACCAGGTTGTAACGGTACTGGTTACCGCTCGTGCCCGCGGCGAATTTCACCACGGCTTTCCCGGTTAGAGGGTTGGAGTTGCCGTATTGCCACGAGCACAGGTCTGCGTTCTCGTCGCCGGACGGAGCTAGCCAGCCGGTTCGGAGGTCAGGGTCGGTGGCAGCTTCGGCAATCTCGTGCGCCAGAGTGGAAACTGTAGCGTCAACCCCGGGGTTGTTGTTGGGAGAGGTGCTGTAGTGGGAGAAGAGGAGGGGAGTGGGGAGAGGGGTGGGGGGAAGGGTGGGGGGCAGGATGAGGCAAGGAAGGATGAGGCAAGGAAGGATGAGGCAAGGAAGGATGAGGCAAGGAAGGATGAGGGAAGGAAGGATGATAGGACGGCAGGATGAGATGAAGGAGGGAGAAAAGAGGGAAAGAGGATGTGCTGTCATGCACTATAGTGACACACTGTAGCGTCCACCCCCGGGGATTGATGTTGGGTGATGTGCTTTCATGCACGGGGTGGGGCATGCACCATTGTGCTCCAGGGACCCATACACACACCGCACACATCCTCCCCCCTCCCCTCCCCTCCTCCTCACCCTTTCTGCGTCATGCATCCGTTCGGGCACGCGCCGTGGTGCCCCAGGAACCCGTACACGAGATTCGCCCCGCCATGGACCCCCTTGGGAGGGCCAGCCGCAATCCCCTCCCCCCACTCTCCCCCCCACCCCCCTCCCTTCCATCCTCACCCTTTCTGCGTCATGCATCCGTTGGGGCACGCGCCATGGTGGCCCAGGAACCCGTACACGAGGTTGGCTCCGTTGTGCGACGCCAGGGAGTGCCAGCCGCAGTAGTCGGTGCAGAAGCCAGACACGCGCACGTCCTTGCTGCCCATCAGCATGTAGATGGCGTTGCTGTCGAACGGCAGGTCGCCTGCTGTCAACACGTGCTTCACGGCTGGAGAGAGAAACAGATGGGGAGGAGAGTGGGGAGGGAGGGCAAGGGGCGGGGGAATGGGACGGGCAGAGGCGGAAAGCAGGGGGAATAAGAGCGGGATGGGAAGGGAAGGGATGGGAAGGCGCAGGGCGGAGCGGTGTTGGAGGGTGGGTTGGTTCAGACCGAACCGAACCACACCGAACCGAACCGAACCGAACTGAACCGCACGTGCCCCCACTGCGCCACTCTACCACACGGCCACGAGACTTACAGGCGGCGACGAATCCTTCTGTGAGCCCCGTGCGCCCCTGCGAGTAGTCGTCATACGCTACCCCTGCCAGCCGCACCAAACCACACGAGCCCCACTCTACCACTCTGAATCACTCTGTGCCCTGCTGAGCCCTGTTCTACCACACATGCCCCGCGTCTGACTCACAGGCGGCGACGAAGCCTTCTGTGAGCCCCGTGCGGCCCTGCGAATAGTTGTCATACGCTACCCCTGCCAGCCGCACCTGGTGGTGGTGTGACATGCCACGGGAGGGGAGAGAAGGGAAGAGCGCGACAAGGGTGACTAAAAGAAGAGGTGGTTGTAAGTGGAGATGAGTTCCCACATGCTGCTGGCAGCAACTTCTGATCCGCCCATCCCCCCTCTTCCCTCCCCCCACTTCCCCCTCCCCACTCTTCCCCCATCTCTTGCCCACCTCTTTTCCCCACCTACCCCCCTACCTTGACCTCCCCGTTCCCCCTCTCACCTTCGAGCTAACGTATCGACTGCTCCCGTCCGCCGCCATATAATACCCCGCCGAAATCTCCCACCATTGCTTGACGGTCGCCACGCCGCCGCCGCCGCCTTTGCGGCCGCCCTGCTGCGTGGTGCTACTTAACGACCGCACGAAATTTTCGAACACTTCCTGCCCGCTGCCCGCGGGCCAGGTGCCGTAGTAGATTAAGTACACGTCGAGCGTTGCCGCCGCGACCACCGGACCGCCTAAGTACCGAATCGGGCCTTTGCGCCATTGCGGCTGGACGGCGGCAAGTTTGCTCGCGGCGGCAGCGGCGGCGTCGTTGGCGGCGGCGGCAGCGGGAGTGGCGGAAGCCGCCGCGCGGGTTGCGCGGAAGCCAGATCTCCGCGGGAGGCCGAATGGGGAGTGGGTGGTCATCGTTTGTGGGTGTTCATTAGTAGGCTCAGCCGGTGACGTTGTCGCCGCCGCATCACTGCTACCGGTAGCAGCGGCAGCAGTCGTCGTAGCAGGGTCGACGGGATTCGCGAGGGAATCCGCGATAGGCTTCGCGACGCGAATCAGCGACGGAAGAGCTTTGATGCGAATCGACGAGGCGCCGTCGTCCGCTGGAATGGAGCTCCCCGGGGACTCCGCGGCGGCGGTAACGGCGTAGGAGAGGCGGAGGAGCAGGAGGACGGGGACGAGGCGGGCGGAAAGTCCGCGCGGGGCGGAGCGCAGGGAACGTGCGCGCAAGAGGGCTGGTTGTTGGGAGGGGCGGAGAACCATGATGATGGCACAGTGGACAGGGCGGATGGGGGCAGCGCGGAAAGTGGAAGAGCGGATGGGGAATCACGGACTGGGGGAGGTTGGAACTGTGTAGCGGAAGCAAATTTTGGTTGTCCGAGGAAGAAAGGCGCGGCTCGAAGAGCCACGTGGTGAGACTTCGAGGGTAACGCGGGTCGAGGGTCTCAGGGCAAGAGTCACCAGGTCGAGTTCCGAGCTGTTTTAATAGGGCAAGCGCGGTCGCACAGGGACCAATAAGGCGAGTTTTTAGTCGACTTGAACTTGCTCGCAAGCGTCGCAACGGACAGGTGTAGTAAGGGCAAGCCGGGCAGAGCATAGGGGCAAGTAAGGACCAGTAGATAGTATCACACTACTACCGGTTGTTGGCGAAACTGCTGCTCTCCGTGTGTTTTCTCGCGGCTCGATCAGCCAGAACACGGCGAGCGGCGAGCGACGCTATTACGAGCGATGAGCGACGAGCGACGAGCGCGCGCCCGCAGATAGTGCTTCTTCTCGTGTCCTCTACGCACGAAACACACCACTATTCTCTCCTAGTCGGGACGGCAATGGCAAGACGCTATGGCTGTGCCCGTGTAAAATAGGAAGGAGAGAAAGTACAGTCTGCTTCTGCAGCTCAAGCACCATTTCTTTGAATTTTGTGAGTGTCCTCGCTTCAACTCATGGTCATGGCCCCGTACCGTAGCCCATAAGCATAACCTGTGGGCCAAGGGCGGAGCCTTGCTTGTCTGTGATTGGTCCATCACCCGTACTGGAGCAACAAGCCAAGCCGAGCCGATTTGTGGTTGTTGGTGGCGGTGGTGTCTTTCTCGCATGTTGTTGGCCCCGCACCTGGCCCGCTTCGCCGCCACCTGCCCCCAGCGCCCCAGCTGCCCTGCTATTTTACAGCAGCCAACCGCGCAATCCTTGATTCCATACCTCTCGGCTCGGCTCTCGTCCCGAACCGACTCTCGTCTGTATATTACCCCCGGAAGATGTGTCGAGTGCTAGAAAGAAGTCACCATGCCTAGCTAGAGTCGGAGGACAAGTTTTACAAAACAACACTTCAGTTTTTTGTCTAGTTCTGAATGTGCTTGAGGAGTGTCTATTATGCAAGCTTTCAGTGTGCCGAACTTAGGATTGATGGTGCCTGAAAATCGTGAAACAAAAGATGCAGGCTGTGAAGGGTGACTAACCGCTACGTTCTGCGTACACTTCATCTTGACCACCTGGTTGAAGCCAGAGGTCGGCCCCAACCTGTCGGTGCCTGCTTTCACGCCGTTTACCTTTTCGGCTTTGAACCCGGTGGTTTTTTTGTGACGCTCTTTTCTATTTAGCACCTCCGCCAAAAAGAAGCTGGATTGTGAAATTCAAAGCTATTTGACAGCTTTCACAGGAGTCAGGTTTGCTGCTTTGGGTTTCCTGACCCAGGAAAATATTCAACACCATTTGAGCGATTTGAACCGCTTCTCGCACGTGTAGCACATTCGCTGTTAGGTTGTTCGCAGAAATAATGGCGCGACGCGACGACTCTCATTTTTTGCTCAATCCTGTCGACTAGCCTCGCACCACGCTCCCCCTTTTTTCATTTTTTTCTCAATCCCATGGAGCGCAACTTTCTCTACACTTGCAATCACGGTCTAGTCACTCTGCGTATACACTCTCCGTATACGTTATTCAAGAGTTTCGGATCCCTTTGATTTCTTGCTTTTGGGTGAGAACAAATCTGACGCTACCCAGATGCAATAATTGCAACCCATTAGTACGAGTTGTCATTTTGAGCAGTTGTATTTATGATACACAGTGGCCGTACTGACGTGTTGCGTAGATACTTAGGGCTGGGATGATTCTATAAATGCAAAATCGTAGAGACAATTACAGTGTATATTAGGACCAACCTTAATGAGACAACTAGACTCTTGCATCAGACTAGACAAAAATATAGCGTGAACTACAACTTTCAGATAGAAAAAAATGTTTTTTTTTTCAACCCACAGATTCACAGGCATATCAAAGAGGTTTTGCGTTTTGTCTCAAGAAGTGCGATTTTGCAAAATTATTGAATATCTTAGAAGTTTTATGTAGTATATTATTAAGTTTAGTTTTGTTTTTAATCTTCCAATATTTCAGAAAACCGAGGTGTAATATGTCGCATTTAATTCATATAACGCCTTATATAACATTTTAGCCTAGAAAAACAAATATCTTAAATGTTATTGCGTATTCAGGGTAAACCATGCCTGGCTAAAAAAATGTGACGTCCAACAAATCCGACACAACTCTGTCGAGAGTTGTTCTCCCTTTATCGCAAAAGGGCATGTAGAAGTCCATGGCATTTAGAAATATCAAAAATCGGGTAGCGCTGTGCGAGGTTAGTCGACAGGATTGAGCAAAATTCGAGAATCGTCGCGTTGCCCGATTATTTCTTGTTCGCATCATCATGTTTCTAGGAGGGCACGGCGAGACTGGTCAACGCGACGGTTCTGGGGAAGGTGCGTTCTTTGAGGAAGGTGCGTTACAGATCGATTACGCTTCACCATGAAGCTTTGATCGCTCGCGGGCGATGTGTACCAGTGTTATGAAATGTTCAGAAAAGCAAAAAGCTTTGTTCAACAACCGCGCTAATTGCTTTGATGCCTTTCCAGGTTTTCCATTCAGCAACGGTATATAGAACTTTCCCAGTTACCAAACACATTCATTGGCGCTGTTCTGCAGGCGTTAAATTGCCAGAAACTGGGTCCGCAGAATCTTCCCCGATAAGCGCCCTTCTGCCTATCAAGTTTTGGTGATAGGCGCGGTCCTGCCAAACCTTTTTGCGCCAAATTTAACGCTTCAGCCTGGAGAACGCCACTTTTGGGGCACACAAATTTAATGAGGTGAAGGTTCCACGGTGTTGCATCTCCAGACCACTGTCCGCATGACTTGTGCACTGCCAATTTGGCCTCGTGAGCTAGCATCAGCCAGCGCACAAGTTATGCAGGGCAGCAATTTGTGAGATTCGAGATTTTGAGCGAGCTTCGTGGCAACACCCCCCAGCAAATTGAGAGATTAGGCATTTGGTGCGGAGGCAATAACACCTACAGAACAGCGCCATTTTTTCCCCAATAACCGCGCTCACCACAAACATCATGTTCAGAAAGTCCACATTAGAACAGCACAATACATGCGCAAATGCTATAGTCACAACAAAGGGCCACAGGAAAAGCAGGCTGTATGACAGAGGCACAGTGGGGGGACAGCCAACCACAACCAGGTCAGGGAGGAAGGAAATTCAGGAACCAAGTAATGAAACAAATGTTTGAGAGCGCAGACACGGCTCCAGATAATTTAAGTAATTGCGTAGAGGAATGGCAAAACGTGGGTGGCACTTGAAGCGCGGATCCCCGGGAAAACCAGGTTGCCTAACAGCATCGATTGAAGATATCGCACAGGCGAGGGCGAATCCAGCGAGGTATGTTGGGGCATGGGGTGCTATCCTCCTGTAAAACACAAGTCGAGCAAGGGTACGAGAGGAGGAGCAGCATTAAGTAAACGAGACCAGTTAGTCCAAGACTCAACGAAAGCACAACAGATAGTCAACGCCGATACAAAAGCACCAACCTTCCCAACCGCCCTTTCCCTCCACACCCACTCCCCCTTGCCTCCCAATCCCACTCCTCCTTTCTCGAAGTCTCCCCAGCTTTCCCCTACAACCCTCCACACACTTACGGGAAGGTCGTTCTGCAGCATGCACGTGTTCTCGATGCGGTCCCACGCTTTCGATATAAGGAACTTCATGCCTTTGTTGCCAATGAGATTGTAGCGGTACTGGAACCCATCGCTGTTACGAGCGTACTTGACCTCGATAGTGTCGTTTCCGTAATTCTTGTCGCAATTATCGGAAACCTCCGAACCGTCGCCCATCATCCATCCCGTCTCAGTGTCGGGATTCGTTATGATATTTACGAGCTTGTTAGCGAGGGTCGACACTGTAGCGTCCATGGCCGTGTTGCCATTAGGCGAGGCACTGTAAAGCGGGGGCAGGGGATGGAAGAAGGGGAATGAGTTGAACAACGAGTCCAAGGGGATGCTGGAGCGGACGCGTCGAAGCAATTGAAATATACTGAGCGGAAAGCAAGCGGGCGGAAATGAGTGAAGAGTGGTGGAAGGGTTGGGGGTGAGGGAAGGAGAGAGAGAGAGGGGGAGGGAAAAGTGGGGACGTGGATGACGAGGGCGAGGAGTAGAAGCAAAATGTCTACGTGGTAAAAAAAATAAAAAATATCGAGAATGGCGTCCTGAAAAACCATCAGAGTAATAATATAAGAACACAAAAAAACGCAAGGAAGCAAACAACAAACAAGCAAGCAAAGAGACAAGGGATTGTTATTGAGCGCGTACGGTTCGGGCATGCAAGGATCGGGGCAGCTGCCGTGATCCCCGGCGAAACCGAGGTTGAACGGGCCGAGATAGTGCGCGGCCTTGGTGTGCCAGCCGCAGAAGTTGGAGCAGAAGCCGTCGACCTCCACAATGTTGCTCGTTAGCACGAAGTAGACGCCATTTGCATCGTACTTGAGCGACTTGCCCTTGCCGATCTGCCAGCGCGCGACTGCACGGAGGAGGTGGGGCGTGGGGGAGAGGAGGGAGCGGCAAGACGGGGAAGTGGAGAGCGGGCGCGGAGGGAGAGGGGGGAGAGTGGGGGAAGGGAACAATGAGCAAGTGACGAGTGACGGGAGCTGTCTATGGGAAGCACTGCGGCAGAAGGAACAGGAACGGGGAATGGGGGCGAATGGGGGGGGAGAGTGGAGAGCGGGGCAAGGAGGAAAGGGAGTCAGAGTTGAAGGGTGGAAAGAGGGAGGAAAGGAATATAACAGAGTGAGACGAAACAGAGGAGTCGGGGAGACAAGGAGCAAAAGCGCGGAGCAAAAGTGAGGCAGCGACATACGACTGGAGATGTCGGCGGCGTTTGTTGAGTCGACTCAAAGTCAAAAGCGCGGAGCAAAAGTGAGGCAGCGACATACTTGTGGCGATGTCGGCGGCGGAGAGCGGCCCTTTGCCCAGCGAGAATGCGTCGTACGCCACTCCTGCGAGGCGCACCTGGCGAACGACACACGGCAGGTGAAGCGACACAACGGTACACACAAGGACGGGGAAAGAGCGGCGAAAGGTTAGAGCGGAGCTGGGTGTCCGGTCGGAGATTAGAGCAGGCATAGGCAGCAAGTCGCAGCCTAGGAGCACCCGCGACGAGTTTGCACAAGAAGGGAACGGGCCATTATGGCGCACACGCAGCAACGCGGAGAGCTTTGAGCGTTTAGCGGACTGCTTTCTATGGCGGCGGACAAACGAATGAGTAAGATGCGCGAGACAGGACGGGAATGGCTCACCGCACAGGTATAGCAATGTTTCGGTTGACCCTAACCCCACTCTATGCTTCCCTGATCCAAACAGTAGACGTACTTCTGTGCCGACGTATCGGTCCTTGTTCGTCTCGTTGTTCGTCATGTAGTAATTTCCCGTAATAGCGAACCAGTTTTTAACGGAATTCTCGCCATCGCCGCCCTGCTTCCTGTTCGTGCTGCTCAGGGATTTCACGAAGTTCTCGATGATCTTCTGCCCGTAACCCTTGGGCCAGTTGCCGTAGTAGATTAAGTAGATGTTCACGGTCGGCCTGCCGACCACAACCGGGCCGCCATTGTAAATAATCGGACCCACCCCGTCTGCATTTGAAGACTGGGTTTTCCCCGAGTTTGATATCCTCCCCCCCTTTCCGATGCCGCGGTTCCTACTTTTGAAAAACTTCGAAGGGAGGGATCGAATTTTTGTTATGGTATTGCTAAGGGGGTTGTTCTTGCTAAGGGGGTTGTTCCTGCCGGCATCGGCGTACGAGGCAAGGGAGTGGAGGAGGAGGGCGGAGAATAGGAACAGATAAGCTACGCGTGGCAACATGTTGACGAGAGATGGTTTTGATGGAATGGAAAAATCACGAGTGTCGCTGGTGCTGCGTCCGTAATGAGGTGTTTGCAAGGCTTGCTGGACAGCCCCGTAACTTGTTCCTAGAGATCTCAGCAGTCAGTACTACACAGCACTAGCGGTGGACGAAGAGGGGTTATCACACGCACAGCCTATGAACACGGGGTTTCGTCGTGACAGTACAGTTTACCGTATTGGCTGGAAGCGGGGGGAGAAGAGAAGGGGAGTGAGAAGATGGTCAGAGGGGGCAGTGAGCAAGTGGAGCTGGTGGTGGTGTGGGATGGCAGAGGGCGATACATTGGGTGATGGGGCAGACAAACTCGGACGAAACAGTAATGGGGCTCAGGTACCTGCGATTCGAACTTCTATGCAGGACTTGAGCAGATACGCGCTTTCGTTAACTGACTTCGCTCTGTATACTGCCCTGAAGGTCCAAACAACAGCTTTGGACGTTGCACTGCACCGTCAAAGAAAATGTTTCAGAATCAAAGGCAGATGAGGCGCAGCGCAGGCTAAGTTTTCTGGTGCTAGGATGTGGAGGGATTTGTACGCATTCTACCTGACGAGCTCTCTGACACAAAACTTCGCATTAGACCAGTGCCCTGCGACCCGATAAGTAGGGCCAAGAATAGCAGCAAATAACCTGACGTGTTCCCTGATCAACAATAACTGTACACCTTTGAAGGGTTACAGCAACCTGGCGCGAACAGTTCAATTCAGCGGGGAGATCTCGACCGGTCCACGAGATGTTCTGAACAGTTACCACAATAATCTACTTCGCTCAGTCGTTGAGCGTTGCCTGGTTTCGTACTTCTAAGGAACAAATCATTTTCCTTACTTCGCGTCCCTGCTCAGCGCGTACACCACTGTTCCCGCCAACAGCACCCAACAGTAAACCGTTACCACTCGCGACATTCGCCTCGACACTATTCCCGCCGCTGTTCACGACGCGACCCAACCTCACGGTTCGGTTGGTAACCCGCGCTCCGGACCTCCGCCTCGGCAATTCCCAACCTCGGCGCCAGGCCCGTCGCGCACCCCATTTTCACGCATTACCGTTACCACTATAGTTTCGCTATATATTCTTCGCTCATGCCTTCGCTCATTGTACTCTTGCTTCGATAGTGCAATTCTCGCTCGATCACTCAATTGCACTCGTAACACCTGGTATTCAGAGCCTACGGTCTCTTCTTGGGCGGCACCCACACCTTCGCTTCCCCACTATCTCAATTTTTTGGGGGGGGGTAGACATCTCTCAGCGACACAGCACCGCCGCTCGTAGTGCTCTCTCGTAAGCACGCACGGCCACGACAGAGGCTCTCGCTGAATTTGCCCGATACCCCCGCCATGGCCGAATTCACTCTCGCGACACTGACGCAGGAGCAACTCGACCGTCTCGTGCGCCAAGTTGAGGAATCGGCGCTCGTAATGCGACGCTCACGGCGGAACGTGACTCCGCGCGTCAGCAATCCACGGTGAATACTCCGGCGCCACCACACGCACCTGCAAATGCACCCGCACAATCGGAGGAGCCGATCATCATTTCATCAGGCACACCGACACAGAATGACAGCATGGGACAGCGCTCAGGCGCAGCCAGTGATGGCGCCGCCCACTCAATGCCTGGCATGGAGAGGAACAGGGTCGCGCCAAGCCCACGGGAGCCTCGTGAAGCCCGTCGGCACGTGGAATTCGCGGCGGCAAGTGGCGACCACGCCATCATGGCGCCAACGTCACTCAAGCCGCAGCGCCCGCCCTGTTTCGACCCGAGCCAGCGTGGAGGTCCGACGGTTCAGTTGTGGGTCTTCACGATGAACGTATTTTTCGACGCAAACTACGTCGAGTCGGACGCAGCGAAGATCAGATACGCCGTCTCGCTGCTGAGGGGCCCCGCCATGGACTGGTGGCGAGTCATCGTGACGTCGCCACGCGCCTACGAGCCACCGTCGCAAGAGGAAGGGCCCACGGGTCCAGCCGTCACCTGGAGTTCATTATGCGAAACCGCCCAGTACAGCACGTGGGATGCGTGGGGCGCAGGGCTTCGGGCGCGCTTCGAGCCAATCGCGGCTTCTATTTCGGCGCGTCAGAGACTGCGTACTTAGCGACAGCTCGGGTCGGTTCAAGACTATACGAGTGGTTTTCTCGCATTATGCGAGCAAGTCGGCTACATGCACGAAGCGGAGCGGGTGGACCGTTACGTCGGAGGGCTGAAGCCGGACATCTCGCACGAAATCATGCTACGCGGACTCTCGAAATTCAACGAGATTCTCGCGCTCGCCGAGAAAATCGACATTTTGCGCCATCCGAGACCGAGGTCCTACTACGGACATCGCCCTCGGGGACCGATCGAGCACGCCACCGTACATGCCGTTGCGACAAATGCAGCTGCCGCACCATTTAAGGGGCGCTGCTTTGCTTGCAATAGGTCGGGCCATCGCAAGAGTGAGTGCCCAGAGGAGCTGAGGCGCCGCGGAGCAGAGCAGGGGAGGGAGTCTCCAAGGCAGGGAAACGCCAGCAGTCAGTAGGAATCGGGCCAACTGCTGACGAAACTGCCTGCTCGCCCAACCCCACCAACCCTCACCGATTCACAGTACCGATTCATGCTATCGATCGGGCTCGGACGAATAAGGAGGGTACAGCGACGGATTGCCCAGTACTGATCCACGGGAAAATACAGGGAGCAACAGTGAAGATTTTTATCGATGGAGGAGCAAGTAACAGTTTAGTTAATACCGCAACGGCACGGAAACTGCAACTGACACTTAGTTGGTGTTTACTGGAGATAGATGCACGTTTAGTTGACGGCACGCCACTGGCCATACGGAAAAAGGTGGAGAGAGTCAAAGTCCGCTGCGGGGGGAATTTCGGGTTTACACAGGAGATGCTCGCGACGACACTGGACGGGCAGGACATTTTACTGGGACGTGATTGGCTGCGACGGTATAACCCATAATTGACTGGACGACTGGGTAGATGCACTGTGCGAAGTAGTGGTAACTGGGTCGAACTACCTCGCTGGCTGTCGCCTGAGTCTTCAACGGTACACGTCAACGCCGTCACCATGAAACGGGCTGTCGCTGCTGGAGCTAACGTGTACGCAGTAGACATCGCAGTGATACAGGAAGCAGAGCAGCCGAACGACTTCAAGAAACTGCTGGCAGCGGTACCGCCCGAACTACAGGAACTGTTGAAACGATACCCGGGGATTTTTTCCGATGATTTACCGGAGGGACTGCCACCTCAGCGAGCACATGACCACCGAATAGAATTAGAACCGGGGGCACAGCCAACCGTACAGCGCCAATTCAGGCTGACACAACCCGAGCTCGACAAACTGAGGAAGCAGTTAAAATAATTGTTAGATAAGAAATTCATCCGACTGAGTTCGTCACCGTTCGCCGCACCGATACTGTTCACGCCGAAAAAAGACGGAGGGTTTCGCATGTGCATCGATTACAAAGCGCTCAACAGGGTAACAGTCAAGTCGCGGTACCCCATTCCCTGCGCCGACGAACTGATAGACCAACTGCGAACGGCACGGGTTTTTTCGAAAATAGATTTACGGGGGGGGTTACCATCAGATTAGAGTCGAACCATCGGACTGCGCCAAAACAGCTTTTCGGACTAGGTACAGGTCGTTCGAGTACACCGTGATGCCCTTCGGGCTGACCAACGCACCAGTGACATTTCAGATGACCATGAACGAGGTGTTTAGGCCACTTTTAGATAAATGCGTGATAGTTTACATCGACGACATCCACGTCTACAGTCGCGACAAGCAGCAGCACTTAGCAGATCTGGAAGCAGTATTTGGGGCAAGCATCGGCTACTGACAAAGGGTTCCAAGTGCGAGTTTTTTCAGGACAGGCTAGAGTTTTTGGGGCACGTTATTTCGGAGGCTGGGGTTGAAATTGACCCGAAGAAGTTGGATACGGTAAAAGCGTGGCACCCCCCGACGAACATCACGGAGCTGCAGAGTTTTTTGGGGTTCGTAAATTATGTGTGTCGGTTCGTCCCCGACATGGCACGCTTAACAGCACCACTCACGGACTTACTGCGCAAGGGGGTCGTTTTTACGTGGGGGAGAAAGAGCTGTCAGATTTATATGACATAGCTACTGTAGGCTATAGTGGGGTAGCACATATGGGGTACAGTTTTCTAGGGTTTGCTTTTTGTACCCAACTTTCACTTAGTCATTTCATTCCTGTTTTCTTAATTCACATGGTATAGAGCGGGTTCCTACATGGGACCGTTCCTTCCTAAGGGCCCACCATAACGAATTTTTTTTAGCTGCCCGACGCGCATTGCGCCCCTGCCCTAATTTTTTTTTTTTTTTTAGCGGCCCCCCCCTAGCGGCCCCTATGCGACCCCTACGCGGCCCCTACGCGGCCCCTACGCGGCCCCTACGCGGCCCCTACCCGGCCCCTACGTCGCCCCTGACGCGGCCCCTACGCGGCCTCTGACGCGGCCCCAACGCGGCCCCTGACGTGGCCCCTACGCGGCCGCTGACGCGGCCCCAACGCGGCCCCTGA